GCTTGGGGGACGAATGTCCGGGCTTCGCCCGGACATTCGTCCATAAGACAGTTGAAGGAACCCCCCTTTAATAGGACTTTAATCATTTCACTGTGTACTACAGCAGGAACAAAGCCATTCCGTGCCTCCGGCACGGATTTATCAGTGTCTGGGCACGTGCCGTCGCGTGCAGGTCACAATCTCCGGGCTGTGCCCGGAGATTGTGACTTATGACAGTTCAACGAGTAATGCCTGGGCTTCGCCCAGGCATTACTCGTTGGAAAAGCAATAGGCCCTTACCCCGGTTGGGGCTCGGGCCTAATGATGCACCAACCAGAAGATTTGTTAGATTTGACGACTATCAACATGACAACACGGCCTGTAACGGAATATATGAAATTCATTTAAATACGCAATTTGGTTCCAATCCAATCAGAAAGTAAAGTTAGCATCACTTGAGTCTCTTGTTGAGTTTGCAAATGTCTTTGGTGAAATCCAGCTGGTTTGGGTAACTGCCTAAACCCCAGCAGCTGTTGTACCAGAGCTATACGTGTGTATGACGACAAGGCCTGTAACTTCATAATAAAACTTTAGGGATGTAAATCGGTGACCGTTTAACCGGTGGTTGACCGTCACAGCGTTAACCGGTCAAAGCTGTCGGTTAAAAAAGAGAAAAGGGGGAGAGGGGAGGTCTCTTCATAACGCTATTTTAAGCCCTATTTGCACGATGTGACGAGCGGGTCCCTATCTAGCTGTGTGCGCCAATGTCACAGTAAACTCTGGGCCGACTCTCACGCCGTACGCGCCACATATGCACGCACACATGTACACGCACACACAGACACACACATTTCCCCCCCCCTCCATTGACACGTAACATCCACACGCATCATCTCTCCCCTGTGTTACCGTCTGCTAGTTGCACACTGGTGCGGGTCAGAACTACATTGGAGCTTATATTTACACACACATACATACATGTATTGCACACACACACATACATATACACACACACAGACATATACACACATACATACATGTATTGTACACACACATACCGGTCTGTCGCGCTCCCCTGTGTCACGGAGCCCAAAGCATTCTTGCAAATACACGGCTCCAGTCAAACCACATGGACCATGTTTGTGCTGCTGGTCCTTGGCATCAGCTCCACACTGATCACTTTTAAACTTTAGCGGAGACCTGCGAGACGCGGCTCGTCACTCGCTGCCCTGACCATGTGGACGAGTTGTCTTTTGCTTTAAAATGCTTTAAGCCGCAGCACAGAAGAATGGGAAGATTAAAACAGCAGTTCTCTGTGCGCAAAGGTGCCGAAGCTGTTGCGGGTTTTGGCGCCGCTGTCTCGGTCTGATCCCGTAGAACGCTCAGCTGCACTTATGAAAAGTACGCGGCTCGAAATGGCTGTTATTTCAAAGAACGTGGACTATTTTAAACTACGCGGTTAACCGGTTTCAACCGGTTAATGAGGCTCAGTGGTCGGTCATGAAAATTCATAGTTTTTTACATCCCTAACTTGAATACATTAATAATAATTTAAAAACACAATCTGAAAAGGGCATTATGAGTCTTGTCCGTCCTTGGGAACCTATTCCTCTCTTAATATGGGCCAGAGGTTTCTCCATTTTTTTCCACTGGGTTTTCGAATTGATCCTTGCCAATGCAGGAGGGTCTATGGACAGCGATGATCCAGGACATATTATGGATATTTATTAACATCATGGACTTTAGTTACCCACCCTTTATAGACCAATGGCTCTATATGTTTGTTATTATTGCATTTCCTATGTTTGAACGGTTTGATTATCTGATCTGTTGTTGGGGAACTTTGTAAAGTCCTCTGAGACGACTGCTGTTGTCATTTAGGACTATACAAAAATAAATTAAATTGAAATTATGACAAGTTTCCTTAAAATATCCGTATTCAAATTATTTCCAGCATTTGTGGACCTGTGGGTTAGAATACAGCATAACAAATGTGCGGTTGTAAACAGAGCACACTACAATTATTATTTTCACGCCACAATTAAATGTGTCCAATGTCATTTGATGTAAAATTGTGTTAACTGAATCACTATGTCTTAATCTTGCATACGTTTTCATCAATCAAATATTCTACCTAGAGTGTGACCAATGAAACATGTCAAGCCAATAGCATGGTATAAAGACATTTCATTTGAGCGCTGGTATTCTAATTCCATACATCTTTTTTATTTTATTTTCATTTTCCTCCTGATACATAGTACATTGGCATTAAATCTCTTTTTTCATAAATAACGCATGTAGTTCGTCCCAACAGAAAGAGTCTTGTAAAAGTAAAATGAGATCACAAAATGCTGTCTGCGTCTTGTAACAAAGGAGCCTTGTCTTTTTCGTTTTTCTGTCTGAAAAATCGGATCCAAAGATATGACTGAGACCAAAAAATACACACATGTGAAAACTAGTGATAGAACCAAAAGAGGCAGGAACTAGTTTTTTTTTTACATACTGTAGTTATGTGTTTAGTTTCCTTTTTATAAACTCTCACACGTACTACAGTGGTTTTTTTATCATAAACTCTAGGCTCCCTACTTGACTGTATATGATTCAAGAACAACCATACCATTGATTCTCTGTCCATGCCTAAGTGTCATTTGATTATTCGGTAGCAGACTCTTGGCACCGATGCTGAGGTTATTTCAATCCCTGACTAACGCAGACAGGGAGAGAAAAGTACTAGCTGCACATCAGTTCCTATGGCAACACCAACCAATAGATCTCTCACTGAGGACAAACATCTCCGTCGATCTATTAAAGTACAACTCCTACACACGTCCGAATGTCCCGCAAAAAACACAAAAATCTCTCTCTTGCACACACACACACACGCACTCACACACACACACCTCAACAGCCCACAAGTTTCTATAGCGAATATACAGTATTCTCAAACACAGTCATAATTCTCTTTTGTCTGAGTGTTGCACACACTTCAACAAAGCCCTTCTTCCAAAGCAACATTTTGTTTTTGCCTGAAGGGGGAGTAGGTGATAGAATATTGTCAGGGAGTTTTGGAAAAGTAGTCTGTCCTTAGTGGCAATTATTTCATTAAAAAAAACCAACGTTACTTTTCACAAAACACACTTACACTTAATTATTTTAGTAATTATTGTACAAATGTCATCCCAATTTGGTCATGTTTTTAGACCTATAATTAAATTCCTGGTTGTGAATGATGACATCACTCTGACATCAATGTAACAAAAATGATAGGCATCTGTGTTTAATTAGTTGTGTAAATCATTAAATATTCATAAAAATGTATTTGTTGTCAATAGTTCCAAACTTTAGGATAGTTCTGTTTATCCCAGTGAAGTCATCACTTCTAGATTTCTGCTCGGTCTTCAAGGAAATTCCAACATATTATCCCCTTCATGTTAGCTGTTAGTTTGTTTAATTTGATAGGGACAATGCACAATAATGAACATAAAACAATTATTATTGCTGCAAAGCTAGTTTTCTTTCAAAAACCCTAGAAAGGCAAATACATTGGGAATGTTGAGTCTAGGTAGAGAGATAGAGAAATGTATTTGTAAAATTATAATCTATATTTAAATCAGGTGTAATTCCACTTACATAAATCAATATCATACAATTATATAACCCTTTATACACACTTTAATCCCAAAATGTAAATGTCAGGCCTTTTCTTTGAGGACCACATTTCTTCTTCTGACATGGTTAGCCCTCCATTTTGTGGAAATGTCAGCCAAGTATGCAGTGTTGCCAAAAGGTTGTCTCTATTGATTATTGAAAATTTAAAAGGACCTTCAAGATAGAGCGTACATTAGGCCTTCTGCCAAGATACACAATGTCCTGAGACACGCCATGCCAGAGGTGGCCATCTGAAGTCACCAGTCCAATAAGAATGCCTCTAGAATAATATCGTATAGTGACCAAACCTGGGTCTACAGTCTGCAGTGCTCATCTAATAAGATCCATTTGTGTTAGTTTTGGCACTAAAGTGGAATAAATGTCCTCTTTTGTACTTGGCAACGTTTCCATGCAAAGCCTCTGATTCAGAGCCAAATTAAATATGATATTTTAAAGTATCTTAAATAAAACCTACACTTAATTACTTAAATATACAGCTTGTGATTAGATGAGACCAAACGATGGCGCCGTGGCAAGAGCTCTGGTGTGTGTCGTCTGGCGCACACCGGGGTAGTCTTGCACAGTTTTCCAATGTGGTTTTACTGCAAATGGCAAATAAATGAATCTGAATCTGAATCTGAGTTAATTTAGCAACAAAATGTATTCATGTTATTCATGGAAGGGTTCAAATAATGTTCCCCACATGTGTCTAAGTAGGTTTTCTCCTATTTCCCCATCACTGAAAACAGGTAAAAAGTAGGTAAAATTCTACATGTTCGGTAGTCCTGACCAAGCCAAGCATCAACATCTGGAGAAGGGTCCCGTAGGCGCTGTACTGAGGCGACCACTGCTCCTGACAGACGCCCTACAGCATTAGAAGGATGGTTCAAATGCAGAGGAAACATTTCCCTACAGGGATAAAGAAAGTCCTGAAACTTTACAAGTACAAAGAATTTAGAGCCTCAAGAACCTGCAGATTGTATAGGTCTGACATGCGCCTCCTGTATGGCGCCCGTACTCCTATTACTGTGCAGTGAGAGGAAAAATGCCCACAGCAGTGTCTGAGTAAGGCGCTAAAGATTATTGACATATATGGTATTTTTTATGAATGTGTGAAAATGTAGGAAATATAGAATCCCAATTGCAGTGCAGTTCATCACCAAATAACAAAAATAACAAACGAAAAATACAATGTAATTTATAAATTAACATATTTAATTTGACAATCCACTCATTAAGCCAATTATGTAGCTGCAAATGTTTATCAGCGGAGAAAGGGCTCATGGGTAAACATCAGCGTTGCAGCCAATGATGCTTTGTCGTATTGTGGTGGCCTTTGAGGTCTACTCTAACAGGTTGGACAATAGTCTTACCTTGAGCAGCTGAGCAGCTCTGCATCAGCAGCATCAGGACCGCGCACACGGTCCTCAGCGCCAGCATTCCGTCCCTCCTCCTCCCGCTGCTCTTAGACCCAGGTGTGTGGATCCATGCTGCGGCTCTCGGGGACACGGAGCAGTGGTCGTCTTTAAAAGAAAGCCCCCCGAGCCCGGACAGGAGCGCGTCTTTTGGAGCCATCGGTCACCGCTTAATCCTGATGGGAGAACATCTAAAGGCGCCAAGCAGCAGAAAGGCACCCGAGCAAGATGCGCCCACTGCGGACCGACTGGGCTTGGGTCTCCATGAGCTGCTGAGGATGAACCAGAGACCGTTTATAATATAACAACGAGTTGCTGTCTCTGTCATAGAGCTATGGTATTTGTGGTAGATCTATGGTCTCTGTCTGAAGTCTTTACTGCGACCGCAGAGAGAGCGCGCGCTCCATCTGTGCGTCAAGGCGCCCACACTTCCGGAAGTCACAGACGCAGCCTTCAAGATAAAGGAGTCCCGGCTCTTTCACAATTATACACTCAATAACAAGAAAAATAACATAACAAATAAATGCGTTCTAACTTCAATCTAGGCTGAACTGTGTTATGTTGGTGCGTTACCCACTGGTACCCTCCTCCTCCACAACACACGCTTATCTCGATTGCTCAAATGAGAACTTAATTGTGGTGTTCACGAATTTAATCATTTAAACAAGAGGTTTGCTGAATTCTACCTTTTTAGTCCCACTTGTATACCATCGCTCTATGACAGTCCCACTCTGGTACTAATAAAAAGTATAAGGTATAATAAATAAAATATTTGTTTACGACAGGTCTTAACAGTTTTCTAATATTCATATACTTTGAGGCAGCCTGTACTGTACGGCTCAGGCCAATGGTACAAGATGTAAACGGTGCCCCCTGGTGTACAACCAGGATTCTCATAGACTGAAGAGACTGAAGCTACAGGTCGATGGATCGTACTATGCACAGCTCCCACATGATCTATCGAGAAAAAACTTGTATATTACTAGCTACTGTAACTGGGATAACCATGTACTGTACCACACTTGTATTAAACATTACGGATTTAACCCAGCCTGTGTTTTGCTTCAAATACTTCAGTTTCAGGAAACAAAGTATTACTATGTTATATTCAGCCATGTTGCAACCAGTGAGAAAAAAAAGTAATTGTCTTAATAATACTACTATCACCAGTTTCAAAAGTATCTCCCGACAGTGACAGTGGATCAGTTGGTAGAGCATTGGACTTTTAGCCTGAATAGTGTGGGTTGTGTGCTGTCCTTGTGTTCTTGGGCAAGACACTTAACCCACTTTGCCTATAAGGAGCGTGCGCTGCATGGCTTGATGTGTATGTGTGAATTCAAACTGAAATCGCCCCACTGTGGGACAAATAAAAGACCTAATGTTGGGAGTAGTCTACACGCACAAGAAATACCTTTGTCGTTTTTCAAAACGGTAGTGTTGTAAACTTAGTAAAAGAAATGGCAATAAATGACACATGGATTGAAGCAAAAGATCCTTTTTAATTCAAAGTGAATCTTGACATAGTACGCCATCAATTCATAATTTGACACTAACCAATAAGAGTCACCAAGAAGGAACCCGCTTTTTGTGACAAAGTACATAAGGCTTAGTCACATCGAAACTCACTGAGAACCAGAGGGAGGAAGAAAACGACCGCAAACTGGTAAGACACACATTATTACATCCAAACAATAATCACTTCCCAGTCCTCATTGTTGAATATTGCACAGTGCAGTTGCTACATGTCAAACTAGTGTAGCACTTAAGAAATCAAACAAAATTATAAGCCACACAACACTACATATATTTAGAACAGTAACGTTTCAATTTACCAACTGTATATAATTTGTCTAATACAACTCAACATTTTGATAATTGTGATAAAGAATTTTAAAATATTTTTTTTTTTCAGCCCAGTACCTCAATGAAATAATTTTACAGTTTTGAAGAGGGGAAGTGCCAATAAGCAGTAGGCCTGAATGTCCAATTATGTTTTATATATATTTATATAAATAGATAAAATGTACTTCAGCCAAAGGAATCCTACCACCAAATAAAGGCACACTTAGAATTGCATACTTCTTACAAATGTAAATGGTCCTCCTTAGGCCTGCTTTTTAAAAGGCAGCTGGACTCTATGACCCTGGCTCGCTGACTTTTGTTATGCAGCTGGCAACATACGGCTGCAGGTGGATTATCTGTCCAATTCAATCAAGACAAAGTGGTGAGGGATTACCAGCACTGAGGTGGGACAATCTCATCACAGGTGCTGAGCTGACAGCAATATAAATGTTTGGAAACAATTGTGGGTAAGGGCACAACACAAGGTTTCACTTCTTCAATGATGTGAAGTAAAAGAGAACTATCCACTAAGATAGTCAACACAGTAGCAAGTCAAGTGCACAAAATATACGTATATGCTTACATAACAAAGCCAAAAATCAATACAAAATCATTAATAATCAGACAAGGAGCAATCACCTTTGGACCTAAACTTTGATTATGATTGATGATAAAGCATTTTTAAAGAAAAGCCCTGACAAACTCATGATTTCTACTTCTACGATAAGTCATTTACGGTCACTATTAGTGAACAAGTCAAAAATGAAATTGCTTTGTGGCTACTAATAGAATGCATACAAATAATATTTTACTTCTACAATACATTCACATGTAAATAAAGCTTGACTTTAAACATAGAGCCGGCTTTATGTTGTGTTTTAGTGAGGACAAAAACAATCCCTGACTTATTTTATCTTAGGATATGGGGACTCATATTACATTATTTTAGAGCTTATTGTAGACTACATATAAATTCTTTTGGGTTGTCTAATGAAAAAAAAAAAAACAAATTGCATAAATGGGACTAGTTAACAAATCTTTAACAACTTAAACTAAATGTTATGCGTCAGCCATTTGTTTTAGAGCAAGGCACTATTTGTACAGTACAGAGAGATGCAAATACAGTCTGAGAACGGAAAAAAGCTGTGTTCGGAATCAAACTAAAACACATACATGACATAACGTTTACAGAATTCATAGTTGAACCCAGTCTAGATTTTTGGAGAAATACTGATGCTAAATACACATAAAGTTCACACACACCAAAAAGCGACGTAAAAATAAAAACTTCCATTACAGCAGTTTACAATCACTTCAAAAACACAAAAGCTAATATACAGAGGCACTAGCATAGGAATAGCATTCACTATACGGTATAATCAAAATAAAACCCACTCCTACTGTTTTTATCTAAGGAGCACAATACAGAGAGAATGCAGACTAGAATGAGATTAATCCTCTAAATTCACAGCTAAGAAGTGGCAGATCATCAGTACATAGCAGCTTAGTATCGATACATTCCAAATACATTTGGCCAAACGTAGCTCAGAAATTAAAACCCAGACAGGTCTGTTTTAAAAGAACATACAATATATTCCAATGCTGATAACTGCAAGAGTATGCTAGAGGTGACGGAAATAGTATCGACCATGCTTCAGAAATGATTAATGAACAGTCTTTGGTGCTGATTGGAGTCAAAAATACTACTACAGCAAGATCAACAGGGAAAGATACTACACGACACACAAGGCTATGCTTCCACCCTGAAGGAATGTATCAAAACTGAAGACAGGTTTAATACACAGACAAAACTTTTGTCTCAAACCAATATGAAACAATTACCAATACTAATACTCAAACGCCCAGCAATGATACTGTTAATTGATAGGATTTAAACACTGAAGCATAAAGTAAAAACAAACAATATAATCAACCTTAGCCTTTGCCACTCCCAAAACATACAGACGGGTTAATGCAGGACTAGCCTAAATGCACAAAAATAAAAACACAGCAACCCAGAGGCAATCTAGATTGTATTGCAGTTACAGTAAACAGTGACAATACTGTTATGAATTAAGTACTATAGTGAATAGAAATTGATTATCAAAATATGAAATCACTCTATATGTACATAAAAAGCTCATTCAGTCAAAGCCCTAAATGTGCAGCCTCTAGCTAAAGTAAATCTATACTCTGAGTTAGAAAGCAAATTGGAGTTAGACATTTGCTAGTATATAACATATCTACAAATTATAGTGATAATTATCTTCAGAATCAAAAGGGTTAAGTGCTGCAAGCCCATTTAAAATGTACAATCTATTACGCTGCTCCTGAAAGAGACTGGTTTTAAGGCACTAGGAGACGGCAGCAGCACTGAGCGGTCTGCCTCACACATCGACAGGAGCGCTGGATCCTCTGTAATAAAAAAGGACTGGGATGGTTTCAACACGGCTGACAGGGCTACAAGGCAACGTCAATAAGGAAAGAGGTGGAGGTGGACCAGCTTGACAGCAACAATAACAGAGGATTTCAACCTCATCAAGGATCTCTGAACATGAACAACCAACAGGAGGTAATGTGCAAGGACTTTTTTTCTTTTCAATAATTCTGTGATCTGCTCCCATATAAAGCTATTTTAATACTCTCCACCGTAACGTTATTTTTGCATGTGTCTCAGAGCCAAAGTAGCTCTCTACAAGCTCATAGTATTTCATAGGATGCATTTTAACCATATTTCTTCAGTAAATATTCTCCTATCTTATACACGGTTAAATCTTTTTCTTTTTTTATCACAGGTGTTGTGCTCGGTTGTAGGCTCTACCGGCCCAGGTGGCAGCCCCAGTCCACTTGCCGTTAGCTTTCCTCGTCAGTAGGTAGTGCGGGCCGCTCCTGCTCCTCAGATATATGAGAACTGGGGGTGGTGGCTGAGCTTGGTGGGGCTCAGAGGAAAGCCGGTGTAAGCCGTGGCCGGTGATGCCATATATGGATGGGCGGGCGGCGGGAAAGGGGGCTTGAACGGGTGGTGCGGGTGGTGGGCGTATGCAGGCTGCTGGTGTGGGTGGGGGCCGTAGGCGGGCTGGTGGTGCGGGTGGGTGCTGATGCCGAGGGTCACCTGGTGGACTATTGCTCCTCCTTGGTGGGACAGCCCGTAGCTGTGCTGGAGGAGAGGGGGAGGGCGAGAAGACAGGATGTGGTGCGGGTGGTGGGTGGCGTTGCCCGGGTAGGACAGCAGGGTGGGGGCTGAAGTGTGCGTGGGGCTGCTGTGGGGCAGGTGTGGGAAAGTGTGTGTGTGGACATTTGGGGTGATGAAGGCATGAGGTCGCAGAGGCCCAAAGTTGCCGTTCCATTCTTTGCTGTGGTTGGAACCGTACTGCTGCACCTGTGGCAAAACAACATTTTAGTGCCTTTGGCAATTGATCCTTCACACGCTACAAAAAACGCCCATTCTGCCACGACTGTTGCTAAAAATACTATGTTAATTAAAGTTAACTGATATTCATATACAACATTCTAAAAAACCATATACTTGTCAATGCAAACAGGAAGACGGCCACGTGTACTTATAAATAGCACACTCTCCAGTTACTCACATATTTACAGGGGGTACTTTCTCTAAGAAAGTTCCCTACAACTATCGGCCTAATTTATAATCGCATCGAAATTATTCAAATGTATGAAATAATCATATACATTTGGCACATTTTTCTCAATTTCCGTTTATTACAAAATAAATGGAAATTTATTATGTAGAAATTTCCATTTACAAAATAAATTTACAACTAAACTTGTTGGCCAAGTTACAATTGGTAACTTGGCCAACAAGTTAGTTGAAGCCAACTACTTTTATATAAATATAAAGTCATATAGAATAATTGTGTTTTCTATTTTCAGATAACATCATTGAATGGATCTGGGAAGTGTAGATGTGCAGTTCATGCAAGGCGGCCCAGCAATTTACAGACACTAGAGGCCCTTTGTTAGGATTGACGGTAAAGAACCTCATTCAACAACCTCAAAAGAATAGGCCGACATAGGTGTCATGGGGACAACACTATTGAGAACTGGGGGATGGGAACTTTTTGTTTCTGTTGTCGGCTGAATTAAAAAATAGACCTTTTTTTGTGATTATAAATGATGTTACACAAAACAGCGAAGAAAACATTGTGAACAAAATTGTTCCCACCACGATGCCGTGGGGTTTCAAACTTTGAGCAGGCTGTGTTACTCCAACATATTACTTCAACCACGCATCATTAGTAGGCTTTGGATTTCAAATATCCCATTCATTACTCTTATTGTATGATTACAGCTCATACAATGTTCAAACGAACCAGAGAAAAGTATGAGGAATGCTCTATATACTCTTACGTTTGGAAATGTGAAATATTAAACAGAAAAACCAACCTGCCCAAAGCCCAAGAGGTGGGCCTGTTGTCCTGAAAGCTTTTGCTGTCGGGAAAGGTGAGGGACGGGGGGGTGGAGGGGGCCTGACGAATGGTGCCTCTGCTGTCCTGGGTTGCAACGCCCTTTGGACCGGGACCAGGACTCTGAGGATGAAAAGACAACATTAACAGTACTTCTAACATAAGGACGCATTACAAGCAGAGATGGCGCCTTTAGTCCAATTGACCTGTGAGACGCAGAGTAAAGAGAGAAGAAAAGTCAAACACATGCACCTAAACGCTTTTCGTACTAAAATTATGTCTTGAAACAAACCAAAACACACATGTTGGCACTCAGGAAGAGGTGAACTGATGAAATAAAAATACTCCACTTCCACATGTTGCTGTCAAGAACCATCAGAGAAACCAGGGGGCTGATACCAAATGAAATGTATCCTTAGGATTATTTTAACTACAAATTATATTCAAATAAAACCATGTTTTTATTACTAGACAAGGATACATTTCTAGGCATAGAAAAGAATTCCTGCCGAAGCACAAAGTGCATGAAAGTTTGCAGCTCCCTTCAGTTGAACTGTAAGCAAAGGTGTGCTGCAAAATTTGCAGCTGTAACAAATTTGGTACCAGCTCTTGCACAATTCTCTGCCAGTGTCAGTGTCACCTGTTTGGGCCTCTATGACCCACTAGAGGGCGGTAAGCCCCTACTTCTTCCATTTGACCTGAAAAGTAAACATGGCCAAAGCACAAGTAACTGATCACTAAATAACAATAGCAGTTAAGTGAAAGTCTATGTTATAATTCTAGATTAATATTATGTTATGAGTCTTAGAAATGTGCAGCTGCACTAATAACCACTGAAGACACTGACCCATTCTGTGCACTCGGTCTTCTGTCCCACGTGTGGGGTTGTTGTGGACTCTCATGGGGGGAACCACCATCGTCCTCACACCACGAGGAGCCCGGTTCTGTGAGGCCGGAGCAGAGAGCGGTGCCACAGCAGCCAAAGCAGAGTGGTTACTATGGTTACTGTTGCTGTCCAGGAAATGGTAGGAGCTGTTGCCACGTGGAGAAGCGGATGCGTCAGACGTGGGTGACCCCTCGACCGTCTCACAACCACTTTCATGACCGTCATCCTCTGACATGCTGCACACAGAGCAGGTTAGAACGCAGCACCAGTAACAATGTGGACTTATGAAAACAGTTCTTTACCTGTTGGGCCTCTTGCACGGAGAGGCGGAGGGGCTGGACTGAACTGAGTTAGAGGCAAAAGAGCTGGTGCTCAGACTGCTCTCAGGGCTGCTGAGAGAGCACACCCTCTCCATAGACAGACTGGTGCTTCGACAAGCCTCACAGGCACACTCCTCTTTGCACCTGCAGCAATAAATAAACCAATATAAAATTACTGTAGAATTGCACATAAACCAGCGCCATGAAACGGCCTACAAATAGAATCTAAACCTTTATGGGCAGTGTGGGATATCTGCTTTAGCAGAGTATGAGGCAGTGACCCAACCAACTGAATTTAACCAAAGAATTTAAAAACCTAAAATGAGAGAAAAGTATTCAACCAGAAAGCTAATTCAGATATAAAACATTGGCCAAAAATAGTAGAGTCCATCTGGCCAGTGTTTTTTTTATTAAAATAAAATCAGCTTTAACGTTCTGGTTGGTATCTTTTGCATTGAAAGATTGCGGCTGATAATTTGTCTTTGGAAACATCACATTAAACAATATTGAGGACAGTTTTCTTTCATAATTCTAATATATATATAAACGTAAGTACAAACTCATCAATTTTTATTTTTTAGGACTCCCTTAGTGAGTCAAAGGTGTATATGTGAAAAAATACGTTTGATCAGACAAAGGCAGGCAGAGATCAAAGTGGAGACATTGCATTGGACCTCATTTGGGAAAATGTGTCGAGGCGAGATGAAAAGACAGTCTCATGCAGCGCTGCTAATGAGAGGACACATGTGATGAGCAGAGAGGAGAAATAAACAGCTCTGTGATGTGAGGAGAAAAACAAACTCCTACCCTAAAGTAAGTAACAATCCTGTTGTGTGTGAAGACACAAGTGCCCCTAAATAACACACTGATCCAAACATACGATTTGTACATGTTGATAAAAAAATGTACAAAAGAAGTTATAGATGTAATAAAAAAAAATAAAAAAATCTATACTGTCCCCTTGAAGTATTATCCCCTTACCCTCTCAGACGACACAAGGGTGGCTCCTCCTCAGCCTCTCCGTCCGTGGCCTCGCTGTGGATGCTGATGACACTGGGAGAGGGGCTGGGCGTGTCTCCCATCAACACCGCCACATCTCTCTGGGGATGACTGTCGGCCTGCCTCTTACTGTTCAGCACTTCGTCTTTGTAGCAGGTCACATTCTTCACAGCGTCTGTTTCCTCCTTGCTGGTGTTTTGAGCGACTGGGGCCTTGTTCTCCACTTCCGGAGCATCTCTCTGTGATGACGGCTTTGTTGTTGTGCCAATTTGCCCCACAACGTCTGCCATCTTGGGGGTGCGGCAAACTGATGTGTGGATGTTAGTGGGTTGAGAAAGATTTCTGTAAATGCAGAACAAATTAGGTCAATACATAATTGTGTAGTATAATATTTGACACCATGTACCAGAAATGCAATTGTACCTGTTGTGATTGTGCCGGTTTCTCTTACTCGTGGGCTGAGGCCACACGACATGCGCTATTCCAACATTAATGGGCTGATGAGTGGGCATCTGATTTGTGAGTAACGACTGTTGAATCATTGAGTTGTAATGACTGCTGTGAGGACGTACTTTCCTGCGATAACAGAAACGTATAATCAGATTTTGTCAAGCTCCATCAGCTGGTAATGATGGAATTGTAATTTACCCCCAATCAATACGTTGGGGGCCAGACGTATTTGTGTCGTTGAGTGCTGATGGAGGAGGGGGAGGAGGGTGCGAGGGAGGAGGTCCAACAGGAGTCATCTGTTGCCAAGCCGCTGGGACAAGGAGCTGTTGTCCTCGACTAGACCAAGCCTGCTGTGAAATAGATTGAATGTTTATCTTGTTATAGATTCCTGACCCTACTCTAAATTTACATTAAATTTTAGAGAAATAAATCATGATTTGTCACGATTAGTCCTCTAAAGTAATCAAGCCTAACTATTTTCTCCAGACTTGAAAATACTATTAACTATTATGTCATACTAGTGGTTATATGATAATTAACTTAAGCACGCTGTACAAAAGCCTGCAAAATGGCACATACAAAAATCTGTGAAACATCGAGGCGGCGAAAGGCGAACCGCAATAGTGAGGGACCACTCTAGATGCAAAATTAATAATAGATAATTAATTAATTAAAAACGTTTTTTATTAGATTAAATATTTTGAAAAATGTTTTAAAACCTGGAGGAATGGTTTAAAACTGTTCTCACATGCAGGTATGTTTGGCCTTCATCACATCTTTAGAAGAGATTTTTTTAAATGTTTTGGTCTAGTATGCAAAAGATGACATTACTTCGAATAAGACAAAATGTTATGGTCTGTTTTTGAACTTTGAGCATTATACTTTGGGCCAAACAATTTATAATTTATTAAGCAAAAGAGTTATGTAGTCTAGATTTAATCAGCCGAGGGCACTTGAACAGACAGCAAGTCTGTGAAATTAGGAATGAATCGATGTGTTAATTTTACAGCAATTGAAGCATAAGATTTACGCAATCATTTTTAAAGCCCTAATTCAAAGATTAAAACGTGCAAGTTCGTGAATGTTACCTGAGCTATAAGCCCTGGTCTCACCGGTAGTGGTTGTATGGGTGGGGCCTGAGTAACCATGGGAACAGAATACCCTGCTGGTTGGTTAATATTTCCTTGAAGAGATGAAAGATAGATTAAGTCATTTGCATGTAAATTATACAACATAAAAAGACATTTTCAGATGTTTTACCTTGCATGGATGGAGGACAGAGTAGAAGGGCAGGTGGAGGGAATGAGTCACCGAGGCCAAACTGGTTGTTGGTGGTTGATAAAGCTATCCCAGGATGCAACTGTGCTGATTGGGTGATAGTCTAAAAAAGTTTGACAAATCAAGGAAAAAAGATTAGAATAAATTACCATACTTACATTTGTACAAGATGACAAAATAGAAAATAGTAAGTACAGTACAGTAAGTAAAAGAATGTGTAATAATAAAACTCAAAGTCACTAGGGTTGTCAAACTTTTGTTTATAACGTCGATGGGTCTTATGTTGACCAAATGTTAAATTAGTTGACTATTTTTATTGAAATTACAAGAAATTCTATCTGAAAACTGCACAAAGATTTGGAGCTAAACAGGTGATGATGTTTGCTTTGTTATTCAAGCCAGACCCACATCTTCATTCAACCATTGTTTTTTATAAGTTTGCCAACTATCAGAGATTTGTGAGTACAGTTTGGGTCGCATACAATATTCAGAGTATTTGCCACACCCCCCATTTGCACCTGAGTGTGGACTGGTATGTTACTGTAGCCAAGTGGGATAACAGGGGCAGTAGGGGGCACAGGCGGCCGCGGGAAATGGATGGTGTTCTGGTTCAAAGCCTCAAACACGCCACCGACTCGACAGTGGCACATGTCCATGACACGGAACGATGACTGCACGCTAAAGGAGTAAATGCAGGAGGAAAAAAAATTAACTGGTGTTTCAATTTTGGAGAAACTGTACATTTGATTGAGGCTTGAGAGAGGTCTTACTGGCTACTGTGTGGGTAGTCCAGCAGGTGAGTCATGGTGAGGAAGGGATGATTGAGCACGTTGGAGGGAACCGTTCTGTCCTCGGCGTCTATCAAGAGCATCGTTTTCAGCAGAGACACAAACTCCCTGCGGTCAGCCTTCTCTGCCTGCATGTCACAGTTGTCGGGAATCAGCACCAAGTTCACCTGGAAACCGGAATGGCAGATTGTGAATATGAGAATTGGAAAACGAGGAGGGGAGAATGTTGAGCGTTATCTCACGGGTGCCATGTCATCCAAACAGTTGAAGATGTACTTTCGAGCCTCTTTGGATTTAAGCCCCGTTTCTTTCTCATGCTCTTCTGTTGTCTGAAGAGAAAACACAAATAAGTTGATTCATTAAGTAAAAACAGAATAGAATATATGGTCTATACATAATACTAAATGCAAATCTGTAAACCTTTTTTGATCAGCAGGCCATATGGTTACATTAACATTGGTATTTCACCTTCCAATTTTTTTGGCATGTCCCGAATGGTTGTGCAATTTCCCGTTACATGATTTCAGATTGTGCAAGTGTGTACCTTAAGTCTCCACGAGGCATAGGGAGAGTCGGACTCTTTGGTGAAAAAGCGAGATGTCTTGGTCCCCTTGTTCAACAGGTGCTCACCCGGAAGCCCCTGAGTCTGAGAAATGTACCGGATCTAGAAGCAGACAGGAGATATACTAAACATACTTACAGACATTGATTTGTTTTGGTTTTTTTTAAAAAGATAGGACATCATTCTTAATAATGCAAAAGTATATAGATTAATTATTTACCATATAATTGAATATAAACTATAACCATTTGATTGAACATAAGAGCCACATTCACACTCTACTTTCTCGAAGCTTTAACACAAAATCCTAAAATGTTATTAGACATTGTGTGTGGGAACACAGACCATGGCCTAGAACAAACATGCCAGAGGGCACTGGACTGAAAACGTGCTGATGGGGCACCCAATGACCACTCCATGTCTCCCATCAGGCTTATGTTTATAAATACATTTTGCTGTGCAGAGTGGAACGGCAACGAGCCTTGGCATAGGACCGCATGGTTTTGAGGGCTCACTGAGTGCCCTGGTATGGCCCAGTATACAACAGAGCTGTGCCCTCCGTGTGAAAGCACAGGATCGACAGTAACATTTTGATAATTCAGTGTTTTATACAATTATGTTTAGTACTTTTAAAATGCTCAAATATAAGAAAAGAAAAAGCAGGATGCTAAGAAATTTTAAATAAAAGGAAAATACACTTGTATAATGGCAATATATAATTTGACGGTGTCCATTGGTTCAATTACAGGTTTGATTATTCATTACGACTAAAACAAAGCTAAAAACCCAAAAAAGCCAATTCCAACATATCTAGAATTGAGTCTTAGATTATGAAACTTTGTTGAACTCTGCTCATTAATGCATATCTCATTCTTGGGAGAGCAGAGAAGGTTACCTGATCATACTCCAGAGCTCCGGGGTACAGGGGCCAGCCCAGGAACAATTCTGCTATAACACAGCCCAGTGACCACATGTCGATGGCCTCACAAAATGGCAGGCCTAAAATAATCTCTGGAGCCCTGCAGGGATATGAAGGGGCACAGAAGGTTACATGTAGGAGCCAAGTGACTGTTGCTAAGATGCTCTGATAAATGAGTCCAAAATCAAACAGGAAAAGATTAAATGAATCAACACCATTTACAGTACAAAAGAGGAATTTTTAAATGCCTTTTTTAAATGTTTAAATTACACTTGCAATAAAACAAACGATTACTACTAAAGTAGTAGAAGTTACTGAACAGGTCCTATGGGTAAACAGAGTAACAGTGGTTTTAAAATAAATCTATAATCTATTTACATAAAAGATATATCCACTATCTTGGAAAACCTTTAGAAATTAATGTTTTTGACATTCATACTTCTGTGAGGAACAGAGCGCTGATATAAACAAGTGCAAAAAATGGACTTTGTCTTTTACGCACAGAGCCAATTATGTGGCAGCGCCGTGTACCATTGGAGAAAAACAATAGGCTGAGGGCCCGGACAGCTGAGCAACAGATCTGCAAATAGCAACCTGTGCTGTGACGACCACAGGGGAAATGACTGTTGCCAAGCAACAGCCGGATGCTGGGCCACAATGTAACAGTATTACAAGGCGATAAATGGGGTCATCCGTCATTATTCAACAGACACATGTAGTGCATGCGTGTGTTAAGAGGGACGAGTCAACTCCAATACTGTGGGGCAACTCTGCTCAAAAGGAAATTATACTTGCAATTTCCTTCTGGTCTTTCTACTAGAACTTGTTGTGTAATTTAAAAGAGAGCCTTGAAACAGCTTTCAAAGTTTTGGGCTTGTTTTTAAAAACTACCAACAACAGTTAAATAAAGTCCATATAAGAGGGAAGACAACGACAATAGGAAACTTGAGTGTTTTGTGCTTTGCTCCATTTTTAGCTTAGCTTCTGAATGCACAAACAATCATGGGTTAGTATTTATTTACTTTGATAAAATGGTATACAAGACATTTTTAGTGGCAAGCTCATGAGATGATTTTCAATCAATTTGCAGCATTGATCATAAAGAGGTTCATTTGGATACCATGGCATATTATACCCAATTTGAAAGCTAATTAAGTAATAATGAAATTAATACTTTTATCTGAATACCTAGCAATGTAAAAGAAAGGCTTTTATATTCTTAATTTGGCTCTTGACCAAATTGAGTTTGATACCTCTGCTGTACAGTTTAAATCTAACTGCAGTAATGGAAAAACACTATAATTGAATCCAAAGAATTACATTTTCATTATTGATACAATAAAAATATACACATTTTTGTGAAATACGCTTCAGTATCATCCTTTATAATCCAAAAAACGTCACTCAAAAACAAACTTCCCAAATGTGTCAGCAGTACCTAACACAATCCGCGCCACCACACCTGATCTGCTGTTCAGCTGAATTATTCACATTGCTGCGTTCCATTTTCATTGTGGGAGGTAGTTTGACGTCACCTCAGCAGGCTCTGCTGTGTCACACTACCATAGCAACTCCACATTAGACCGTGACAAGAGTTTAACAGCCCCAGGAAGACCTTGCTACATTCAAGAAAAGTGTCAGGGACGAAGCTGTAACGCCTTGAAAAGACAAGACCTCAAAACAGCTTTTGAGGAGAAAACCGTCGAATACAACAATCCGGGTAAACAAACATACAACCACTTAACTTTAACCATTTCTATCAACTAGTAGATAACTCGGCAACTCTAACAATGTGTCCATTTATAAAAGCAGTATTCACAAAAAAGTTAAAGCAAGAGACCAAGGACAAATACATCCGTTAAATATATATTTTTGCATTGGCTCCCATGACCAAACAAACCAGACAACATTCGGCTCATTCTGAGACTAACCACAGATTACATGCTTCAAAAGAAAATACGAGTATATATTATAATTAGGAACAGTTAACCGATTTAAAACTGACTGAAACTCAAAAATAGCTTTGTTTAAAAAGGTAACTTTAAGAATTCCAAAAAGCATTAGTTTGCTCACAAAACCACATAAGTGAGTAGACAGAAAATCAAGTTAGAAGCGCTGCTTCATCATAAGAAAAAGGTCTCGCTGCATAGCTGAGAGCATCAATACCATCTCTTCACAGATATTTCCTTCGTCAGACAGATGCTAAACAAACATTCAATGACGTGACTTGCAGCAGTCGGGCTTCAGTTGGCCACAAAAACAAACTGAACTGAAGTGGAACAGAAACAGTTTATGGACGATTTTACAATAGAAACACAATAGTCGGAAAGCTGCTTTACCGCTTCCGAGTCACAACAAGAAATAAACCAGGTTTGCTTCCCAAATCAGGCCCAGTATTGTTACATTTTAGTTGATGCATGTAACAGTACATGATGGGGAATGGAGTTGTAGGGAACACTTTGTAATGTTTGTGTGCTATGCAGCCTTGGCAGCTACAGTGGCACATGAGCACACCCCAGCTCTCACAGGAATGTCTACCATGTATTTTTACATACCGCATTCTTCTTTTTGTTTATGTTTCCTGTAATACATTACCAAAATGCAGAACCCAGCCCCCTTTTACAGCTCTGTGATCTCACCACTGATTCTTTACAAACAAATAGGCCTGAGACTTAAACATATATCGAAGCAGTTCAACAGCAGAGCAAGGCTCTTGTGTTATGCAATCGCTAGAAATGTACACATGGACACAAGAGGGAATCTGGAGACGTGCTTACGTCAACATTTTAGAAAGAAATGTATGTGCCATGGCCCTTCTGTAATCATTCGCTGAAACAGAGGTGGAAGTTAAAAAAGAAGAGGGTGTGTGCATTGCATTGGGAGACAAACACTTTATCTCAGCAGCAGGTTGCACAATATTTAAACACTTCAATCGTTTATCAGCACACTGAACCTTCATGCTTGCTGTAACTTGCAAGTAGAATGTACAGTCCTAATAAAATATATTAAATATGCACTGCAAGAAAAGTGGAACAAAAAAAAAGTACTTTATGTATCATGAGCTGTTTGAATCCAACAAAACATTTTTGATTCCTTAATGTTAAAGTTTTTTTGTTTGCTTAAAAGACAAGCCAACTGAAACTTGTTAACTGCTAAAGAAGACATGGTTGCAGCTCTCTTCTACACATAAACAGCTCCCCAGTTCTTCCGTGCATTATGCAACAGCTTCAAAGTTTTGGGCGTGTCGATGAGAACACAGATTAGGCCCATGCTCACGACTCATATGCCTCCAAAAATAAGTATGCCCAGGCCGAGGTAAAGGAAGTAACAGTCGAAGTGGACAGCCTCGCAGAAAGAATTCTGATGCACATTACAGAAAGATCAAAATGATATGCATGTGCTGTAATCTTATCTCAGAACAGTATGTTCACACTTATGATAAGTTAGTACAGAGTGATCTAGCAAAAGAAAATTATTTTCTTTTTTGGCCTTTATGATAATAAACAAGACCAACTTAATTCATCAAAATGACTGTATATCTTTCAACCTATTGAACTGGTCTTTTTAATCTTGAAGTAACTACAGAACAACTTTGAACAAGTTAAACTATGCCATGAGATAATAACTGATTCATTTCATACCATCCAGTAATTTGTGAAAGACCCAATCAGGATCTCAGATAAAGCAAAGTCATTGAACACTCATTGCCACAAATAGGACATGCCCGTTTGGTGTTTGAAATATATGCAGGTGATGTGTGACATGAGCTCACCTATAGTATCTGGACTGGAGGTATGTGGAGCAGACTGCTTTGGAGACATGGCTTGCAGAACCAAAATCAATTACTTTTACTCTGTAGGGCTGTCGGGAGGGGTCCACAAGCATGATGTTTTCAGGTTTTAGGTCTGCGTGAATCAAACCCAGACACTTGAGCTTTTTTAAAGCTGTGGCCACCTATCAGGTTAAAGAAAAATACAGTGAATGTGACAACTCAGGTCATACTCTATTTTGTTAATCTGAATAATCTACAATGACTGGTACAACAGGTTGTTACAATACAGTTAGGACTTTGGCAATTTAACATTCAAGGGTTAACAATCAAGTGAGGACATGCCTAAAGGAGATGCAAATATGTTTCACCTGCAGCAAAATGGGCCTGATGATCCTGAGTGGCAGTGGACTGAACTTATTCTGTTTTAAAAAGTCATAAAGGTTTTGCTCCAGCATTTCAAAGACCAGGCAGGTGTGACTGCGGTGCTGAAAGCACTCCAGTGCACGCACGATGTTGTGCTCATCTGCGTTCTCGTTGCTCAAACGGGCCAGTATCTCCACCTAACATGGAACATAATAATGTATATTTATGATGAATAAAAACAATTCCAATTCCTTGCATACAAACAGATATAACTCACCTCAATTTGTCCCTGCCGTGCATAGGAGGGGTGGTTTTTCAGGATTTTCACAGCCACAACTTCATTGGTTCCTCTCTTCCAGCACTTTACTACCTGACCAAAAGTCCCACGACCCAAGAACTCCAACACTTCATAACTGTTCTTCAGGGAGCACAAAACCTCATGTTGGACTAGCTGATAGTCCCCATCCCCACTTCCGGTCCTGGTTACTGTGGCTCCAGCCCCAGTCTCATTGCTCCCCTTGGGCCTATTTTCTGTCCCATCCGCAGCCGTCCCAGTGCCACTCCCCTTGTGCTGAGCGAGTGGCAGCCCCTCACCCCCTCCTCTCACAGTGTCTGCATTGTTCCTTGAGCTGCTTTGTAACATGGTCACAGCGGCCGGAAGCACAGCAGATACCTCCTCTACTATCTGCATGCCTCCAGCACAGCTCTTGTCCTGTGGTTGTTCTCCACCTTTACCGGTCTTTTGCTCACATCTCTGGGTGGTACCTGGGTTTACAAGACGAACATACGCTCCCCTAGTCTGCAGCCTATTTATGGTCTCGTCTTTGACTGCTCTGATACACGCTCCCCTCAGCAGACCACAGTCCAAACCAACTCTCTCTCCACTAGCCCTTTGACTTCCAACTTCATCTGCTTCTTGTGACTTTTTGTGTGCTTCTAAGCCAGCTGTGTTCAAGGCCCACGCCTCCCGGTCGGAGAGGTTGAAGCTCAATTGCTGCCCTTCAGCTGCTGCACCTGATGGAATAACGTTGTTGGGATATGCGATACCGTAGTTGACTCCGATCACATAGGTTTTGGGTGGGGGTCGATGCTGAAAGGCTCTGCTGCTGGTGTTACCACAATGGGCTTCACTTGGCTGTCTGCCGGTACCACTACTGCTGGTTCCTAAGGCACTTGTCTGAGTTGAGTGCGGGTGCGATGGGTAGATCAAGACTTGTGAGGCCATACCTATTAAAAGAAGAAAAATATGGTTAGAAAAACCCCCCAAAAAAGACCAGTTTTGTATTTACATTTTAACAGACTTTGTCAAATGAGACATTGTTGAGATATGCATTTTGTTCAAGGACAAATGATTGTAAGTCTGTACAATGAGCTGGACTGTTGAAGCATTTAGCTCTGAATTGATAATGTAATGAGCAGTACATTTTATTCTGCCTCAGAATTTTGTGTTGCAGTGCCACCTGTCCATTGTAACTTTTACCAATTGGGGCTGCACAATATCAAAACAACATAATCACAATAAAGGATTGTGGAATATTGATAACGCAAATAACTGGTGTGTATAAACAATGTAATTCGGTTTCTGGAGCCTACAGACTCTTGGTACAGTGTCTGGAAAGAAGTACAAAAGATGGAGAAAAGACGAGTTCCAACATAGATTTTTGGAGAAGGAAAATATCAAAATATATATTGTTACTGAAGTACTTGACACCACTATCATAAAATGTTTTCAATATCGTACAGTCCTACCCTGTATAACGTCAAAGAAACTGGAAAGGAGAACTTGCGAGATGAAATTTGAGCTGGGGGAAGCCCACTGCAAATCTCGCCTGTCCCCACACGCTACACAAGAGGTCAGTTTCACACAAACCAAAGCAACCACTACCTCAGAGGAGATTATACATACACACAAGATATGTGTATTTTAGGGAAATGTAGGATATTCAACTTTTAAATGATACATATTCAAACTCGTGTTTCCTTTAGAGAGTACTTTGAATAGTTTGCAGATACTGTCAAACACAGGCTCAGACAGGCACACAACACGGGTGCGCCACTGAAACATTTCTCCTAGTCAGGGCTGATGGGTTCGACCAGACATAGGGCTGGGCGATAAAACGATAACGATATATATCGCGATAGACATGTGTTCGATATCAATAGAGGATGGGGTCGATAGAATGTTCGATAGTTTAACTTAACTCCGTCAGGAAAAACAGGAAGAAAACACCGGAAGTAAAGCCGACTCATAAGCGCATGGCATTGTGGGGGATGTAGGCGGAGGCTTCTCGACCAATAACAGCCAAGCAGGAACCGCAAAACTTTGTGGGAAATGCAAAAACAACAACAACCGCAGCATGCGTAGTGTCCATGGATCTATAGCTCGTGTTTCAATGCAGTGTCAATGGTTATGCACGTACGTGCGCGGAATAACATGTGCGGCGGCAGAGGCAGTGGACAGACACGATGTATTCGGCGAAAGCAAGAGATTAACTTTTTCCTCGGGAAGCATGTGCGGCACAGAGCCGCACGGAGCGGTCACAGGGACACAAGACCCTCAAACAGCTAAACCAGGAGCTAAACCAGGAATAAAAAACCAGGATTAAACCAGGACTAACAACCATGGACACAGTGTGAACATATTTCTCCAGCCTCATCGCCCCGTGACTGTAAACAAGGCTGCTAAGGTTGGTTAGCCCACACAACAAATATATTTATTTAGGTAAAAAAAAAAAACTCAATATATATCGTTATCGACCGATATGAATGACTTATATCGTGATATAGTTTTCAGCCATATCGCCCAGCCCTAACCAGACATACCATCTTTCTTATTTTTTTGCAAAAGTATGTGAATCTATGAACACCAGCCAAAAATATGTAATTTATTTAAAAAGGTCTCCATTTCTCCAAGAATCTGAAAAATGTCAGTCTCCACAAAACACATATTTTTAGATTAAATGTTTTTTTTTCACATTAACATTATTTAAGCATATTAGTTTTTGAGTGAAATGACATTTTAATAATACATTTTCTGTCAGTGCTGTAATAAGCTTTCTATAGCAACCGATATATTATAATTTTGCATACTAATACAGTGCCTTGCGAAAGTATTCGGCCCCCTTGAACCTTTCGCCACATTTCAGGCTTCAAACATAAAGATAAAAATTTAATTTTTTGTCATGAATCAACAACAAGTGTGACACAATCATGAAGTGGAACGAAATGTATTGGATAATTTAAACTTTTTTAACAAATAAAAAACTGAAAAGTGGGACGTGCATTATTATTCGGCCCCTTTACTTTCAGTGCAGCAAACTCAGTCCAGAAGTTCAGTGAGGATCTTTGAATGATCCAATGTTGTCCTAAATGACTGATGATGATAAATAGAATGCACCTGTGTGTAATCAAGTCTCTGTATAAATGCACCTGCTCTTTGATAGTCTCAGGGTTCTGTTTAAAGCGCAGAGAGAACCATGAAGACAAAGGAACACACCAGGCAGGTCCGAGATACTGTTGTGGAGAAGTTTAAAGCCGGATTTGGATACAAAACATTTCCCAAGCTTTAAACATCTCAAGGAGCACTGTGCAAGCAATTATATTGAAATGGAAGGAGTTTCAGACCACTGCAAATCTACCAAGACCCGGCCGTCGCTCCAAACTTTCATCTCAAACAAGGAGAAGACTGATCAGAGATGCAGTCTAGAGGCCCATGATCACTCTGGATGATCTGCAGATAACTACAGCTGAGGTGGGGATGTTGTGTTCAGGGTGATGAGTTGTGTTTCTTTTACGACAAACATATCCTTTTGCATTGTGGCCAAAAAGTTTATTGGTTTCATCTGACCAGAGCACCTTCTTCCACATGTTTGGTGTGTCTCCCAGGTGGCTTGTGGCAAACTTTAAACGAGACTTTTTATGGATATCTTTGAGAAATGGCCACTCTTCCATAAAGGCCAGATTTGTGCAGCGCACGACTGATTGTTGTCCTATGTACAGACTCTCCCACCTCAGCTGTAGTTATCTGCAGTTCATCCAGAGCGATAATGGGCCTCTTGGCTGCATCTTTGATCAGTCTTCTCCTTGTTTGAGATGAAAGTTTGGAGGGACGGCCGGGTCTTAGTAGATTTGCAGTGGTCTGATACTCCTTCCATTTCAATATAATTGCTTGCACAGTGCTCCTTGAGATGTTTAAAGCTTGGGAAATCTTTTTGTATCCAAATCCGGCTTTAAACTTCTCCACAACAGTATCTCGGACCTGCCTGGTGTGTTCCTTTGTCTTCATGGTTCTCTCTGCGCTTTAAACAGAACCCTGAGACTATCAAAGAGCAGGTGCATTTATACGGAGACTTGATTACACACAGGTGCATTCTCTTTATCATCATCAGTCATTTAGGACAACATTGGATCATTCAAAGATCCTCACTGAACTTCTGGACTGAGTTTGCTGCACTGAAAGTAAAGGGGCCGAATAATATTGCACGCCCCACTTTTCAGTTTTTATTTGTTAAAGTTTAAATTATCCAATAAATTTCGTTCCACTTCACGATTGTGTCCCACTTGTTGTTGATTCATGACAAAAAATGTAAATGTTATTTATGTTTGAAGACTGAAATGTGGCGAAATGTTCAAGGGGTCCGAATACTTTCGCAAGGCACTGTATATATACAAATTTACAAAAAAATGCAATTGTTTCATAATAATAATTTTTTTTCAGCACAAATGGAGAAGATATTGGTTTGAAATAGTAAATACCTAGTGGCCTAGAAGGGAACAAGAATTGAATATTTTGTTGAACACTTGAGAGACTGGGTAATACAGTTATACCTTCTACTAAAAGAACATGAAAACAATCCGTCTTTACAGTCAGAACTGACGTAGCCCCTACTTCATCTCCTTTAATGTCAAACTCTGAAGCCTGACACCCACAGGGCCACGAGAGCCAGGCCTGAAATGGAGAGCCGTGACATCGAGCTGTGTGTGTTTATGGTCATGTTTCCTGGGTTTGAAACGCTGACAACTCAAAACACACTTCGTAACTGATAAACCAAAGTGCGTGCAGAGTTAGTGACCTTTATTTTTGGACTATTTAATGGGGATGTGTTACGTTTAATGCATGCATTTTGACATTTATCCCAATTTTCTTCTCCTTTCCTGTTTATATCAGAAAGTGAAGTGTTTGAGTCTGTTTGATGAATGTCCATGAAAGTGCAGGGACGTCTGTCTCTGCAAGTGCACTATCTGTCCTGTCTTTAGTTACGCCTCTGGGGGATGGGCAACAACAGGCAAGACACCTGTTGAAACTTATGTTGTACGTGACAGCCAGCCAAAAAACGGATGTATCAAAACTGGGTGCTGAAAGTAATACATTTTGTTGTGCATTTTAGATGAACAACAACAGGAAATCAACCAGTAATACAAACCTACTTTCTTTTAAAACGTAATATTCGTAAAACATACTTTGCATATTATGAATGATGTAGCAATCAACAAACTGTAAACACACGAAAATGATTGTCAACAAACATAGAAAACCAGGTTAGCTCATAATAACTGTAGATTGTTATCAGTGCCAGAAAAGGGAACTGAAGTTGGTTAGCTCTACATCTAGTTAGCAAATAAGCTAGCCTCCGAAACAATCCGAGCTGTTTAAACAATTTAGGCAGGTCAAACCAACACGGTTGTGCGTTTTAGTGAAAATACCCTGATGTTAAACACATACCTTCAAAAAGAACGACTAAATATATCTCCAAAAGCGTCAATAAACAGGCTAGCAACGAGGATCCACACAGCCAAATCCTGCGACGTTGCTGTTGCTGCCATCTTGTTGAACGTCGAAGCGAGACCAAGCGACTTTTCGGACATCTGAAGCTCCAAAATACACTAGTTACAGTATGTTACCAACTCCAACCACAATCCATGTTTTCAACTGCCGCCTTGGGTTTCAGCAAACGTCAGTTTATAGTCCGTTCATGTCCGAAATTCCGTGTTTGCAAACTTTTGCATCGTACGCCCAGTCCCCCCCACGGATAGCTGCTGCTGCTGGTGGCTGCTAGCTGTTGCTGCTGGTTCGGTAGCTTGTTGCTTCTCCGCATGTGTGGAATGTCATAGAGAGAAAGGGGAGGGGCAGGTGAGAGAAAGGGGAGGGGCAGGGGAGAGAAAGGGGAGGGGCGAGGGAGTGCGCGAGGAGGGGCGGGGGAGAGAGAGGGGCGAGGGAGTGCGCGAGGAGGGGCGGGGGAGAGAGAGGGGCGAGGGAGTGCGCGAGGAGGGGCGGGGGAGAGAGAGGGGGGAGGGAGTGCGCGAGGAGGGGCGGGGGAGAGAGAGGGGGGAGGGAGTGCGCGAGGAGGGGCGGGGGAGAGAGAGGGGGGAGGGGCGAGGGGAGGAGAGGAGAGAGACTGAGGGGGAGTTAACGTTCAAGCCACGTTAAATAATGGGAATAAGTAAAAACAAATCCCTCTAATGAGTTCCTCGTTTTAAAAAGACTTGGGTTCTATTAGGCCATGTTCATGAAAGAGGTCTAGAATTTGACTTCCATTCCAGGATTGTGGGAAATACTTTCTTTTTGCTTTATGTTAATGCTAAATAGTTACAGTTAACCGAGAAAAAGTTCCACAAACAGAATCCCTGTCGATAATGAGAAAAATTTTGTCAAAGTTGTGGTTTTGATCAAAATTTGGACATTTTAGCCTGATGTACCATGTTTGGAGGTTTCTCGTTGCAGAACTACTTATTTCATCAAAACCAAAATTATTTGACCATAGACATCACACCAAAAATTATGTATTCCTGGAATATTATCATTATTGAAGAAATATTTCAATACCAAAAATTATTATGAAAAACAATCATATTCAAATTTGGGCACTAAACTGGAAAAATTACCATAAACTGATTTCATGTCTAATGATTGTTGACTTTCCTTCAAATACCTCAAAGATGATGGTCAGAATGGTCAGAATGGTCAGAATGGGCATGGCATTGTCTGCATTGTCAGCATGGTCAGCATGGTCAGAATGGTCAGCATGGTCAGTATGGTCAGTATGGTCAGAATGGTCAGCATGGTCAGCATGGTCAGTATGGTCAGTATGGGCGTTGCATGGTCAGCTTGGTCAGTCAGTCAATGATTATTATGGTAATGTAAAATTGGGCACAATAATCACTAATGTACAGTCATTGTAGTCATCAGTGGCATAGCCAGAAACTTTTTGAGGGGTGCGCCTGCAAAGGAATTTTAGGCTAATTATTGATTTTTTTCTGCCAAATCAAGCAAAGGTACATAGATTGACACAAATATTTTTTATGTTGTTTTTGGATTTCTCACGAGGTAGGAGTAAGACACGATGTTGGATGGAAATATGGTAGCTAGGCTACACCAAAGAAGGCGGTGACAGTAGCTCAGTTGGTAGAGCATTGGCCTTTAGGCCTGAAGGTTGTGGGTTCGTTTCCCACCTCAACATCTTCTCCACTGACTCTCTCTGCTGTCATTGTGTCCTTGGGCAAACGACTCAGGAGCTGAAGATTTGCTGGAGGATCAGGGAAATCTTCAGCTCCTGGTGGTGCTCTGTGTACTGGGTGCAGCTCTGACTGCCACTCCCTCAACCCAAAAATGAATGAAGGGGAAGAAAATGGGTGGATGGGCTACGCCAAAGACAAAGTATTTTTCTATCCATGCCGATGGGGTGTCCAGTACACTGGAACCTATTTATGCCCATGTTTATAGCATTTCTCTATCAATATTTACATTTCTTAATGTTCAAATCTGTTTGTAAACGGCCTGCTTGATTTAAACGAGGAAAATCTTATCACATTCCTCTGCAGTTGTTGGTAGAACTGCCTGCAACTGCTATTCTAGTTCATTCGTGTGTCTGAGGAGAACGAACTGGAATACCAGTGGGTTTTCATGTTGACTGGTGTGAGCGCAACCACTTGTGCTTGAACACTAGTAAGACCAGGGAGATGGTACCTGTGCTAACACCAGTAAAACCAAAGAGATGGTACCTGTTCTAACACCAGTAAGACAAAGGAGATGGTACCTGTGCTAACACCAGTAAGACAAAGGAGATGGTACCTGTGCTAAAACCAGTAAGACCAAGAAGATGGTACCTGTGCTAACACCTGTAAAACCAAGCTACCATATTTCAATCCAACATCCTGTCTTAGGCCTACCTCGTGAGAAATCCAAAAACAAAATGAAAAATATTTGTGTCAATCTATGTACCTTTGCTTGATTTGGCAGAAAAAATTCAATTATTAGCCTAAAATTTCTTTGCTGGCGCACCCCTCAACAAGTTTTTGGCTTTGCCACTGATGACAACAATGACTATACATTAATGATTATTGTGCCCAATTATACATTACCAAAATGATCATTGACTGCATGGTCAGCATGCTGACCATGCTGACCATGCCATCCCCATTCTGACCATGCCACGCCCATGCTTACCATGCCATGCCCATGCTGACCATGCTGACCATGCCATGCCCATGCGGACCATGCCACCCCCATACTGACCATGCCCATTCTGACCATGCCACGCCCATGCAGACCAGGCTGACCATGCCACGCCCATGCCATGCAGTCAGTCATTGTTCATTGCACATCATGTTGCATCCATTGATTGATAAATGATGATTATGATAACCCTCACCCTCTGCCGATCATTTAAGTAAGTAAGTGATTCTTATTTATATAGCGCCTCAGACCGGAGTTACAATTGTTGTTTTTGGGCATTTGTCTCTCCCTTCACACAGAGATGGGAGCGAGGTCACAGCTCGCTCCCATCACATGCCAGACCTATTGTACATGTTTTCAGTGGTAGGGGAAACCGGAGCACCTGGAGGAAACCAGAACACCCGGAGGAAACCAGAACACCCGGAGGAAACCGGAGCACCCGAAGGAAACCCTGGTTGCCTCTTGCAACCGGGGGCTGCCTCTTGCAACCGGGGGTTGCCATCTTTGTTGACAAACACACCGACTCACTGACTTCATATCCAAGAAATCCGGCGCGCTGATTGGTTGAAACTTGGTCAATGGCAATTTACATACTACTTTACATGATAAAAAGTTCAAATTTCAGTTGGCCCTAGCAAAAATACGACAAGGATTCATTGTGTGGAAACTTCAAATTGGGTTAAAAAAAAACGTTGTAAACCCCTATTTCCTACAACGCTGGAACGAAAGTTAATTTTATTGCATCTAGCACATGGCCTATATCACTAGTTTTCAAATACATGTATTTTTGACCTGTGACATCATATACAATACAGTCTATGGTCACATCTTCAGATCAGCATTTTCAAGCAGAACATCAACATGTGACTCACAGGGCTCTTTCATACAAGTATGACACAGATTACATGGATTATGCATGAGAAAAAAAGTCAGGTACCCCATCTTTAATAGACAATAAAATAGTATCGGAATAATATATATAGTATATAGTAAGTAATATAATTCAAACACTAGATCCCATGGATTCAATGAATAATGCCATAGTTGTCCAGATAGTAATAAAACCAATGCATCATCCCCTCACCAACACATCTTCATTGCAGATTACACCTACAATATAGAAAAGGCAAGTAACTTTTTATGTATTTTATTATTGCTGGACTTTTAATGTAGGCTATTTGTGGTGTTATGTTTTATGCATGAATAAGCAATATTGAAATCCCTGTGTTTGACTTTAATTCCATTGTAATTATTGGGGGAAATAGCACCACCTGCCTTTCAAAAATGACAACCATCGTGAGAATGCAAACGTATGACTCCTGGTAGAATAATGACTTCTATGACCAGTGGACTGACGGGTAGGTGGTATTTATTGACATGCTAAATACATTCATGTGCTACACACAGGTCATGTTTTTTTAACACAGTCAAGATTTGAACAGTAGTGGTGCTGTTAACAAGCAATTGTATTGCATTGTAGCAATACTTTTAATACTTGTGGTTACACTAAAAGTTGTTTTACTGTACATGTGAACATACAGTACATAATATCATTGTTTTTCTGTTTTGTTTCTTTTAAAAACAAAGTATAAATTAATTTATGAATTAATTTAATACACTTGACACTCTGTGATTGAGGGCACAATTGCACTTCTTGGTCTGATTCACTTTAACTGCGCCGAGTCTGGTTCATTTGGGTGAAAATGCACAGATCTGTTTCAAAAGATATAAAGTGACCAAAGTGACATCCACAAATTAGCACTATATTCACAGAATGCCATCCATCCATCCATTTTCTTCCCCTTAATCCATTTCTGGGTCGGGGGGGTGGCAGTCAAAGCTGCACCCAGTCCACATAGCACCAGCCCCTCACTGATCCTCCTGCAGGTGGTGAGTCCACAGGAGCTGAGATCTTTCAGTTGGGGCTTTGGGCAAAGTAGGGTTAAGTGTCTTACCCAAGGACACAACGACAGCAGTCATCAGTGGGAGTCGTGAAGTAGGTCTTACGGTGGGCTCGAACCCACGACCTTCAGGCCCAAAGGCCAATGCTCTACCAACTGAGCTACTGTCGCCCCCCCTCTATTCACAGAATGGGTCTAGTTAAAGTAAAACAGACAAACACCTGTGAATGCACAAATAAATTGCCACTGCAAATAACCTGTTCAGAAAATACCAGCTATAATGTTGACAGCTTGCCAAGGCCAGAGCGTGTATTATTTAAGTTAGGTCACACAATGGAAAAATCTGTTGTACACAAAACCGTTGTACTGGGAGAACAAAACACAGGCAGGAGGACAGAGGGCAAAGCCACTTGGGCCTGGACAGAGTCTTGACCATAGACGAATTGAATAAAAAAAATAAAAAAAATCTAAACATGTGATTGTGTTATCTGAAATTACCACTTAAACTAGACACACAATCTGGAACTTTATGCTACAGACTTTTTAGTCATCACTTTTTACTTCATCCAGCGACAATATTTTCTGGATAATTCTTTGGTAAAATGGAGAGAAAACAAGCTTGTTAAAGTTGACGAGACGACTAAAGCGAACAGCCAGCTCCCTCAGCTCTTTGCCCACCGGGGCCAAACCTCCTGGTAGTGCTGACTGGGTCGGTTGTTGAGTAGACTCCAGAGAAGTGAGTAGATAACTGTGAACTCTAGATTCTGAAGAGAAGACAGATATTTAACAGTGTTTAATAACAAACCTATATCCTCTGAGTAGATAAGCATAGTGGTCTTACCTATGAGTTTTCGAACTGCATTGTCTGGTAGGATAGCTGCATTAATCTGCCCCTTTAAAGTGGCTTTTGTGTCAGTTGAGTATTGGGAGTAACCATGCTGGCTCAGACAGTCATTAAGCTCAACACACAATTTCTCCCCAATGGAGGATAAAGCATCTTGTGCAGAAAACGTCCTTGAGACAAGACAACAAAAATCAAGACTGGTACACATGAACACCTGTTGGAATAAACATCTAATTGCCACTCACGAGGAGTGCATGTCAGCTAGCATGACATTAACAGTGGTTTTTAGTGTGTCCATTAGTCCAGGTAAGCCTGATATTGCTTCTCCTGTCGTAGTGTATACAATGAGAAGGATAGAAGACTGTAAAACTAGGTGCTCAACTTCTTGCTGCATCTCCAGGAACCTCATCTGATCCATTAATATGGTCTAGACGGAAAATGTAAATAAATACATAAATAAAACATCAGGCTAAAGCTTGAGATATGTTTGTACCTCTGGGAAGGGTTCTGCAGAGTGGTCCCATCTGAGCAGGCGTAGATAGGCCCGATTATGAACGTTCAGTGGAAGAATAGATGGACAATCAGAAGCACCGGCAACAGCCGGCTCTCCAATAGTGTTTAAAGTATCCGTTAACCACTTCTCAGTGTAATCCAAGGCATCTAAACAGAAAGAACCATGATAACATCCCTTAAGTACTAATAAGATTAGTTGTTTTTTTTTTTTGTAATGTAGATACTAACATCCTCTTTACAAAAAATATATATATTCAAAAAACAAGTTTCCATTAATGAGAAAATTAAGAAAAATAAATTTGTTCTTACTAGGTTGTTTATCAAGAAACTCCTGGAACTTGGTCCTTTCATACTCCACTGACTGCTGCATCAGATGAGGCCTGAGGCTGCTCACAGTAAAGTTAGCCATGTCCAGCTTCATCAGGTCCAACACATTGAAAATGGATCTATATTTATCATTATTAAAACACAAAATCAAACTTATCAGACATACTACAATACAAGTTTAAAGGATCAGTCACAAAGTTTTATACCATTGTAAATATATTATTATTTTTACTGTCATAATGTTGATTTATTCAAAAAGTTCCACATTGTTTATCTTAATATTTAGACATTTTATTCTCAAGCTGATTTTCTCATTAGAGAGCGGAATGAGCCTCATGTCTCTCATTTGGGTTGTCAGTTTCAGTTATTTTCAGTCCTCACCATCAAAAACCCAGCACCAGAACTTGTGTGTATTTTCTAAATGAAAGTTGCCACCCTTGCAACACACTTAGGTTGTATTACCTTTTAAAATATGTATTACCAGCACGGCAGATGGTCTCTTTACCATTTTCATCAACAAAAGAAACACAAATGGAGCTTTGGAACTTACTTCAACAGTGGTACTATATCTGTGATCTCTTTTAGCTTACTGATATCCTCATCTCTACATGGAGCACACAGACTCCCCATCATGCCAACAATGAACTGGGAAAGCTGCGCAATATTGAGCACTCCTTTCTCAGCCTGCTGCTGAATCAGGGGCAGGTCCAAAACTTCCTCAATGCGACGTCGAAGCATTTGCCCGTGACCAGGTAGCAAGAAACCCAAGAGAGTCTGAGAGACAAAGCAGATCAATATATAAACTATTTAAAAGAACAATTCATATTATAAACCATACCTCTTTAATACTAGTTAGTAATTTAATAGCATGGTCATACGAAGGAGGCTCATCCTTTAGTTGTGAATCCAAAGAATCCCAAAATGCTTTGTGCATAATCTCCTTGACTTTGCGTTCCAAACTAAAAGGCAGCAAATAAGAGTTTAAAAGTCATTTTTAAAATAGAAACACAATGAATTTACAAACACCAAACCTTTCTTCTGGAAGTTCTGAGGGCATCACTTGAAAAACTTGGTTCACAACAATCTCATGGGCCAAAGCCATATTAGCGACTCCTTTAGCGGCTTCCATGAGATCTTCAGTGGAGACACACCCAGGGAGAGGACTGGCTATGATGACAGGTGAACATTTCACTATTGACAAGATTTTTTCAATCTTCAAATATTTATTTGCATTTGACCTGTAACTATTATGGTAAAGTGAATGAACAGCCCTAATGACATATCAAACTATGTGCTCACCTTGAGGAGCGCTTCCTCTGTGTGGGCTTGGGGTTTGTCCTCGCCCTCTATTCCTCACCATCTCTGATGTTTTCTCAGGCTTCTCTTCTTTTGATGCTGCTCCCCCTTCCCTGGACTCATCTGAATCTTTGGGCATCCTGGACTTTGAATTGACACCAAACGTATACACAAAATGTCATGTTAAATGTGGCTAACTAAAACAGTTCCAATACTATTTATAGGCTATTATCATGAAGTATGTTAGTATTTACAACGAAGACATCACACGAAAGAAAAATGTTGTAAAAAAAAAAATGCACAAAACAAAGTGCGTCACATCACTAACAAGATAATGGATGTCGGCATGCTCACTGTAAGCCATGAGATTTAATTTCAATCTCCCAAATATCACAACAAAGGCCCAGACTGCGTAAATACCTTTAATATTAACTGCAGCCCTGAAGTACTTTTATATCCAAACGATTTGAGATGGCTAACGTTAGCGTGGACCGTGTTGATGCCTGATGCCAGAGACCATGCACTTCCTGTTTTGGGTGTGGCTAAAGTGGGCTAAAGACGTAACGAGCGATTCAGATCGAAAAATGTAATAATATTAATATTTAATATAAGTTTTCTTTGTGGACGTATCATTGAGTACACAATAAAATAAAATAATATATACATAATAAAATAAAATAAAAATGCCTCACCCTCTGTTTATGCATATTTTTCAGTTTGGTCTCGAAAAGTGAATACACACGCGCAGCACGAGTTCAATTATAGTATAATATCAGAGATGAATCTAATATGATATAGTTACATTCTGACAAAACAGCAATGCTTGAAATAGTTTATTCACACCATATACATTTTAAACCATCTTGTTAAATGCAGAGGGCACAAAGACAGTAGTTTCATTGCTTATTATTTAAAGAATACTAACAGCAGAATCACCAAAATACTGATTAAAAACTTCAGGATGTGCTTGGTAGAATTGTCCAAGTAAACGTTTTCTCTCTTTGCTGGATATTTTCATGTTACAGTGAATATTGTCCAATAGTTTCCATAATTCTTCATTGGTAGTTGTCTTTGTTGAGTCTGCATATCTTCTTTTTGAGATCTGAATACAATATGAAGAGCCTGACAAAGTAAAATGTGTCCAAGTAGGTTACAATTCAAACTTGACAGCAATATCAATATGGAGTATTGTGACCAAATACAGTACTATTTACCAGTCACACCAGGCTCTCCTTGAACATGTTGTGCTAACTTGTCACTCACTTCTTTGTGCAGAGCACCAGGAATCTAAGAGAGAAATGTTACTTTAGAAAGGAATTATAAAAATCTTCATTAAACAGAATTGTTATTTATGCTAAGTAAAATATTAGTTTAAAAAAAGCGAGTAGCACGCAATATGTATGTATCAGATACAGTATATAGTCAATAGTAATTTCAGGAATTGCAAGCCATTGTTTCATTTGGGCTACCTTAAAGATTTCATGGATATTGCTGAGCATGAAGACAACCATCAGGTCTTCTTTTTCCTTTGTGAGACTTTTGCTGTGAAGAATGGCCCTAGAGAATGACCTCTTCACTGCTAATCTGTTTACCATCTGTAAGCATAAACAACATTCAAGTGAAACTACCCAACGCTGTAAGAAACATGTGTGAATGGGAGAGTCTAACTTCGGTCTCTAGTTTGACTGCCTGTGGTTTGGCTGCCAGAGCCATGAAGGTCAACAGTCGACACAGCTCTTCTCTATTGTTGTGGGGCAACAGCTTCAGACACAACTGCAAGGCCTCCAGAGCCGTGCCCAACTTGGCTGTCACTAGAAGATGTGCAACCACCCATTATTTTGTATACACACATCACATCATCACGCTAATCAAACACTCTCAACATATGTTACAAATCTTACCAAGTAGTTCAATGATGGCGTTGTAAATGTCAGTCATGTGTTGAGGCATCAGTGGAGCTCTGGCTGTGTGGCTGTAGTGCTTGGCCAAGGCTCCATACACCAAAAGCTTAAACTCATTTAAACTGCCAGACGAAAGCACGGGCTGTTCATAACTTGACTCTTGTACTTCACTAGGATCTTCAAAAAAAGTTATAAAATGTGAGATACGTTACACAAGACTAAAATTGAAAATTATTTTGTACATAGCTAAGAAATTGGTGTAACAATGTTCACCATCAGAGAAGCATCGAGAGAGTGCCCTGCTCAAATCCACCACAAACTGGTCCGGCAGATAATCCAGACAATTCAAGGCAGCTCTCAGCCACTCATCCTCCCTATGGTTGTAAAAGATGAATACATTAAAATATATGTATTTGGGGAGAAGAAAAAAAATGCAACAATACATTTGTTGCAATACGTTTGTGAGCAAATTGAGTTAATAATGACATACTGGGAGTCCCTAAAAGCTTCGAGAATCTTCCGATCAAGAAAGTGGCTGCTGTGAACGAGATGTGAGCTATTATGCAGCTGCTGCTCTTTTTGAGGAGACGCTGGAGTTGGACTGTACTGGAGAATCCCATCCAGCACAGGGACTTCCACCAAGTTCAAGAGACGCAGCAGAGTCAGCTCCTGCCAAACTTCATTGATAACTAAATCACATAATGAAACCGCATATTTACTACAAAACACACACACACAACATAAACCACTATACAGACTGTTATTTGCAAATTTTTTCAGATGGCTGGCTTACATGACTGTGGTAATTTGGCTTCTGCTTGGACCTTTCTTGGACTTGGAGTCAAACTGTTAACAGCGGCCTCCAGTGTCAGGTTGTCCATGTCGGGAACGACCATTTCAACATGAGATCTATTGGGAATTGTCTGCTCCTCAAGTCTATAAAATAATTCCAAATAAAAAAGGTGTTTAGAACAGTGGTCCGCAATGTGAGAAACTAAACCCCTAGAAAAGAGTAAGGCACGGACAATCTAAAAACAAAATATCTTCGCGCCAGACCTTTCTAATGGGACATTGCAAAAAAAGTGTTGAAGTCCCACAGCAAGAACTCCCCTCTCAAGCTCGTCAACAGATGGTATATGTACACCAATGAACCTGTAATGAAATTATAGAAATAAGAATGCAGGAATTATACTTTGTAAAACACATTCACTTTTATTCAGTAGGGAAAATGTTTTTACAAACCTGTAAAGAGAGTTTTTACAGTCCTGAAACAGTTGCTTCTTGTCTTTTCCAGCTGATTTTGTTCCCACCACCTCAAAAACATTGCAATCCAACAGTGCCTGGCACACACACTGCACTTTATCACGCGTCACATATACACCTGAAGAGGAAATCAACACATTTAAAGTATTACCTTTTTCTCAAATAAAAACTAAAAACACACCAACCTTCAATATTCATGGAGAGCTTAAGGTGTTCTGCCACCACATCCACAGCCTCTGAGCCGAGGAAGCAGTCATTGTGAGATTTCATGTGGACACGTCTCCTCTTAATGGTTACAGTGGACTTGAGGCAGGTAATCAGGGAGCGCCACTGGAGACATTTGTGGACTGGTTTAATGTCCTGTCCAGACGCTGAAAATCAAAGGCAACCCTAATTTAATTAAATGACATAGACTGGAAAGGCATTGGACTTGGTTTGTCGAAAATCTCAGCTAAAACGGTAACATTTCAAGCAAAATCATGGCAAAAAACTCTAGAAGCTGCTCACTGAACTCTCATTTTGCCAAACCAAATACAAACTCAAATGCATTCATATTTAGGCCTAGCAATAACTTACTTGGGCGCACAGAAAGCTTTTCTACGAGATTTAAAGCTGCGCCTCGGTCCTTGATTGAAGCCATATTCAACTTTAAAGTCAAACTTAGCAAGTGGAAAAACACCACAATCAAAGCGAAAGTTTGTATTTGTAGCAGCGTAGCGTAACCGCTAGATGGCGATATTGTCTCGCTGGAGAAGACGATCATCCATCTTAGTCAAAGCACATCGAAGTTTCCTCATTTCTAGCTTGTAATACCAAGTAATATTTATTAGCAATAATCTATATTGTTCAACAAAACAACCAGAGTAAGTTACTATTATAACACGCAATGTCCCCTTACTTTATTGTGGTCTATGAAATAATAACGTGTAAAACAGGAATTTATAGATGTAAATGGATGTTAGTTAAACTAAGTAACTTAATCGTTGTGAGTTTTTTCCTAATGTATGCTAACCGCTAAATCGTTGTAGCATTAGCGGCTAGCATACATTAATTTTGCTAATTAACATAAAACAATAATTCAATCAAAATGTCGAAGAAATCCTCCTCACTTTGTCCCTCAGAAGTGGATCTTGTGTTAAAATGATAAAACATAATAAAAACGGGGATAACACTGTGTTTCTGGGAATATAAATCCGTTTAACAGCTCACAGTTTATTTCTTTTATTATTTCTTTATTGCTAAAATCTGCCTCAGTCCCGTTCGGCATATAACATTGGTGAAGGCTCCCGATCTCTCAAATATGATTCGGGTTCTGTCTTCCTTTTCTTTGTGCCTCAGGTCACTTCCATTTTTATGGTCTGATTCAATTCTAACAGGGACCATTTCATTCCCCGGGGTGATTGATTCCAGCCCAGGTCAAATGGGACTGAGGGTCTGTTCTATTAGGAGATCAGTGGCTAGTGGAGAACTCCTCCTAAAATAATCATATTTTGTGGCCATGCGTGTGTCAGTCTTGTTTATGTTGAGAAAACAGTTACATGCACCAACCAATGCTCGAATAAAATGACTTGATGATTTTCAAAGCAGGGACAGCGCAATTTGTCCACTTGCTGTTATTGCTCTGACCCCTATTAGTGTCAATGGTGTGGTTCATTTGAACCTAGATAGCTTCTCAAAGTATTATCCTCTTTGTGCAGTAGATTCTGTGTGACACACAAAGGGAGGAGGGAAATGAATGGTCATTTCCGAGCCATTAGGTGAGATTATTGTGATTGAGAAACATTTTGAGCCTTTAATGGACCTCTCTATTATTTCTAATAAAACCATTTAGCAGAGAAAATGCAGATTAGTAGCTCGTTTAATGCTCAAAGGAAGTGGAGCGGTGGGTGTCTATCCATTAGGGAGTTTATTCTATTAACCTTTTTTAACAAAGGATATTTTCTCTCTATTAAGCTTACATTACTTCTTTGTAAAGCCCTGGATAACCAATGGATGGATGTGATATGACCAATCTCCCCTGTGGCCTCACAGTAAGATGAACACAGGTCACAAACATTTGGAAAATATTTAAATCAAGTCAAAATGTGATGAATGATTCATGTCCCCAATATGTTTAGGCTGCAGGTCCTGAGTGTGAGCATGGACCACCTGATCTTTGTCTGCCTCAAAGTGAGGAAAACGTCTCACTACAGTTGCTTGAATTCAAAGCGCACCTACTTGAACTGATAGAGGAGCTGCACATTCGAAGGGTAATATTTATGCCAATAAATATTTATTTATTTTGAAAATTCAAAAATAGTAATTTATTAGTTTTAATCGTGTATCTCCTGACCCAGCCCTACCTGTATTGTGGAATAAACGTACTATCATTTCCGTGCAGCATGTTTTGTGTAGAGGTCTTTTTACTTTACTTTACTTTTTACTTTGTATTAAAAACTTTAAATATGTTTTGCCGTTTTGAACATACTGTTGGACATTTTTAATATTGATACCATGACCCCAGATTCTTCAGCAAGACATCATCCTGTTTTTGTCTTTCCATAAAATGAGTTTAGATTACCTGGAATGATGCCATCTGGTTACGGTGCAAATAAGGCTTACAAAAAGCCATTTGGCCCTTGACCAATAAATACAAAATACATCTACAATTTGCTCGTGGAGACTGCAGTAGAAATAAATCCTTGCTTCCAGCCTTGAGCAAGTAGTTTGAGCTTATCAACACACAGTGCGTGTATTTAAAGGTTAAATGGTCAAAAATGGGATGTTGGTAGTTTGTTGTAATTTGATTTTTATAGTTATTGTCCTGTTAAGCGGGACACAAACATTTGCTGCTATATCAGTTTGATGCTCCTCAGGCGCTCTTATCAAACAGCTTGTTCCCATTGGACGGAGGGTGAGAGGCAAAAAGGATGTAATGATGTGCCGGACATTCCTGCGGAGGTCACATTCCCTTTTCTTCTAGACAGTGTGACCTAGAGCAGTTTTAAACTGTGAAGATTAGAATAGACTGGATCTTCTGATTTTAGTGATACAAATTTGACTGGATTACGCTATATCCAAAGAAATAGAAATTGATTAACATAATGAATGAATGACTATATTTTTTATGTTTACTTTTTTCTGGCATATTCTGACATCCTTATCTGCATGTTGATATTTATGCGGTAAATTAGCTGCTTCATCCTGCTGTTCTCTTTTATATTCTGTGCAGAGCCACTGGTAGCATAGTTTAATAGGAACTTATAAAATCATCTTAGTGGGTTAACCAGCTCCCACGTCCAAATAAAAAAGTCTCCTGGATATAGAGAGCAATTGACTTTTAGCTTGCGTCTCTGGGATGGAGGGAGGATAAGGATGGGTTTCTCCTAATATCGCCTCCCTTCTAATGTTCCTTACTGTGGGTGACTCACCGAGCGGTGCACCGTAATGAACCAGAGAAACTTACTGGAGTTTGGAAAGCACTCCAGACTGTGTGTGTTTATGAAAGATGAAGTAAATGATTCCATGTTATATAATTTCACTGCTACCTTACCTGTATGAATCTATATAATGAATGTGTATTTTATCAGGATGCAGAAGAACGTTTTGAAGAACAGAGAAATAAGATTGTGCTGGAGAAGCAGGAGTTGGAATGGGAAAAGGTACCGTTTTACATTTTCTTTTAATTATTTCATATTTATTTTTTTTGTATTGCAGAAATCTTTACAACATCAAATAGAATCAGAGAAAAATCACTATGCAGAATCACTCTCTAAAGCCAACAAACAGGTATTTTTACCCTCTTAAAATTTAATTCAAGTGTATTTGTATAATACATTTCAAATGACTTCCATGACCAAAATGCCCTCATGAAAGTCTATAGGGCTGTCAAAGCAAAGACATTGAACTTTCTCATGAAAAATCACCTGTCATACTATGGAACATTCTCTGTCAAAATATACAGTATCAGTTAAAAACCAGAATGTGGCATGTTGTCCTGTTGGAGGAGGTATGAGTCAGGTTTATGGTGATGCAGAACTGAATTAGTCAGGGCTTCCAGGTCCGAGCCGATTTAGGTATTTATTTTCCTTTGTCATAAGCCGTTAAATTAGCACAATATGTAAACTCATAAAAACTGTTAGGTACAGTTATGATGTTATGTTCTCAAGTTTCAGGAAACATTGAGAAATATTGAAGAGGAGAAGGTAGGGAGGTTTTATGTGTTTCTTTCAATACAAGCCTGTAACATAATTTTTTCATATTAACATTTAAATACTGATTTAGAACAAATACCAGGTGAACTCCGAGCAGAAAGACAAAGACATCCAAAACTTAAAGGAGGAGCTGAAGTCTTTGCAGGTATAGTGTCTCTGAGCTTATTTGAATGATTAAATAACATTGTATTTAAACTTGCATTGGGCCATGATGGTGTCACAAAGGCCCAGAGTCCACACAGAGCGCTGCTGCCCTGACGCACAGAGGTGATATACAGCTCACGGTGCGCTCCAGTGCACTTAAACAGCCCAGCCGTGTAAGGGACACAATAGAGGCTGTTTTTGATATTCTATCTGTGAGACGCTGGACTGAGGGACGCCCCGTTAGTTAATTATTCTGACCACTGGCGTCAAGGGATAGAGTGGTCTAGATCTCATTTTATGTGTGTAGCACGTTTATATTGTTTTAATAGATGTAATATGAAGTACATTTGAAAGCTTAATACGTGTAATTAATGACAATTGATCTTAAAAAGAATTTTTTGTTTATTTTTTTTACATTAAAATATTATATAAAGAAAAGGTCAGTTATTTCATAATTTTTTTCTACAGTTAACTAAGTACAACTTGGAGAAGAAATCAAGTGAACTGGTAAGTACTGAAAAGAGAATAAGTCTGCACATACTAATTATTGTATTAAGATTGGTGGGAGTTGAAAATATTAAAACGGGGCTGAGTGCAGAGCGCTAAGGAGGAATGGCTTTTGAGGTAAAGAGCTCATCAAAAGTAACGGGATGGGGAGTGTGTGACACTTTGAACTGCCGGCACAGCAGAGAAAATATCTATTAAAATATTTTATAACTAAGCTTCGCTCGGTTTAACCTTTTTCATAACAGTTGCTCTATGATATTCATTTTAGAGTGTTAAGGGAGTGGGAAATGGAACCAAGAATGTTCTTGTTACAGCTAATAAAATTGGAATGGCAGTTTGAAAAGTTAGTTCTGTGAATTATTAAATTCAGTGACACAAAGTTGCATCACTAAATTTAATACAAGGAATAATAACTTCATCCAGGTGTATCTTATTTTCTTTATTTATTTATCGAAATTGGTTAATTCACATATTTGATCTATGTCGTTATCTGTACTCACAGGAACAGAAACTCACCTTGCAGAGTCGATCAAAAGATAGTCGCCTGAACCAACTTTCAGATGTGGAGAAAAGATTTAGTGCTTTGTCAAGGCAGTGTTCTATGGTGAAACAGGCACATGGAAAACTTGAACAAAATGGTAAAGAATGTGCAATTGTAGTATGTTAAAAACTACTTTAGAGCAGAGTGCAACAATGTGTCAATTGTCATCACAACATGTTCACTGTTCAGACTTTCAAAGAGGATCACTTGTCATTAGCACATATTTATTACTAATATGTTATTCATATTTGTTTTTACAAATTACAATTGATTTAAACCAAGCCTACATAAGACAGTAAATTTGGACTTATTAAACTATTAAAATAACTGGTCTGCATGAAATTCTGAAGATGTGAGGTTTCCGTCTGTTATTTTCTTTAAGCAGATTCAATGTGTGTTTTAGTTGATGAAGCAATGAAGCTCAATAAAAAGCTTATTTCCACCAATGAAACACAACTGGTCACGATTGCCTCTCTTAACAAGGTATGGGGAATTCTCGTGTGTCCAGTTTAGAGTACTTTTACTTGTCATTGTTACCATGTCTTTGTATCATCTTATTCAATTGTCGCTGTGTACTTTTAGGAAGTAGAAGAACTTAGAAGTAAGTTGGTAAAGACCAAGATGACCTCTGTCATTTCTGAAAAACGGACTGATCACCCTTCAATAAAAGAGCAAACTGTAAATCAACTCCAGCTTCGGCTCAACATGGTAATCAACAAATACAATCATACATCAAGAGACTGTCTGGTGTAAAGGCTCATTTGTACATCCTTAGGAATGTGAGATGAACAGGAAATATAAGAATGAAAACAAAGTTCTGCAAGCAGAAAAACAGGTTTCATTTGAATGGACAAATATGAATTCACATGGGCTTAAATAATGTATGTTTCTCTTGACTTTAGGAGGTGTTGACATCTTTGCAGATTGCTCATCAGCTTTTGTCCAAACAGACTCAGACAATGAGCCGACTGGAGCTGGATTTAGAGGCCCAAAGAAAGCAGTACCAGGTGAGAGCTTTGTCCAAACATTATTCAATGTCAATTGATCTGATGTATTTGAATATTCACTCATGGCCAAAGCCTGGATTTACTGAAGTATTAGGGCAGAAAGTATATGGCATGTTTAATGCATGATATGACAAATAACGTGATCTATATAACACCACATACTTAAGCAGATATGCCTCTCTCTGAAACCAAATGAGTCTGAGCAGTCACGCCAATTTATCACTTTAGCATTTAATGCCTTTAATATGTTTTCACTGGACATGGCGTTGGATTTCACTTCCTCTATTCATTAGTTTTATTAAAATCATTATTAAAATGACACAATTGATTTGTGTAAGCAAGAAGAGTCTCTCGTTGTTTTGTTAAAACCCTGCAGTTCATGTTAAATAAACTCATAAAAATTTAGTATTGCATTAAAGTTGTATGGGTAATTAATTTTACTGCAGAGCCTTGAGCAAGATCACAAGGCAATGCGAGAGAAAGAGAAAACAGCGGAAGACCAGATTAAACAACTAATGGAGGAGTGCACTGTTTCTAAAAGCAGCTGGGACAAAGAGGTAGAAACTGACTTATTTATTGTGTTTCAATAGCAAAGCTTTGAGTTCATGGATTTGTTTGTTGTTAGAAAGCGGATTTTTTAGAGCAAATGAAGAAAGAGAAACAAGAACTCACATCAGTCAAAGAGGCCTTCGAGGAGCTTCGCCAGAATCACACAGAGCTCTCATCAAAGGCTGAAGAGCAGGCACAGCTGATCAGTGAACTCACTGTACTTAATAGTACATTTTAATTCAACTTTAATCAATAAATCTATAATATTGTGTTTTGTATGTTTGGAAGATTAATGTGAAAGAACTGGACCTTGTTATCCCATCCAACAATACTCAAGATGGCATTGACAGTGTATCAAAGATTGATGTGTCCGGAGGTATGTATTTAGCCAAATGACCATGTGAAATAATACAATTCATATTTGAAGAATTAACTGTTGTTATTGTGTAGGGCATGCAGTGTATAATGAGAATTATATGAATGACATAAACTCAGAATTAAAGGCTAATTCTCCCATTTCTAATGCTGACAACTGCCCCCCTGCAAGTGCCCTCAGAGAGACCACCTCTGAACTCACAAACAGCTGTACAATGGATGACGCCTCAGCTGATGTTGAAACAAGTACTGTGTCCCAAGCTTGTGAAACTCAATTGAACTTCTCAGCCACATCAACCTATGCATTAGAATTTCAAAGTTTACAACTTGACACAAAAAACACGTTCCAAGAAAATGGCGATTCCGTTGAAAAGGCCCACAAAGCCACTGAGGAGAAAGATGTGCATGTGCAAGAGAATTGTGAAGAAAGCACAAAGAATGGAGCAGAAGACACCGATCTTTCACATATGGAAGAACATGCTCAGACAACACATAACCCAGGTGAACAGTCCGTTATCGATCATGCCACGCCAACATTAAGGGTTTTGAAGGAAATTGCAGCTAAAACAGGTGTGGAATTTACTTTATCTGAGAGACAGCCACAGTTGGATGAAGAGGAAAATCTTCCCCATGTGATTGAAGATACAAGAAATGAAACACAAATTAGTGCCTTCGATATTGTTTTACAAAGCACAACGAATGAAAAAGTTAACCATGTTCTGCCTCTGCAAAAGATGCGAAGAGCCGACATGTTTCCTGGTGACTCTATAGAGCAAGTTTGCAAGTCCAAACATGTGAAAAACAGCAGTCCTCTTGTAAAGACGACTTCACCTTCAGTTTGTCATGATTTAGAAGAAAGCACAGTAATGGTGTCCGCGGAATCCATAACTGCTGAACTTCCCAAACCTCTTAATAAGTCAAGTTCATGTCAGTCCCAAAGTGATGCCGCTCAGCTGGACAGTGTCAGTATTCAGGAGACGACTACGATGCAGACACAAATGGTTAGCCCTTCTGACACCCCAGGTCACGTGAAGGACACGGTTGATGAGAGTGCGAAAGAATGCTCTCCGGTTAATGAAATAGTAGAAGATACAGTTGGTCTTGTAAGTCAGAAGGAGCTCTCTGAGAACAATAATTTGACTAATTTGGTGAGAGGAACGAGCCATGATCTGACTAATCATGGTGAGAAAAGGACAGACAGGGAGCAAGTGGATATTATGGACAAGTGCAAACAGTCTGGTGTTGATAAGAATACAGACAGTGTTGACTCTTGGGATGAATTTGAACGTTTTCTGAAGTTGTCAAAAATGCCTAACAAAGATAGAGTGCACTGGTCAAAGGAAAGTGATCTCAAGGCTGACTTTCTCAAATCACAATTGAGTGGTGCGTCTGATTGCAAGAAAAATATTGTCGCAGAAGAATCAAAAATGTCAGAATTTTTTGTACCATTGAAGACCACCTATAAACCATTGTTCGAATGGGGCTCTGCTCAGAGACGAGCACAGAGTTCCTCTGCTAGCTCTGGCACGTCGGCTCACAGCGTTCTTTTAACTGTAAGTTGAATTGAGTTTATTCCTCTCAGTTCACTTGAGATTAATAAACTGAAAATGAATTTCGTCATGTTGCAGTCATCCCAAATGTCTTCTACTAGCGATTATCTCAGTAGTTCTTCCAGCACAATTTCCATATGCCACAAAGGAAAATACAGCAAAGGTAAGATTTCATACAATGTTATTACATTTTGATTTGAGTGTCATATCACCTCATTCTGTGTAGTTCCCTTGACGATTACAAGAGCAGCAGACTTGTTGAGCTGCGGCACAACTGCTACTTCTTCTGGAAGTCATCTGCAGACCGAGTGCAGGGCTCTCGGAGAAGCTCACATGGACACAACAGCACAAATGGTTTGTCCTCTAATTTTATTTGTGGAGTTTTTAGTATTGTGGGGTATTGTTGCGTAAAGCTTGCATTACGCATGGAACACTCTGGGCCACATGCTTAGATAGAAAGAACTGAAATGCGATTCACTAATATGTGATAGCTGTCTGAGCATAATAGCAAAAAAAGCCCATGCCCAATATAAACTCTGTAGCACCACCTATAGGATGACTGTAACCTAAACCTTGCCCTATCAGACTCAAAAATGCTGAGTATTAATTGGAGAGGGAGTGGGCAAGGGCTTTTATTGCTGCTTGCGGCTTTAATTGTAGTATTATTATTGTCCTTTATTTACTATGATAGTCACGCTGAGATTTCATAATCTCTTTTTCAGAAGAGTATACTGGCCTCAGAAGGGAGGAGCCTATAGTAAAACTGTGTTAGTGCTTAATGTCATGTTAGTAAGAAGTGTTGTTTTAACTAAAGGTACAAATCAATACCAACTGCAAACACCTTTTAGGAGAAGATAGAAAGTTCTAACTTAAAGTGTTGACAGTATATTTTAAGATTAAAGACGGTAGTCATACATTATTCAATCTAAGACATAATGATTTTGTTTTTTCGCAACCAGAAACTGTGCCTGAACTACATCATCTTACAAACTGTGACTATGTAAGTCCCAGGGGAGTTTACTCTAAACTCTAAAGAATATTACTTTTGTTTAAATCTGACAAGTTCCCATACAAAATATTGAAATGACTTCCAAAAATGTTACAAGTACAAGCTATTGTCCAGGTCAAAGTTGTACTCTGACATCCTAGTAACTTTTAGCAAGTTCATATTAAGTGATGAATGATGAACATGGCTAATGCATGCTGAGCTCATATACAGTGTATGTACTGTAGACAGTTGTGGAGACACGATGAATGACCTGTGTAAAAGAATGGGGCTGATGACGCCTGGGTACCTCTGCTCTCTCACTCACTCAGTCTTATCCCTCCATGTGCTCGCTCACTTCATCATCTGTCCCCTGTTCACGGCAGGTCCACAACCGTTGCACTCTGGTTCACTTCTGTTTCTTTTCCCTGCCCTTTTGTCACATCACCACAAAATGTCCCTGTGCGGCTAATGGAAACCAGGTGCGAGCAATTGGGCAGATATAAAATACTGTACAATTAGAAGGAAAAAATAAACTTGATATGGATTTTACTCTGGTAGGATCACATATAGTTTAAATATATATTGTCATTAGGGGTGTGTATATAAAATAGTTGTGTTATCATACAACCACAATGTAAAAACACGTTTGACACACTTACAATGGAGACCAGTTGAAATCATGTATTTTAGAAGCTTATGGCCTCTGTAATACAGAGGAATGAATAAAATAAAAAAATAAAAAATGGATCCTCACAATGTACTTATGACAGGCTGGACAGCACATTCCATAATTGAACAAATAATGTGGTTTGACTTAAAAACTTTTTTTTTTCATTACATAATGCTGGTTTTATTTCCTGATTGAACGTGGACGTGTTTTAAAAGCATATCAATCTTTAAAACCAGCACAATGGTACACAATTGTACAACTCAGGAAAGGAAACATTAAACCATGTACCAAACACATAACGTTTCATGGTATTCACCTGTTTAAGTTTAAAATGAAATTATGTGCATTGGCTCAATACCAGAGTAATAACATTAGTATAACATGACAGTTACCTTTTTTGATGTCAGAAGAATCTCTTGTTTGCACCATTGTTATTAGTGCCGAGGACTTTCACAATCTTCCTGTAGCCCTCAGTCCTGCCCCTCAGCGCGGTGTCCCCTGTCCCTGTATTTTACAATGTATGCACAGCTTTTGACAGCTGCAGCAGCACTCAGACCTACAACAAACAGGTTTGATATTGTGGCGATTGTACTTCAGCATTCATGAGTTCAGGTGGTTAAAAAAGTGTATAAAGCGTCTGGTGAGGGGTTTTATATATAGCTGCTACTTCGCTGATTACTATGATTTAATTTTTAGGTGGAATTTTGTTTATGGATGACACAGGTGGCATTCCTTCATATCGTTGGTGACAAAAGGTGGCAATCAACTTTTGTCACCAACAGAATCTATTGAGCACCAAACAAAGTAAAGCAACAACATCAATAACCAACAATAATGCCATTATGATGCTGTAAAAATACTACTAAACGTTGTCCCTCTTCAGGACAGCAGAGGCTCACCATCTGACGCCGCCTCATTAGTGTCTGCTTCCTCGTCCGCACTCAGCAGACCACAGACAAAGAGGTTTGTAGAGGATAGAGTATGTGTTGATAAAATATCGTTTGTTACAATCGTTTCTTTTTGTTAATTGTTGAATTCAGAGTATCAGTGGGGGTTTTTTTCATCCCAGATTTCAGGTACACTATGTAACTAACACCATGTAGAGAGTCTGAAATGTACCTTATTCCATGATCTAAAAGTAAAAGCTTTATTATGCTTTACTATGCAATTTGAATCTAGGACTACTGCACGTGGTGTAGTGTGCAGGTATTCATCCAAACACCATTTTTTATATTAAGTTTGAGATCTTCATGTTTGGTTTCACAGCATGCCATTCAGAATATCTAGCACCATCAGGTTTTAAAAGTGGAAAGGAGACTCTAGTGAAACAACTGCTATATTAACCAGTTAGATGCCATAATGCAAAACATTCGATGCAAATCCATAAGGAATAGCAGAATTACACATATCTTCCCGAGCAGGACCCTCTCCCCTGATGCCCGTGGAACCCCGGAGTCTGAGTGGGGTCCCGGCTGCTCACAGGACACCGAAGAGCAGCAGTCCTCCTTCAGGACACAGATCTCCAAAATCGAACAGTTTCTGAACACAGAGAGACTGCGACTCCCAAAGAGAAGGAAGACAGATAACTGAAAGACTCAACGAAAGGTCCATGGTATTGTTCCACTTCAACACACTCTGAACATGTCATTATTTCATTACAGGAATTAATTCATTCAAAAATCTATTGTTCTTTTAGAGTTGTGGACAGGTTTTACATTTGCTGCAACATAATATGAATGTTTGTTTGATTTTTGTCATAAATTCATGCAGGGATACAGCTTAGTACGTGATTTATTTCTGTTATTTGTGGCAAACAGCCAGAACAACAGCAACGACCAAGCTGTGTTTGTCAGTTCCAGACAGCGTTTCGGTTAGCATGCTAATTAACATTAATTAACTTAATTGCCTGTCTCAGAGGAGCTGTTATTGTGAAGCAGCCTTTTGTAAACATGGTGTTGTTTGTACACCAGCTGATTGTTCTTCACTGTCTTAACTATTAACATGTAATAAAGCTCTCACAGTGCAATTAACGAAGTCTGACAATTATGTGGCTAACTACCTCTCATTAACTTTATGTTCCCAATCGAGTTAGGAACCTCGAGAGGGTAACAATAAACGTGTAAATAAAACTAAAAAGTATAGAATAATAGCCTCCACAACTTTGGCTTATTGTTTGGGCCTCTAATAACCACTATCTAATACTGCTGTTGTGGCCTTGGGGAAAGAATGTAAGTGTCACTGTGGTTTAGTCTTTGATGATGTCAGAGATTCATTTGACACAGCTCTGGATGATGAGATTAGGTCGGTCAGCACTATCTGAGCTGGAGCATGTTGGGATGATTTTGCCTGGCCTGCCAAACGATATGCTTTTTCAAAGACATATAGTCTGGGAATGAGCTTGATCTCAGCGAATTCCCGGTGGGCGTGGTTGACAGACTGCATCAACCAATTAGATGCACACAGGATATGACGCAGCAACTAGCGGCACCCAAGCCGTTTCAGTAAACACAAAACAAGGGATGGCGGCATGTCAGCTAGTGCAAATGTAAACGACTGCTGTCGATTTTGTAACAAAAACTTAAAGATACGAGGAGTTATTAGCAACTCAATTCCGTTGTTTGCTTCCGCCTCTAGGTGAAAGGAAGTCCCGCCTCTCGGTGCGTGATTGGACCGATGTGGGTAAAATCGTGAAATGATAGGCTAGGAAGAGGTGTCCAGACGGTTCTTCTTTTGAACAGAAAGGAGGAGTGTCTGGCAGGCCAGGCAAGGGATGATTGGGATGATGGGGGAGTGATGGAGGAAACCCCCAAAACACATGCAAACTACTACATGAAGGTTGGCCTAGGAATTGAACTACTGTGAGGTACACCTCTGAGTCACTTAAAATGAAGAGTCTACTATTTCACCACGATTTTAGGTCTCTGTTTTGTCCATCCATACTTCACTCACCGTTAATTAAACTGGCTGAATGTTAATGTGCTCGTAAAGAAATCGAAGGCGTTTGAGTGGCTGCGCCCACTGCTGATGACCCTTATCCGCAGAGGGAGGAGGAGAAGAAGGAGGAGGAGGAGGAGGAGGGCGGGATATTGAGGAGTCGGTTTAATACACTGGCACAGCCAAACACACATGGGACATCGGGACACACGGCTGTGCTTATGGAGGGTTGGTGGTTTGAAACAGTCAATTACCCTTCGGTTGGGGAGGATACCTTCTGTTAATTACTGCTCAGTGTTTTTTATGGAGAGTAAATAAAAAGACCGCTGACATTCACATTCCATTATTGTGTCCCCTTAACACACCCTATTTTTCTGTGTAAAACTGGGAGCTTTGGAAAACGTTTCCATAGACCCTCTGTAATGTTTCCTATGTTTGATAAAATACTGTTCTTTTTTAAATACATTGTACTTTTTGATGAATGTAGTTAAATCGGAAGAGCATACAATATTACCCTTGGTTTGTCTATATTAAGACTTTTACACTATAAAGCCACTGCAGATTAAATTCTGTTCTGATTTAGTGTACAACTTTATTGAAATCTTCTCCATGAGATGGGAGGGAAGCAATATATCTGCCAGTCCTCTGACTAAATGGTTCTCTCTGCTAAACATTGTTGAGTGTCCTGGGGTTATAGGGCCATGTTGTGTCACATTATACCCATTTGCCTCAGAAGCCAACTCAGTAAATCTACTGAGGTTGTATTAAAGGCTGCAGACGCAGGCTGAGTGCAATCCTGGCGCTCTGAGTGTACACGTCCATTTCAAAGTGAGGTTGTGCAGCTGGTCCTCGTTCGTTTATTACTATACATAATGTTATCTATACTTGGTTCATGGTGAATGTATAATACAACAAGAACAAAATCATTAATAATTGTAATTTGAGAAGGCCGTTCACTCTTAACAAAACATAAAATAATATATAGCGTTGGACAGCACTAAAATGAGACCAGTGACGTCGCCCGGCATGGCGCAGCCGGGGCCCCACCCTGGAGCCAGGCCTGGGGTCGGGGCTCGTATGCGAGCGCCTGGTGGCCGGGCCCTAGCCCACGGGGCCTGGCCGGGCTCAGCCCCAAGTGACGACGTGGGCAGTCCCTCCTGTGGGCCCACCACCTGCAGAGGGGTCCGTGGTGGCGCGGTGCTAAGAGGACTGGGCAGCAGTCGAAGGCGGAGACCTCGGCGACCCAGTCCACACACACAGAACCCTAGCGGTGTTCAGTTGTTGGACTTCTGTGCCAGTCACGGTTTGTCCATCACGAACACCATGTTCAAGCACAAGGGTGTCCACCAGTGCACGTGGCACCAGGACACCCTAGGCCGGAGGTCGATGATCGACTTTGTTGTCGTATCATCTGACCTTCGACCGCGTGTCTCGGACACTCGGGTAAAGAGAGGGGCGGAGCTGTCAACCGATCATCACCTGGTCGTGAGTTGGATCCGCTGGCAGGGGAAGAAGCCGGTCAGACCTGGCAGACCCAAGCGTGTAGTGAGGGTTTGCTGGGAACGTCTCGCTGAGCCCCCTGTCAGACGGATTTTCAACTCGCACCTCCGGGAGAGCTTCTCCCAGGTCCCGGCGTAGGAGGGGGATATTGAGTCTGAGTGGAACATGTTCTCTTCCTCTATCGCCAATGCGGAGGCTCGTAGCTGTGGTCGCAAGGTCTCTGGTGCTGGTCCCGGCGGCAACCCCCGAACCCGGTGGTGGACACCGGCAGTAAGGGAGGCCAAGCGTGCTGCGGCCCGGGCTGTTGCAGAGGCAAAAACCCGGGTCTGGGAGGAGTTCGGAGAGTCCATAGAGGATGACTATCGGTCGGCCTCGAAGAGATTCTGGCAAACCGTCCGGCGCCTCAGGAGGGGGAAGCAGTGCTTTGCCAACACCGTTTATGGTGGGGGTGGAGAGCTGCTGACCTCGAATGGGGATATTGTCAGGCGGTGGAAGGAATACTTCGAGGTTCTCCTCAACCCCCCCGTCACGTCCTCCGCCCCGGAGGCAGAGGCTGAGGATGTTGGGGCGGATACTTCCATCTCCCTGGCAGAGGTCACCAAGGTGGTTGGCAGCCTCCATGGTGGCAAGGCGCCGGGAGTGGATGAGATCCGCCCTGACTATCTAAAGTCTCTGGATGTTGTGGGACTGTCTTGGCTGACACGTCTCTGCAACATCGCGTGGCGATCAGGGGCGGTGCCAATGGAGTGGCAGACCGGGGTGGTGGTCCCTCTCTACAAGAAGGGGGATGGAGGGTGTGTTCCAATTATCGTGGGATCACACTCCTCAGCCTCCCTGGCAAGCTTTACTCCAAGGTACTGGAGAGGAGGCTACGGCCGATGGTCGAATCTCGGATTCAGGAGGAGCAGTGTGGTTTTCGTCCCGGCCGCGGAACACTGGACCAGCTCTATACTCTCCATTGGATACTCGAGGGTTCATGGGAGTTCGCCCAACCTGTCCACATGTGCTTTGTGGATTTGGAGAAGGCGTTCGACCGTGTTCCCCGGGGTGTTCTTTGGGGGCTTCTCCGGGAGTACGGGGTCCGGGGTCCTCTGCTGAGGGCCGTTCGGTCCCTGTATGACCGGAGCCAGAGCTGTGTTCTCATTGCCGGCAGTAAGTCAGACCTGTTCCCGGTGAATGTTGGCCTCCGCCAGGGCTGCCCTTTGTCACCTGTTCTGTTCACTGTATTCATGGACAGAATTTCTAGGCGCAGCCAGGGGCCGGAGGGAGTCCGGTTCGGGGACCACAGGATTTCATCTCTGCTGTTTGCGGACGATGTTGTCCTGTTGGCTCCAACAAACCAGGACCTACAACATGCACTGGGACGGTTTGCAGCCGAGTGTGAAGCTGCTGGGATGAGAATCAGCACCTCCAAATCTGAGGCCATGGTGCTCGACCGGAAAAAGGTGCCTTGCCCTCTTCAGGTGGGTGGAGAGGTCCTTCCTCAAGTGGAGGAGTTCAAGTATCTCGGGGTCTTGTTCACGAGTGAGGGAAGGATGGAGCGTGAGATTGACAGGCGGATCGGTGCAGCGTGCGCAGTGATGCAGTCTCTGTATCGGACCGTCGTGGTGAAGAGGGAGCTGAGCCGAAAGGCAAAGCTCTCGATTTACCGGTCAATCTTCGTTCCCTCCCTCACCTATGGTCATGAGCTTTGGGTAATGACCGAAAGAACGAGATCGCGGATACAAGCGGTCGAAATGAGCTTCCTCCGCAGAGTGGCTGGGCGCTCCCTTAGAGATAGGGTGAGGAGCTCAGTCACACGGGAGGAGCTCGGAGTAAAGCCGCTGCTACTTCACGTCGAGAGGAACCATTTGAGGTGGCTCGGGCATCTGTTCCGGATGCCTCCTGGACGCCTCCCTGGGGAGGTGTTCCGGGCACGTCCCACTGGGAGGAGGCCCCGGGGAAGACCTAGGACACGCTGGAGGGACTATGTCTCTCAGCTGGCAGGGAACGCCTTGGGGTCCCCCCGGACGAGCTGGAGGAAGTGTGTGTGGATAGGGAAGTCTGGGCGTCTCTGCTTAGGCTGCTGCCCCCGCGACCCGGCAACGGATGAAGCGGAGGAAAACGGACGGACGGAATATATAGCGTGTTTCATGACAACCGAACCCCTTCATTTGCATTGTTCATTCACTCCATACACTGGTTTTAATATACTGGGTTAAACTGGTATCTAATTTGTGTTTTCAACCACCATCAACCACTCATACACACACACACACACACACCCATACAACAGCCTCAGCACCTGATGTTCCCACAGGTACTAACCAGGCCCTGCCCTACCTAACTCTTCAGGTCTGTTGGGATCAGGTTTTCACGTGGGTGGTGCCACGCTATGCAAAATTAACTCTTTTGCACATGGGGCTAATTCTGTTCATTTGTGGAGATTTGAAAGCACCAAACAGGTGCAAACCGCTCCGTCAACTCATCAATTCACTTCTTTCCAAACTGTTCTCTTAGGTCCTTGTCCTCATTGTCGTCATTAAGTCACAGAAGTTTGTGAGATCGCGCTTTACACAGAAGTCAGACACTTTTCAGTGTATAATCTGCACTTACAAAAAACAAGGTTATCTTATAGGCCTTATAGGCCTGGTTTAACTAAGGTGTCTGCTTACACTGAAATACATGAAAATAAACAGTCATAGTCAGAGCCCAGTGTGAGTGCATTTTTGTTCTTTCTTCACATAGCATTTCTGATTGGAAGTTTGAAATATGGTTGTACCGTTAGTCTTCTGTGGTTTCTATCTCTGCACATTTTTACTGCGGTAAAACCTCCTGACGCTGATAAATAACAGGCTTCACCTTTCCTTAGCTGGGCTTAGCATGACGGACTGCACTGCTGGTCTCTCGGAGAGTGTGTCCTGAGCGGTGAATCACTCCTGTTCACCTCGCTCCAGAAAACAGAGCAGATCATCTCCAAAACGTCAAAGGGCAGTGCAGGGCAGAGGTCAGCATCATTTATAGGCTCTTAAGTAAGCCACATGCCCTGGTTAACTCTCCCTTTTCAGGCACTTATCACAAATGATGAGTATCTACATTATGCATGTGTTCCCTTCAGCTCACAAAGAAAGCTTTGTTTAATAAAGAAGGAAAAGCACAACTTTTAACTGGATATTGGCCTTGAAAAACTTGGGACATATTTTGTAGAATCGGACTATCGCCAAACAAAGAAGTTCAGTTGGTTGCTTAAAAATGTGTAATAGAACAGTGAAAATACATTCAACAAAGATTGGATCAAGTCAGCCATGCATTTATAAATGTTAAACTTATAGCTGTAATAACTTTACATTATCAAATAGTATATTTTTTGTATGTTGCCTTCAGTGGACCACCGTGGTGGCGACATACGTTTCTGATTTCCTCTGAAGGCTTTAACTTCTTATGGTTACATGGTCCTCCCACAGAGTAGCACTGTCACTGATGCCTATATATCTGCAAGAATGTGTGTGAGCGTATTTCACTGCACAAGGTGAAGCCACTTAGTTATTGATGGAGTCTGGGCCTAAAAGCTCAGCCCTGGGTCACAGCCTCACACACACACACACTGGTGGAGGTGTTGGACTGTGGGTCTTCCCTCAGCGGGCTGCTATGATGAAGCACTCTCTCACTCCAGGGGATCCTATAAACCTGTCACGACCACGCATCTCTGAAGATATCTTTGTCCACGCTTTTTTTTTAGGTCAGGATACTGATAAATGTTCAGATATTCTAATTGTAACATGCCTTTAAATAAAGCGTGCATATTTCGTTGTCGTAAGGCTCTCTAAATCATAAGCTCACAGCGACCTGTCGAGGCCCATTATGCTACAAATGTATTTAGTTGCAGGGTTGAAAACGTCAGAGATTGGAGGCGTTTCATGGCTTAACAACACTGCTGAGTTCATCTTGTTTTGAAGTTGGTCTGGAGCTGTAGCTCATAGATAGCAGCTGCTATGTTTGACCTTGTTTTCTTAGATTTAGTTTCAACTAGATGAGTGAGGCAGAAACAATAAACCCAGACTGTCATGATTTGTTTTCGGGGCCAAGTTTGGAACATGTTCAATTTTAAAAGTTTATGTAAAGTAATAATACAACAGTAATCACCTGTACTGTTTGGCCTTTCCTTTAGGACAGTGGTTCTCAAACGTTTCACACAAACTACCATAAGCTACTTTTAGATACTGGCTGAACCCCTGGGCTGAATGATTGCGTTTGCAATCTCTATCAGAACATAACATATAATGTATTGTCTTTATCAGTGGGTGCTTATTTTGTGTTCATGTTGAAGCCTATTTCAAACCTCAAACTATTTTTAGTAATGGCTCCAGTTGCGATTTACTGATATTCGAAGGTCAGTGTTTTGACTCCTTTACTTCCTCTGTCGGTGCTTTCTTTTGTTTTCCCTTTATGTTTTTTTACAGTAAAATCCATGTAACCTTAATCTTTTTCTCATTAAAGAACATCATAAATCAGTGGCTAAACTGTTAAATAAGTATCTAAAGGAGGGTAATAAAGTAAATCGTTGATAATCTGTTGGTGGGTGATGGATAGTGCTCGGTCTCGGTCTTAATGACCTGTCAGATGGAGGGAAAAATGGGGTCAAAGGTGGCTGCATTGGGATCAACGGAGCGCTGCTGCCACTGTGGTCATCTCTCTCTTCTGCACTGGTTAAACACAGTCAGTGTTTGTTTTTACATGCGGCTTCTCATGTAGGAAGTTAGATTGGCAAGTTAGATTACTCTTAAAATATGGAATTGTAGAGTTCAATTTCTCAGCTCTTTACACATTTGAAAATGACAGAGTTCTTTGACAACCAAAGATTATGTTAACCACTCATCTATACTGTATAAGTATCTTTGTGACAATGTCGAGCCAAAGCATAACATTTAAGTCATCTATTATTGCACTTGCTGACTGAAGCCATAGCCCGCCATCATCATCCCCCATCAGCCCATTTATTATTAAAGTGCAGGAATGTGTCTGGTACTTCATCATGGCAGCAGTACGCAGCAGTCACTGCAGCAGGAGGCCACAGGACACATCTCCATGCACACGCACACCGAAGGGTACGCTTCACCTAAACACAGACACCAACACATACTGCCAGCTACTACATGTCCATATAGTAGTTTGGTCTTTAATAACTTAACTTTTGTTTTGTTTTTTGAGGGACAGGCTATTAAAACCAGCAGGACAGACTTGGGGCAGCAATGATGACTCCTCAGTGAAGGGTTATTGTGATTGCGTGATTTATGTTGGGTTTTTTAAATAATTATTTAGTTGTGTTTCATTGACTTTAGCTGAATAAACGCTTTGGACTTAAATTCCTGAAGTACTGTAAAATACAAATGATCTAATCCTATATAACTTGAGATAGTGATCTGAGGTCTGTTGAAGCCTTGTGAATATATTCTGTTTTATGGCTAAATCTTTTTCCCTTAACACTAAAGTACTGTATGCACACATATTATATTGTCTTGATTGGGGGAAACTGTATTCCTTCCTTGAAATATATAACCTTTGAGAGATTCAATTCTAATATAAAAGTCGCTGAATGAAGTTCAAACTCGCAGTGTAACAGTTTGTCGATAAAGTATTTTCCTCTGACCATCCAATGAACCCAGTAGACACATTTGCTCCTTCCTCTGTCTCATATCATTTTTGTTTTCTTGCCAGACGTTCTGCTTCCAGTGGGGTCAGCCCTGTTTAGCTTCTTTATAGTCTTGCTTGGCTGGACGACTGCCTCATTGTGGGCAGGTGACGAGGACAGGAAGAAGATGGAAGGATAGATCAGGTGAAGCCATCAACAACATCCTTGGAACAGAAAAATGGGATCGCATTATTAGATGAAATTACCAAAGACTGTTCATCTCTCATGTAATGTAATCTATTACTATTAACCAGTAATATTAAAAGTACATAAAACGACACAGCAGACCATGCGATCCTGCTGTAGCCTTGACTGGCTGACTCTTCACACTTTGTTGCCTGTTCCTTTTGTTTTGGCACTTTTATCTTTGGAATACTTGGATGCACTTGACAAATTGGCACGTCTTTGTACTGGGCGGATTACATTACTTTCTTTTTCATTGCTTTGAAGCATGTGCTTGTTAACTGAGGTCTGGTTTGTTTTGTCCTGCTATTTATTCTTTGATTTATCAGACGTCTGTCACAATCAGGCGGCAGGAGCCAATTCTGTTTTGAGCTGTTTACATGAAGTCTGTCTCTTTTCTCAGACTGTACGTTCTGGAAACAATACTATTATTAATTATTTTTTACCCTGTGCTTTTATTTTCTGTAGATCATTGAAGAAACATCTTTATTGCGCATAGAAATGTATTTTGTGACGCACTAGGAGGATTTTAGGCCATGTTGGGCTCACCACTGGATATGTATGGGCTACATAATAATGTGAACGTTCAGCTGTCTGCGCACAGGCGTAGATAGTATCTCTAAAGTATTGCCTTCTCTGGCCAGAACATAACTTACTGAAAGTTATCTGTGAAAGCTGATAGCAAGCCAACACAGTGTGCTTGTGTGTTTCAAACTGCTCCAGTCTCTGTCTTTGCTCTCAAATCTAACAAAATACTTATCCTGATTGTTTACTCCTTTCCTTTTTTACTGGTAAATAATCTTCTAAAGAACACAGTGAGTCCTGAAATAATGAGTTTGCAAATGATGTGTAATTAGAACAGATCATAATAATTAATCTTTTCAAACAAAATCTTATGTATTATAATTGGGTTAAACATTCTAAAGATCATAAAACCATTTGCTCCTCGACCCGATGGATTCCATTTCGAATCAAGCCATCGTTTTTTATGCCATTACTTTCAAATGTATTTGTTTATATCTTTAATATTTGTCTTTGTTTTAATGTTTACATTCTTAACTTTTACATTAAAATGAATGGTTTCCTCACCCCCAGAGAGATAACCCATTCAAATGTCTCCAGTTTAACAGCTGGATTTGCACCGAGATCTGCACAGCTGTAAATTTTAGACCAAAGAAAACACAATCCTGACATTGACCACTCATTTTCACCATTTCTCATGTTTTGTTATGTACAGTTTTTCAGGTGGAGTCTATGCATCTCAGCAATATTAGGATTGAAAACAAAAAACTTGAAGGACTAGAAACAGATCTAGACTAGAACCAGGTCCAAACCAATTCTGTCTTCACACCAACTTCAAGTGACTGCAGCTGTATGAAGCCAATAAGAGGTCGTTTCTGGGGATTGTGGCTTGGAAGAAGGATTTTTCCCATTTGCGTTACTACCTAGTATCTTTTTTCCTTCTCAGTGCTGTCATACTAAAGGCTTTGGCACAACTATCTGAGCCAAAATGTATACAATGTTCCATCAAACGTTGAAATACATCAATTTAGCTTTGGCCATTCAGTCATTCATTCTCTCAATCGACTAAGTTTTGGAAATTTGCAACACTTTTTTACCCTTTTTTTGAAGTCATGACATAAGGATATTTGCATTGTAGTTTGAAAGAAGTGGGGATGCTTCTTGTTTAGGAACTTCACTCTAAATCATCCGTATAAATCAACATTAGTTAAGCATGTTTATTCTGTTCAATAACTTCTCGTTGAGTTTTATCGAGTGGAGCGGTCCTAAATTTAAATAAGGCCTCTTCAACCTCAGTCAGGCACATATGGAAAAACAAAATATTTCCCAGGTCACTGAAATCATTGTGTATCCAGGGTGAGCACTGGGGGTAAGGTAGTGGAGTTTTCATTTGAAGATAATTTGTTGTTGGTGGAGCAGGAATGTGTTCCATTGGCCATGGGGCTCATCCATCTTTGGGGCAGATTGGGCGACTGGTTAGAAGTTTGAGTGCTCTCCTGGGAGGCAGCCGCAGTTTACCGTGTGGACCAATGACAAGCACGATCTTATACCAACGTCCAAATCAGTTTTATATTAAAAAAAAAAGAAAGGTGATTAATCGATAGGTGTTTAATCGTGTTGCCTTTTCATGGTTGACATCCATCGACCTATCACAGCACGCAGCCTTATCATGACGGATCAGAGGTGGTGATCCGAGTGCATTTAGCAAATCACAACAACAAACAATCTTTATAAGGTCACGTTGTTTCTTAAATTATATTATTTAATCGACACAACTAACAGTAAGCTGTATAAACTACAGCAAATAAGTTTGTATCTTCTTTAAAGACATAAAGGGCATTAGTTTGTTACAGTATGCGTTATAGCTTACATTCATCTGTAGTAAAGTAAATGTTTTATTTGATTAGATTGTCCTTCAACTTAAGAAAATGGGTTCTTCATATGTATGAGTCAGTGTTATGTGTATGTTGTGTGTATGTGTACGTGTTTGGTTGTTGCAGGCTAAAGTCAGCTCATGACAAGCACTTTACCGCTGCTCCTGCCCCCTCCTCCTCCTGCTCCTCCGTACCTCGTCTCTCAGAGCTCCTCGTCGAGTTGAAAAGTTGAATCATGGGTCAGCAGTTCTTTGCACTGGGAGAGCCAGACTAGATTTCCAGATGGTGAAGTCACCATCTATCTCTGCTCATCAGTTCAGCACACACTTGGGTACTTTCCAGGTTCATTAGTTAATTTTGTTTGGTTAAATTATAATAGATATTGTTTTTGAATAAGATTTTGATATATATTTAGTTTAGGTTGGCACTTCACTTGGTTTAGAGCGAGTGTGTGACAGATAAATGCATGTTAATAATATATTCTAAAAACTGTGAAGTGAAGCAGACAGAGAACAACAGTCTACATATTTTAGATAATGTTGATGGAAAAATAATAATTCCTAAATGGAAGGAAATATAATGGAACTTTATTACAAGCAAACCAAAGTGGAAAGTCTATCATTCTGTTAGGAAAAAGTTGACTTTTCCCATCTTTTTGTCTCAGAGAAAAATCTGTCCCAGTGGCTTTGTAAAGGCTGTTTCTGTTTCGCCTCATTTCCATTCTGTTGGCTTACTTATGTTTGTCTTCGTTGACATTATAGTTTCTCAAGTTGATCATTAAAAATAATATAGATACAGTAAATAAATCAAAGTGTGGGTCAATGTGACAGTGACGGCTTATTTCAGACACTTAGCTTGGTTAGGGTTAGGAGCTGGAAGGTGGCAGTTGAAGAGAGAAAACACAGGCTCAGAGCAGTAACTGCTGCTCACACAGGAGTTTAGGCCAACGAAGTCTTGCACATTGTCACAAGCTTGAAATCACTGTTCCTGTAAAAGAACACAATGTGACAGTTTCTAAAAGTATTAATCTCCAGCTTTCAACCAGCTCTTTGTATAATTAGGCCAATTTTTAAATATAGAATACATATTGAAGTATATAACAACATGACATATTGGCATAACAACAAAGTGCAGTGCTCTTTTTTATAATATGTATACAGTAATACAAGTTATATGTAACTAATCTTTATAATACTTTGTTTTGTTCAAAAATATGGAATTGATGATCTGTATCCATGGCCATAATATCATAATAATGAAAATTCAATAAAATGTGCTTATAACTTGACCCACTTTGATTGTAATGTATTTCATTATTTTAAAACACAAAATTAATTTGCTATATTACAGTAACTCGTGTTTTTCTCTAGTTACTCCCAACACTGATAACACTAACGTGCACTTTAATAACTTACCTCGTCTTAATTGTGGAGGTGATTCACATCCACTCAATAAAGAGCAAACTACAGTGTTGTAAATTGCCGTATGAACCAGAGACTGTATGAACGCGGAAACGCGGCCTTCTCAAAGTTCTTTTTGACCCTTTCTATCCCCCGTACGTTTGTCCCGTGTTCTCCGTGGTGTCTTTGGACTTGGATCAGCGCTGATGTGGATGTGGAGGATTCAGGACTAAAGTGGCCGGAGCTCCCGAGGCCTCACCACCACCAGCTCAGGGACCTTTATCCTCTCTTTTCTTTGCGGATTTGCTCAATTCTCACATTTTACATAATGCACCTTAACATATTTATTTGACAATGTTCCGCTAATAAAACGTGTTTATTAGCGGCGGCTTTAGACAGCGCCAAACCCTTCATTAGGCCCGGATACTGAGACGGCAAAAGGCTGTTGGAGGAGGCAGGCCGCGCAAGGATCCAAGGCCACGATCTGAGTATTCACCAGTGAGATGACAATGTAACTATTGTACACCTACTCTATGCTCTGATGGCTGTTAGTCCATTAAAAATATTCAGGGAAAGTTTATAATGGTTATTTGTGAAATTGCAAAATCTTAAAAATAAATAGGCTACGACATTTGTAAAAAAGACTCTGACGATGGACACCAGACGTTGATTGATCCAAGTCAAATTTGTGCCTCAATTATCAATATACAATATATTACAAAATTATCAGAAAAGAGAAAGCAGAAAAAATATGTTTAGACCATGGGCATTTTATGCCCATATTAAATATGTTTAAATATAGTTTAAAAATATTTATATTTTAATATGTTTAAACTATTCCTAATATTATTATACTCAATGCACATTCAATGATGGTGTGAATGTGGCTCTATTAATGTGTGTCTTGTTTGTGTTTTCCTGCAGTGACAGTCTGTCTGGTGTACAGTACTTGAATGAAGGGTCCTGTCCTTCATCACCTCTGTAACTCCACCCCTGAGTCTCATCCCTGCACATACGCACCCTGGTGTGGGACGGGGGGTGTGTAGGGAGCAGTGGGAGACTCCCCCTCACTCCTTCACTGCTCTGGGTCCATTCACAGACGGTGCTTTGAGCAGGACCATATCTCCTCCTTCAATGGACCTCATCTCTCGATCAGGAGCGTGGAAGAAAGGACAAAACTGGTGAGAGCACACTTTTTCATCTGCTTCTCAGTTTTGCGCATGGGAAATAAGTTGGCCAAAAAAACAAAAGAACTCTCAAAGGTTTAACAAATGCGAATGTGAAAAGATCCACAAGCGTTTTTTTGGAGATTGAAGAGTAAAAAACTTGGAGCAGGTTTGTCTCTACAGGACATTATGACTTCAGATGTCCGTGACCTGAACTCGTTGCTGACCCCTCTCCCGAGCGGCCCGAGCCCTGGCTGCCCGTCTCTGCCCGTCAGCACAGCGCCGCAGTGGGCCCCCGTGTTGGACTTTCACACTGGCGCCTCACCCTACCCCTCCCTGGGTGCCCCCCACAGCTCCCTGGGACCACACTCCTTCATCAAACAGGAACCCACCTGGGGACCCACGGCGGAGCCTCACCATCACGAAGCAGACCCTCACTGCGGCCTGAGCGCCTTCACCGTGCACTTCTCGGGGCAGTTCACCGGCACTGGGGCATGCAGGTACGGGGCGGCGTTCGGAGGACCCCCAGCGCCGAGTCAAGCTCCCTCGGTGACGTCCCCGCACCATCACCAGACTCCCGGTCGCATGTTTGGCAGCACGCCCTATCTGACCAACTGCATGGACACTCAGGCCAGCCAGCGCAACCAGACAGGTACCACCAGACACAGATCTATCACACTCAAATCCTCCATCTGGGAAATACAAAACTGAGATTTAATTTGCATTATTAGATCTTCTTTTAAATGGAGAGATAGACACACATGAAAATAATGCATGTGTCAGAAAATAATTATAAGATTAAACAATTGTTATTAAGCTTTTCTTTGTGTGTTCAGAATAGATTTTCTATGGTTCAAAACTACTTCTCGTCAGGTAACTTTAAAGTGTATATTTCTGTGTATAGCATTAAAGTATAAACTCATTTTGTAACAATAACCATTTTAAAGGTGCATTCCTCAACTGTCCTGGTAGTAAATCCGATTTATGCTAGGATGCTTGAATATTTATACAGTTCATCATAAAATATCACTTCACATTTCTAAGTTACAAGCTATAACTGTTATATAAAGTCTTCTTCTCTATCTCTATCATGTCTATCACAAGAAGCAGGTATCGGACCACTTCACAAAAAGCGGGTCACCACCAGGACAGGATCACTTTAACAGAACTGCACTGATATTTGTTAAGTTTTGAAGTCGACAAACGCTGACAAAAACAGAACACACACACACACTGTACAGCAGGTGCTTATTTTTCTAATAATTAATTTCACAACTCTAAGCAAACACATTGTAAATAATTCAGTTTTGGACTCTGTTGGATTCTCTTGTAAGTCTGCAACGTCTTTCACCAAATTCTTGCAGTTGTTGTGTATGTACCGTGGGGTCAGCCATAGATACTCTCAAAATGGCTGCAGTTAAATTGGCCCTATCGTTCTTATCAACAGTATAATTTAGAAATAACAACTAAAGCATTGGCCCGACCCCTCACCTGTTTTATCTGCTCTGTGCCGAGGATGGGCGAGCAGGACCGGGGTGCACTGATAATGGCAGTCTTTCCACTAACTCACTCCTGTTCAATCATAACAACCTCCACCGAAACTTATTAGCATGCCTTTAATTCAAACTCAATCACCTAGAATAGAATAGAAAAATAATGGAGTCAAATAGAGTACTGGTAGCTTTGTTTTTGGCAAGCAATTACTCACAAAATAATTAAATGTAATAATAATAATTTAGTAATTGAATACACTTTTCAAAGCTACTGTAGCTCTGTGGTTAATGAATAATTATAGGATGTGAGGAGGTTTAATCAACTAGAACAAATTCACTAATAGCTGGGTGTGCTACTGTAAAAACACTCAAATGTCGGCGTATAGTAAGGGCAAGTTTATCGGTATAGCACAGTTCATGCACAAGGCAGCTCAAAGCTCTTAACAAAACAAGATAAATAATCACTGTACATGAGAAAAGAGTAAAGATCAAATATGCTACTATAAACTGATTGTATTGCATGATTATAACCTATGCAAAGGCATTCATAGCATCTATAATTCTGCAGAACATGACTTCATAAGCCTTCAATTAAAGCTGGGGTACCTAACTTTCAAACCACCTTTAAATGACTACAGTATGTCATAAAATCCATGTAACCAGTTCCTTGCTCTCAAAACAGTTTGTTCTATCACTAGTTTTCACATGCATGTATAAATGGCCTCTGTCACAACGATCGGCTTTTTACGTGAAAAAGAGAGTACCAGCCCTCTCTCAGCCAATCACAGCTCAGTATTTAAACTGTAAAAAATATTGTAATACAATAAACACAGTATGTTTTGTTCTGTTACTTAAACTAGATTCTTTCTGTTGGGATAAACACATTATATTTATGAAGTAAAAAAGTTGGATACTCCAGCTTTAAATTAGAATAATAAATGCGTGTCAGAGCAGTATTGAATATGGCTAGTGTTAATCTCGCCAAGCTTCGCAATCTTTTCTAAATCTGCGTACTTGTCACACGAGCAACAAAAGCTCTCGTCTTCAAAGCTGCGGTGAGTGTGTGGAAGATAAATGTTTGTTTTTAATGAGATTTCTCCTCCTCCCGCTCCACCTCGCAGTGACTTCAGTGAAAGTGTTTTAAATGAATGTGACCTGTTTGTGAAGCAGTGATGTATGAGGCTCCTCCGATGCCCCGCGGGTCAGCGCAGTCAGGTCTGTGTCAAACTCCACGGCCACAAAGAGAGTCGAGTGAGCTGCCATTTCACACCGGGAACACAATACCCCTCTACGCTTTACAGTTTATAACCGCAATGTTGCTGCCGTATGTTTTTTGTTCTTTCATTTTATCGTGAAGTGAAAACAAATACTTTACAGGTGTAGCAAGAAACATTAAATATGTAGCAAAATGTATCTCACCAGTTCCTTGCTCTCAAAACTTTTCTAGTTTTTATTACTAGTTTTTTTGGTCCCATTTTTAGAGATTTTTCTACCAGAAAAGGGAAGGAGGACCGCCCAGCTCTCTGTCCAAAGCATCAAACTGTGACTCATAAGGCTCTTTAATACAAGTATGCCAAAGATAACATGTTTTCTCATATGTATGTTTGTATTATGTGTAAAATGTATTATTATTATAAGAGGAAGAGAGAATGTTGTGATCTGATTTGGTTCACAAACAGACTTTTTTCAACAACAAAAAAAGGTCTGGTTTTAATACGTTCTTTGCATCCAAAATGTCCCCGGTTCAGTCTTCCTGAGTATGTGAGACAGGCTTCTTCTCTGACGATGTTCAGATCCAGGTTAAAAACAGTTGTTTAGCTGTGCATACAACTGAAGAATTGCATCTTCTCTGTTTTTAACGTACTGTGATTATTTATAATTTAAATGCCTGTGATTTGAATCTTTCAAAGTTAAACACTTTGAGTTGCTGTGTATGAAATGTGCTATACAAATAAACTTACATTGCCTTGCCTAATGTAATAACGAAGCTTGTAATAGCAGGAGCTAGGAACTTGTTTTAAGATAAGATAAGATAGACTTTATTGATCTCACACTGGAGAAATTTGCATGTCACATTTGGCATGGATAAAATCACTCAGATTGTGTAAAAGACAGAAGCGTGCAACATGTTAAGGTTAAAAATATAATCTGTAAAATTGTATCAGATTTTGCAGTTATTTGAGAAAATGTATGATTTAAAATTTTCAGATGATTCATGATTAATTTGACCTTCACGGTGTAATGCTGTTTGTATGTTACAGGTTACGGCACAGTTGCCTTCGATGGAGCCAGTAATTACAGTCACACTCCCACGCACCACAGCTCGCAGTTCTCCAACCACTCCTTTAAGCATGAAGACGCTCTCACTCAGCAAAACACCATGGGTAAGGAGCGAGACACTCACTGAACAGGGCTGAAAATGCAACACAAAATAAGAAACAAGGCACTTTCAGGATCATTTTTAGCAAAACACAATAAAATCAAAGTCCTATGTAAATCCAAAACTTAAATGGAATCCTCAACTACATTGCAAAGCCCTTTATAAATAGAAATACTTTGTTTTTGGTTTTTTTAAGCTGGGGTACCTAACTTTCCAACCACAAAAAATGTACAATTTAATAATAACTAGTTCCTCACTCGCAAACATTTTCATTTCATCAAATTTTTCACATATATTTTTAGAGCAGTTTTTTCAGATAAAAAAGTAAAAAAAAAAGAGGACTGCCCTAACCCGGCCAATTAGCTCTCAACCTAAAACATCAAATAGTGACTCACAGGGATTTGTTTTATAGATTTAATGCTTCCTCACTAAGATGGAGGCAGCATGATATGGTCTGATTTGTTCACAGATTAAACTTTAACAAACCTTTTTCTGTTCTAACTAAAAATGAAAAATATTCGTATGGGGGAGGTAGGTACCCCAGCTTAAAAACATTGACATAAAAACAACAGCTTCTAAATGTAGATTGCAGTGTATTTCACTTGGATGCACAGCTGTGTGTATGGCAGTGCTTTGACCCTCACCCAGGGAGTGCCGTGGCCCCGGCTCCGCACTCTCAGTCCACACAGACTTGGCGCGTTGGCTGCATAAATCAGCCACATCCTGACTCTGGTACTCCCTGGCCTCCTCTTTGGTCCCTCTCACATCCTCCCCTCACACCGCTCACACTGTTGGTAAATATCTCTTGAGTTCGGAAGCTCCTGATGTAAATTTAGTTGAGTCCATGGTAACCTAGAGCAGGTCATGACCGGGACAGAGTGAGCGGAGACATAAGTCCACGGCTCACGGGCTCAAAGGTCTAAGAGGCAGGAGCATGAGTCACACATACAGGGTCTGTTCAATTTAAGACTATTATTCCATATTGATGATTGAAAGATATTCAGTGTTAATGTTCCTACATTTGCTCTACAATAGACAACATCTACTTAGATTTTTAAAGGATGTAATTAAATACCCCACAATGATTATGCTTAACGCAAAAATTTTGGGGGACCTAACGCTATTAGGATAATTAGAATATTTAAAAAAATGTCCTGGGTAAATGTAAACCAATCCAATCCAATTGTATTCATAAAAAATGACCAACCACAAGTTAAAAGCATTTTAATTGTTTTATTTAAAAGCAGTATTGAGTTTACCTTGTTTTGTTGTATATACAGTAGGTGTGCAAGTATTATATGAGACAAATGACAGAAACATTTATTTCACAATTTGCACGGAGCATGTGTGTGATGTAGTGTCCCATTGTCCCAGGTGAGCAGCAGTACGCCATCCCTCCTCCGGTCTATGGATGCCACACACCACCAGACAGCTGCACCGGGGGCCAGGCTCTGCTGCTCAGAAACCCCTATAACAGGTAGCACACTGCAGCCTCCAAATCTGTTTGTCTGTCTTCTACAATTAGCCCTGGCTCAACGTCAAAAGCTATTGTCGATTGTTTTGTGTCTGACTGCAGAAATTTAGTGAAAGGTACAAGGAAGTTTTCTCTAAACAGGACATCCACCTTCAGTCCTGGTCTATCTGCTGCCATAGCTTCCTCTTATGGGATTTACAATGGTAAATCATTCGTGGTTGTAATTAAACCTGGAGATCAATGCGGTTTGAAAATTCCTCCCAATGTCATGTTGACACTGAACTTGGGCATTTTGCCTAATCCTGCATCTGTCGTTAAGACAAAGTATCAATGCAGTTATTCATGTCTTTTCAAATACATTTAAATCAAGCCACTGTACTTTAACATAAAAAGAATTTAAAATGCTAACACTCCACATGCCGTCACAACCTCAGGACATTGGCTGGATATAAAACATAAACCTGAAGATATTGTTTGTCGTAAACACAACTGCTGTCTCTTCATCTCTCAGGTGACATAAGATACAGTATTAAGAGTGTTTCTTCTACATGTAGTCTTCTCAGTCTGAGGTCTGGAAACAACCGTAGCAACATAACATAACTCAACATAACATAACTCAACTTAACGTAACATAACTACATTTGCTCATTGTACTAATGTTACTTTCATTGTAGGTTTTGGATGTATTTTCATGTTCTGCATTTACTGTTGGGTAATCAACAGAAACCTCTGCTGTGTGTTCTGATAATATTGTCAGGAGAACGGCCCTGTACCAGACACTGAATGTTATCCACAGGGATTTTTAACGGCTTGGTGATTTCAGCATAAAGTCACATCAGTTTACAACTAAACGTATTACTTATTTAATTTACATTATGAATTGTTGTTATAGTTTTCTGCCTCTCTCTTTCTCCCTGTGTTTTTGTTCCAAAATAGCGTTTGTGTTGCTGGCTTTGTGCCCTGTCCGTACAGTAGAATAATAGCCGTGTAATGAGCGGGGTACCAGGCACCACTGCTCTCTGAGCGGCTGCAGTGTGGTGCAGGTGGGGCTGGTGTCAGAGACATAAATCCTCTGTGTGTGTCTTATATTCACTTCCCTGTACATATTGTGTGATGTCTAATCACATAGAAGTGCTGACAAATGGAGCCTGTTTCTTTGGTTTAATCAAAGTAAAGTCTCAGACTCTGTGCTTATCGTTCCTTATGTGTTCTCTTTCATGTTGCAAGGTCATATTTTGGCACAAAGAAACTAAGTCCTGTTTTTGAAACTCAAAAAACCTGACATTTCTTAGAACAATAAATTAAATGACGTTCATTCATGAAAATAAAATATATTTTATATTATTATTTTGCTTTATGTTCTGTTCACAGTGGGGAAAATGTATATCAAATGACCTCTCAGTTGGAGTGTGTGGCGTGGAACCCTGTCAATACATTGACATCGACCCTAAAGAGGTAGGCACTGTTTAGCAGTGCAGCAGTTCACCTTCCTACGAGGTAACAGCAGCAGCTCCTCTTTATTGAAGTCATTGTACTACAGTATATGTCAGAATGACCTGCTGAACACTGTCAACTCACAAATACCTCTGTGCTCAGAACACAGAGCCAACAGCCATTCATCATCGTTCACTGGTGCTCTGAAAGCTCTTCATATTCACTGGTCCCAGTAACAGCCATGAACTGTGGCCACAACCATTTTTACTAAAACATAACTCTATGTACAATGCCAACATCACCACACTCCACTAACTGAGTGAAATGTAAACTAATTGGGTCTAAGTAAAATGACACCAAATGTACTTTTTAACTAGACTGAAATAACACAGCAGGTGTTGAAAGTTGAGTTGGAACAGGTCTATATAAGGAGCATTTTAGATTCACTGTATGTTGTTTTCTTCATTGAGGGCAGATCCTTTCTAAGTATATTATAGTAAAACTAAAGCGGGTAATAACAGGAACACATAATGAATGCTTTTACATAGTGCTGCATTGTGCTTGTGTCCTTGGACATGCAGAAGAGAAGCTGGACTGTGTTCTATACCATCAGCAGTGCAGGATACAGCCTCCCATCCTCCGATTAGACAACCTGAAATATGGCACATTTCATAGACAAGAGCCGACTGTCTTTGTGTTATCATGTGCAGATATGAGAGGAAACACTGGCAGCTGTGTTTCTCTTTGTCTGGCCCCAAACGACCAAAACGGGACAAGTAGATGTCTGCTGACGGTTTACAAAGACAAACCGACTGATCGATCTACTTTAGTGCTGTATAGACTTGTGCTTCAAACGCTTCTGTGGATAATGTGAGTTGTTGAGCATTGTGTGTGTATAAATTGCATCATTTACACATCTGGTGTAAATGACAGTTATTGTTACACAGACAGTTATTTAAGCAATTGAATGTTGTGTTTACAATTAATCAACGCATTATTAAGATTAAGACTTAAGAGATCCTTTATTTGTCCCACAGTGGGGAAATGTCAGCGTTCCATCACCGATAAACAATAACTCTATCCTAAAGTAAAATGGAATAAAAACTCTATTTTTATCTCATTAAAGAACCTCTATAGCTATAGCATAATTATTACTGTAGATTTCTATATATTTTAAACAGCAACATTTCTAAAATAGTTTTTTTATGTTTTATACCCAGTAATGCAGTTCAGACATAAAGCATTCTTTGACCTTAGAATAAGTCTATTTATCTTGCAGTATATATCACGGTCAGATTATACTAATTGCTGCAGCTTTAGATACCGTAAGAGATGGGTTATTTACGGTTTTTTCCCCTCCACTACCTCTGACAAGTTACTGTTTGTCTGGTGAATTCTGGTTTGTCCTGTGTTTTCAGCCACCCCACTGCCTACGACAGCGACCCCATGGTGTACAGCTGCAGCACGCAGTACCGCATCCACACACACGGGGTCTTCAGGGGAATCCAGGTACATCACCTTATTATTTTAACTCCATCAAGTTTTAGTAGCTTTAGGACGCTCAGTTTGTGTGAACATAGATAATTGTAAACCAAACTTCGATCATCACAAATCAACAGTTTGCTAAAAGGCCCCATCATTAAATCCTGTTGTGACCAGTTACGACAGCCGTCTATCAGTGTTTTATTACAACATGAAAGCCTGCGGCCTATATGAGGACAAAATTACTGAGGGTTAGGGTATATATATTTGCAGTTTATATACAGGTGTGCTTAATAGTTTGTAACACGTAGTAAAAACCACGTGTGAGAACAAAATGAGAACAAATGTATTTGCAAAATGATGAAAACATTCAAGGTTAATGTTTTACTTCCCATTAAACTAAAAGTTGTATCCTAGTTTTTAAATAATAAATAATACATAACTTGTTATAATCTATCCTAAAATTAGTGTTGAAACTCAATACTAGTTCTAGCAATTTTAGACACAAAATAAAACAAGTTAATTCTTATTTTTCATTGTATTATATTTTACAACTTTAACAACAACATGAACATAGAACAGACAACAGCAGCACTTCCAACTTTTTAAAACTATTCCCTAGACTCAAGAATAAAATATTATGATTTAAAAACATATCAGAAGAAGTCGTTGCAAACCATTTAATTTCATTATTTGTTGTCCAAAATGAGCATTTATAAATTATTGCTGTGATATTTAGTATTTTTTATTGTTTCCCCTTTTATTTTCATTCATGCATTCATTTGAGGGGATATATTTACATTCATCCATTCATTAAATTTTTGCCTAAGTGGGTTTATTTTCTTCAAACAGTGCTAAGAATAATAATGCACATATAAGTCCGATTCAATAAACTAAAATACAGACGCGTCACAAACACAGCTCGCATAGGCTCATGTGCAGTGAGGCGAGAAAGCCTGCCCAATCAAATGGGTCTATACTATACTGCATATAGTATACACATACAGTATATATACATACAAATGCTGAGTTTGCAATAGTAGTAGTAGTAGTTTGTAGCTGTGTATCAATTGGAGTTTTTACTTTTACTTTTCACGATTGTATGTGAGATAAAGTATATTTTAAGATATTATCACAATTATGAGTCAATAGTGCAGTTTTTCCACTGGCCGATACAGTTTCCATACGAGCATCAACAACTTAATAAATCATTGCATTTTAATTATGGTCTGTCAGCACCTCGAAAGGACACAGAGCAGAGATTATCCAGACCTGCGCCAAGTCCTCCGCACTACTTTAAAACATTTGTCTTTCTTTGTTTTCTGGAACATGAACATTTTTTTCTGTTTCACCATTGATGCAGAAATCTCTGGTATAACACACAAACGAGCTATGGGTCATATACACGCCAGCCCCACTTTATTAGACATTACTTTTTACACACTGCCAAATTACACACATGACTTAATGCGTCATCCGTCATACGTGTTGTTTTAATTTAGCTCAAAATAGTTTATTGGTGTTCAAACGGATAAGTCATATAGAGAATTTAGAGGCCTCTGTCGTTTGTAATTTGTTTGACAATGGTTTCTAACAAAGCAAATTAGCACCGGGTCAAGGTTAGTCACTGCCTCCGAGACGGTGGCTGCACAGGGCAAAGGAGTTGTGCATAAATTATAAGGAAAAAACAATGAAACAAAGGAATGCTTCAATTAAATCGCGTTAACACAACCTAAATAATATATATTTTGGAACATAAACTAAGTGTGTTTGAACCATTGTTTAAACATACCTTACACATCTTCAGAAAATAAATTATAATTTTACTTGAATGTCGTTAATTTGAATACAAAACATATTTTCTGGGAAATATGGATGTGCTAAGCCTGTTGTTCCCAAAGTCTTCAGTGCCGCGGCCCCTGATCAATAACTATCCCCCAGGGCAAGTAAAAATGCACACTCTATCCTGAACACATTTGTACGTTTTCTTATTAAATAAAAACTAAAATGACATAATTAGCATAAAGATGATTTGATTTGTAAAATGTAGATTTTTTTGTAGTAATTCTAACTGTGCATTAGTAGGTTTACTTCATAATTGTGTTAGGTTGACAACTTTTTGGGGGCCTCTGAGGGCCCAGTTTGGGAAGCACTCCACTAAACTATATTGTCTTTCATGTTTATCGTTTCCTGTTCCAAGCTACAATTTGAGGACAGTTTTCCATTTAAAAATAGTGATAATAGTTTTGGGATTTTATTACGCTATGGTTCAGTCCACAAAGTTGTGTATCTAAGCTATATTAAATGTTTAGTAGTATTATGGAAACAAAGTTGACTACAATCTTCTAAAACTAGATTGTTTGTATTTCTAAAAAGGTCTTGACTTTGTGCCCCCTCTTCCTGTCCTTAATGCCCTCTGTTTATTCATAGAAGGGGAGTGGCGAACAGCTCCCTTGGGCCTCAGTGTCTGGTTCATTTTACTGCTAATTCACAGCTAATGAATATATGAGGCGGTCACTGAGCGGCCCCTGAGTGGCCCCTGAGTGGCTGGGTCACTCTCAGGAGCCTGTTATCTTAATGACACTGTTCAGCAGGAGTCAGCGGAGCAAAGGCTGCTGCTGTTGTTTATGTCTCAAGTGTTGTTGTGGCAGGACGTGAGGCGGGTGCCCGGCATCACCCCCACCATTGTGCGCTCTGAGAGCAGTGAGAAGCGCCCCTTCATGTGTGCGTATCCAGGCTGTAACAAACGCTACTTCAAACTGTCCCATCTGCAGATGCACGGCCGCAAACACACAGGTACAGCCACAGCATACTCATATAAAGGATACTACTCAACATTCTCATTCATTAGATTAGGAATGGCAATGAGATGTTTCTATTTCTATTTCTATTATATTTATATTATATAAGCTGGATGTATAAAATTACAACTGGTAAACTACGGTGTAGAGACTATAAAAGGTAATCGTCCTGTATTTTGTGTCAGGGGAAAAGCCGTATCAGTGTGAATACACAGACTGCGGCCGCCGGTTTTCTCGCTCGGATCAGCTTAAGCGTCACCAGAGGAGGCACACAGGTTCAATACTTTCTCTTTTTGACCTTTGCCAAAGCTTTGGTCCTTTTCCTGTCTAGTCTAATTTGTCTAATTTGCATGAAAGAGGAATACAAGATAATACATTCTGTTAAAATGAATTTGCTTAAGGCTGGCCAGACTTCAGCATGGCTTCAGGCCTCTGCTCTGCTATATCTACCTTTCTCCCTGTGTGTTTGTTGGTTTGTTTTGTGTGTATGAACTTATTTGTGTTTGTGTCTGCGTGTGCGCATGCCAACTGAACATGTGTTTAGGAGTAAAACCCTTCGAATGCCAGACGTGTCAGAGAAAGTTCTCTCGGTCTGACCACCTTAAGACACACACCCGGACTCATACAGGTAAAACAAGTGCGTAAACTTTTATTTATTTCCCACATCATTCATTTATTTCATATTTGCTTTGCTCTCACAGTTGAAATGACTAACACCTTTCTCCTTGTTACCTTTCTGCTGACCAATCAGGTGAGAAGCCCTTCAATTGTCGTTGGCCAAACTGTCAGAAGAAGTTTGCCCGGAGCGATGAGTTGGTGCGACATCACAACATGCACCAGAGGAACCTGACCAAGCTGCAGCTCTCAATATGACGACGTGCACAATAACTCTTTATGTGTTTATGTCTTCAAAGTGGTTAGAAGCCACAATCTGCATCTGCTATCCAGAGCGATCATGCATTACGCAGCACTCACCGCTTAAAAGCAAAATCTGTCAAAACGGAAAAGCCAGGAGTCTTTGCCCAACTCAGCAGTTCAAAATGACATCGAAAATACTGTATTCTCAAAGCTCATCTGTACTAAAAAAGAGAGCATAAAAAAACACAACTCAATTTGCCTACTGATGAAAATCCATAGACTAATCCTTTCTTTCTTGGCGTTTACACTTTTTTTCCCATAATTCTGCCTATTACACACAAACTGGCTCCTTTTCCGTCGTCCAAATGGATCAGACCAAAGTCAACAAAATCTACAAAATCTATTAAAAAGGACTACACATTATAACTTCATCGATTTTATCCGGTGTTTTGTATCAAATCTGCACGTGACGTTCTGGAAACAGAGAAAATACACTGGGAAACGCTGTAGGGTAACGTCTACGCTCATTGTTGTAAATATTATTACTATTATCAGACCTATTTATTATGTCTGTATAGATGGAATATGTCACTGGAATGGTTTGAGAGGTACAGCTTTGCCACATCATTCCCAGCAGCCTCGTCGTGAAGGTTCTTTTCATCCCTTAAGGCGTCTGGGCACTATAGACTATGTCGTATTAGCATGAATGTATTCTGTGATGCTCCAAGTTCACTTATTTTCAAGCTGTCGTATTGTGTGTAAATAATACAGAACTTTGGCAGGCTATTCCTAAAATACGTCCTCCCGGTCACACTGGCTCTGTGGCTGCGGCCCAAAGGTCGAGGTATAAATTATACTCATGTTATTGCGGGAACTGATCTCTTTCCAATTGGGAAAGCATGTAACTTAACAGAAATATTTTATACTTTTCTTTGGATGGAACTTGCTGTACATTTTGCGTAATCTTTGGTGTTAACTGTACTGTGACTGCTTTTATACAATAACAAGCTGTCTCTAATGTCATGATTTATTACAATCTTGTGTTGTCTTTATTTGTTTATTTTCCATTGCGATTGTCAATGGAACATTTGTTACAGGAGTGATAATATTTGTAAAACCACCACTGCAAACAGCTCATGCATTTTCCCAGTGACAGAATCAGACAGCTATATATATGTATTTGCTAAAAGGTAATAACAAAGCAACAATTCTGATTCCTGGACACACACTTCGAGTCCTTACATGCCCTTAAAAACTCACATAAAAGTCTATGATATAATGTCTGTCTGTGGTCCCTCCCCGTAATATATATTTTATACATGAATCATCTTTAAAACGTTTATGAGAATCAAGTCATCGTTAAAAGAAGCTTTGATAGTTTTGGACCGTGTTGCAACACCAGCGCACACTCATAACTGAACCATCTCCTCCTTATCGCCACAGATTCCTTTTACATTCCTACGCTCTCCTCAGGAAACACAAACTGATAAAAACCATTGCATTTACTCACTATATGACTTCCTGCTGCCTAGATTTAATGCTATATGCTTAGTAACAGGCTTATGCAAATGAAAAACTCAATCAAAATCATAGTTATTGAATGATTTGAACTGATTTAGACAGCAGAAAGCGGTTTTCCTTCATTCAAGCCCGGAACACAATTTCACCAAAATTATCATATAGTGAGAAGCTGAAAATGAACTTGTTTTGTTTTAATATTTACAGTCTATGGTTTTAACGTCTTCTAACAAGAAAACAGAATCCAGAGACGAATAGAGGCAGTGATGGAGAAAGACAAATACTGCAACATTTCTTTCGAACGCTTTTTATCATAAGTTTAGCCAAAGTGTTAGTGTAAATCAGGGATGTGTCCGAGTCCTGGGTGGAAATCCCCTGAAACTCCCCAGGGCCACAGTGCTATATCTCAGCTGTCCCGGCCGCCTATTTCTCTCATCTGTGTGCGTGTGTGTGTGTGTGTATGTGAGTGTGTGTGTGTATGTGTGTGTGCATGAGCTTTGAAGTCAGAGAGCTGTTCAACGTTAACTGCAATTGTATCCTCTTTCAGTAGTCGCATTAAAACATCTGAAGCTTTATGTTTACATAGTGCACAGTGATCACTACAAACTAAACTTCAAGATTCATATTATTTCTACATTTCATGAGGCAGGAACAAAAACATCCGCCCCAGATATTTCCACATAATCATCTCCGCTGTTATATTTGACTGGTTTGTGGCAGTTCTTACATGTGCGTTAAATCTCATCAGTTAAGCAGGCCGGAGTCTGTTAGTGCTTGGATGGGAGACCACTAGGTGAAAAAGTGGTGGCTCTTAAGTGAAGTCTGGAAACAAAAATGTGCCATAGTTTACTCAAGCCCAACCTTGAATTTAATGGTTTACTGTATAGAGTGCTATGAATAAATCTTACTTATACACATAAAGGTGAATTTTTCAAGTGTCCTAGTGGCAGGTACATTCAGGCCTGGATTTTTTTTTTTGCCTGGCCCAGACTAGTATCACAAGTGAATATGTGTTTTCAGTTCAAAATGATCCGTGCGCTCACAGCAGCATGGAAGGCTAGACCAGTGTTTTTCAACCAGTGTGCCGTGGTACTTTAGTGTGCCTTGAGATGTGGTTTGGTGTGCCTTGGGGAATATATCAATATCACATAATTGGTCAAAATAATGTGAAAAGAAAATCATGTGAAAAGATTAGTAAGACTTTTTGAAGTCACTTCATTTTCTATATATACTTACCTTGATTAGAATGACTTTGCTTTCATCCTAAAAGCTGCAAAGTTTCATGTTTGTATCAATTTCAGCTGGTGGAGTGTTTTCAACCAAAAAGTTGTGCCACAAAAAGGTTGGGAAACACTGGGATAGATATTTATACAGTTTGTCATTTAATGTTCCTTTCACATGGAACAAGCGTGTGACATCCCTCGTCTAAATTACAAGTTATATCTGTGGAGAAGCGAGTCTTCTCACTGTGAAAAAACAACACATTTTTAAAGATAATAAAGCAATCTTCTTTCAATGTGTTGTCTTATTAAAATAACCTTCTAAGCCTTAAACATTATTAAAGCACTTACATCATTCATAATTGAGGAATATATATGTTTTGAACCAAACTGAGCGAGATTTCAAGCGAAGTAAAAACATATCTATCACAAGAAGTCAGTATTAGACAGCTGAGCCTGTAAATACATTCATATTTGATATTATTTAATACATTACCAAAATCACTTATTAGCTTACTAATTAGATTAAGCTTGTTTTTTTCTCTTTGTAAATGTTTATGTTTCACTGAAAAAAGTGAAGAAATACATGAGATCGGACTTGCATCTCCGCAGACCTGTCTTGTACTTGTCCTAATGGTTTTCCTACTTCATGGAGCTGAAATCTTTCACAATCTGGCAAAAAACTAATTGTTCTCTGGGAGTTTGAGTTTCCAGAGAATTGTTTAAATGACTAACACCTCCAAAAAGTTACACAATGTTAAGACTAAAAAATATTCTGTAAAAATCACAGCATAATTTAGAGATTCACAAATCACCGTTTTTTTACTTTTTTTTTTCTCAAATTAATCTTACCTTTATTATTATTTTGTTGAGGAATCTACACGTTTTAAAACAAACAGTAAGATTTCAATCAAAATAATAAGATATCTATCACAAGAAGCAGGTATCGGACAGTTGGGTCTTTAGATACATTCATTTGATAGAACGTCACAAAACACAGAAAACACTCACATTCCAATCGATGTTGTGATGCTAAAGCCTGATTCTGAATTTGCAGAGGTAAATATCTTTCACCTTGTTTTATGGATAAAGGTATGTCCAAATAAGGGCTGCGTTCATATTGCAGGCTACACACAATCCAAGAATGAGCAAATGGAAGAAAGACAATGTTTTTTTTCTCCCAAAGAATAACAGTGATATAAGACCCAGTGGATGCTGAGGTCCTGGTACAGCGCAGTACAATACATCACACAATGAGAGTCTGTGCAGGCTCCTCAAGAGGCCGCATTCCTTCACTTTCTGTTCAGAGGACTCGCTGCTTCATGAAGACAAGTCTGAAAGGGCCAGTCCACTTCACTGAATGAGCAAACAGGAAACACAATTGTCACAAGCACAGTTTCCAGTGTGATTTACAGGCCTTTATGACGGACAGGGCCTAATAACCACATGCACTCTTTACCCTTTAATTGTTTCCTCAACCATTTGGTAGATCACCTTTTGAGTAAATGTATATTCTACTTTAAGCATGCTTGGAACTGAAATATACCTCGTTGGAGCATCTCACTTGGTTTTAGGATATACTCTGGTAAAGGCCTATCATTAATAAAAACAGAGGTTAAAAAATACAAGAATCTAAATAATTTTTTGTCTTCCTACAACTTAGAAAAAAACAATAATAAATAATTACATTGCTGTCTTCAAGGAGTGAATGTTGAAGGGATAAAACTGTAAAATGCAGAAAGAACGTCGACAGAAAAAAAAAGTTAAGTTCGAGTTTGATTTCATATTTTGGCACGTTATTGCTTTCTCTTGTAGTTAAGTGCTAGGGTTGATGGAAAAGAAGTATTACAATAATGTCCGTCTTGTTTAAACGGCGTAGAAGCAAAATGAGGCATAAACAAATGGATGAGAGTGAGAATGCAGCTGTAGGACAGAAGGGTCAGGAGGTCAGGTCAAGTGCAGGGCCCTCAGAATGGGAGAGAGGGTGAGGGGTGGGGGGGAGGGAAACAATACTCAACTCCTAGTATTGAGCGCCATCACATGGTCGGTCCAGTACATTGCAAGCCAACACAATAGGGTCAAGAACATATCATTTCTTCAATAACATAGATCTATTCTTAAATCTATACTAAATTACCCTATTCTAAACTCTCTACTAAATAAAATGACATAAAGTAAAATCACTAGTTTTAGCATAATAAGTTAATTATTTCTAAATGTCTACCTTTGAAATATTCCACAGCATGACACACAAGAAAGTGACATGACATTTTACAGCTCATATCTGTGGAGAGGCGACCCTGCTCACTGTGAGTATCAATGACTCTTCTTCCGTCTGCAATAGATAAGATAAGAGATCCTTTATTTGTCCCACAGTGGGGAAATTTCAATGTTGCAGCGCACATACAGGACACAGGGGACACGCAAAATACACAATATAAGTAGCAGTATATAGGTACTGTTTGCTGAAAAGGAGGACATCTCGATATGCTATCAGCTTCTTTCCACAAGCTGTGATCAGTTTGAACAAAGCACTTACATGATCTTGCACTTATTGTTTAAACTGTTTTTATGGATCGGTTTCACAACTTTTTTTTGTACTTTTTAGTTTGTTTTCTTTATGTACTTGTCTGGTGCACACTGGGGGACTTTTGCACTTGTATTCTAATGTGGTTTTACTGCAAATGGTCAATAAACTGAATCTGAGTCATGTTTTTTGAGCCTTAAAGAAAACCCCATTGTTCATAATAAATAACACACTAGAGCTTCCAGAGCAGTCATTTTGGCGGCTTTTCGTTTTGGAAGTGTAATTACTCTACTTAACGTACGTTTTTAGTTTTCATAACTCTGTCACTTTTGGTATATTTCAATGCTATTATGTTTATAAAATTATCTCAATCCTGGACTTGTTTAGAGCAATCTCAGCTTGGAGCAAGTGCTAGTTACCATAGCAACACATTGTTTACCTACAGTAGTCATATTTTGTTTTGCTGCATTTCATTTGTACTGTATTCCCCAGTTTTAGCATGTATTAGACAAAAAAAACCGTATTTTGGGAGCAGGATTTTATTTATTTTTATTCAGAATTCCATTGATTTTAATGCAAGCCGTCAAAATGACTGCTCTGGGAGTTTTAGCAGTGTCAAAATTCTTGGAGTCCGAGTGCAAACGAGTACAACATATTTCCATGGCAACAACAAGGTCCTGGACCCCAATCTGAAAAGTTACACAGTGCACCTTTAATGAAAAAAACTATACGTGAGATAATTACGAAAATCTCACGTCTTAGTTTCAAAACATGAAAAGCGAAACTAAAACTCTTGCTTACGTCACGCGTTTCTTGCTCGTTCAATAAGTTTTGTTTTCCATCCAGCCATAAGTTTCGTTTCAATGCGTGATGCGTGTTGCTTTATAATCAGCTGATCGCCCAGAATATTCTCACACGACATGATGTTTTCTTGGGGAGAGCAGTGTTCCCGCGGGTTCAGGCTCAGAGATGGAACTTACGAATCCCAAAACAGAAAAAAGAAAGGAATTTATCATCTGGACCTGGGCTTTGACATCACTCACCTGTTTGAGGGTCTGCGCCTACTCTCGTTCGTCAAAAGCAATGGAAATGCATTTATTATTCACAAGACTGAGGACAAGAGCGGGACGAGAAGCAGAGGGAAACAGAGTAAGCAAGACACTTATAAATACTAAAATAATGTGTGTGTTTTTTTGCAGTGGTACAGATAGATACTAAACCGTGTTGTTGGTGCAGAGTGTGTGGAGTGTAAAGACAAGATCAGAGCTGTGAGCTGTACCGATGAAGAGGTGATGCTGCTGACCAGGAAGGGCCAGCTGCTCTGTGTGGGCAAAGGCCATCCACGGTATGATTAATGATCTATGATTAATTATCTATATTCATTGATTTTTATTATTATCAGTAGTAGTATAGTGTATTATTTGTTATTGTAATACTGTTGTTGTTATTGTTATTATTACTAATCATTATTATTATTGTTGTTATTATTATCATTTATTGGGTCTAAAGAGATACATCTTGATCTAATTGTTCTTTCAGGCCATTGAAATGCTTCAGTGGTTTACAAGTGTTCCAGGTGTCATGTGGAAGCAAGCATTCGATTGCACTGACCAAAGGTAAATATGATGTTTAATAGGATCAAAAGCCTCACTTGGTCATTTTTTAGCTTATAACATGGATAAGGCAGGTTTTGTAAATATGTGTATGGCTCTGTGTGAGTGGACTTGCACCTCCGCAGACCTGTCTTGTACTTGTCCTGACGGTTTTGATGTTTCCAGGCTGAAGTCAAGTACTGTACAGTCTGACATAAAATTGATTTGTTTTAACTTTCAGTTTCCAGGGAATCATGTATATGACTCCAACAAGTTACACAATGTTACTCTAAAACAAACAAACCAGGACTAACAATGTAGACTAACAAGACTAACAAGAACCACACTATCCTTTGGAAGTAAACAAATCATTGTTTAAGTTTGACTAATATTTTTGAAATGATTATTACTATCATTATTTTATTGAAAAAATAAAGTGTTTTCTTCTACTTTAACTATACTGATTATTACTTTCATTATTATGAATATATTTGTATTACTCCTATTATCATCCTTAGAATGTTCTATTGATTGCTTTTTTCACAGGCGTACTGAAGAACATTTGACTTTCTGATCATTCAATTTTGGATAAAAAATGTGATTAAAAACAAATAAAACATATAACTTTTCAGTGGCTTTCTTCTCTTTGTCGTAATAACATCTGCCAGAACATGGGGGAGACACCTGTTCCAAATGCACTCATGGTGTTTGACTTGTTCTTGTGCTTTCTCCAGATGGGCAGGTGTTCACGTGGGGACAGAACTGCAGAGGTCAGCTGGGTCTGGGGCCGGACGTGCCCAGTGCCACCTCCGTGGTGCAGGTGCAGAGTCTGTCAGACCTGCCCCTGGTGCAGGTGGCAGCAGGAGCAGACCACAGCTTCAGCCTCTCTTTATCTGGAGCGTTGTTCGGCTGGGGCAGCAACTCCTGTGGCCAGCTGGGCCTGGGGGACACCACAGGTACAGCTCTGTCTGTCTGTCTGTCTGTCTCTCTCTCTCTCTCTCTCTCTCTCTCTGTCTCTCTCTGTGTCTCTCTCTCTCTCTCTCTCTCTCTCTCTCTCTATCTCTATAATAAGTATAAGGACATGTTTATGAGTGATGCATGTTAACCTGTGTTTCCCCTGCAGACAGACACAGTCCGACTATTGTTCATTATCTAAACTCAAAGAAAAGCTGTTATGTCTCCTGTGGACTTTCACACACTGCTGTTTTGACCAAAGTAAGATAATTTATAACACATTACATTAGTTTGGTCAATTGGTGTATTAGTATTGTTAGTTAACTATTAGTATAGTTAACTAAATGATTTGATCTAAATTACAAGGAATTGGGAAAAAAGCCAAAGTCAGAAACTGGAACCAATTAGATTTTCACTTACAGTTTCATTACATTGATTTATTACAAGTTTATACATAGTTGTTGGTATTTTGTGTCTAAAGATACATAAAAATTTGTTCTGGGAGCTTTTGCCGCAGCCATTTTTGTCATCTAATCTGGGCCTATCTTTAGAAGAGTTTCTTTGGCCGACTTCGAGCACACTCTTTGATCTGCAGAATTGTGTTTGAATCACTTTTATATATACATCTCTTAAATCATGTTCTTCTTTATCCTTGTCTAAATTGTTCCATAAACGAACTCCTGTTACATAAATGCTTCCTTCCACTACATTGTTCTGGTTCTAGTTTGTCGTCTGTAATGCAATGTTTCTGTCTCCACAGGACGGGGCCGTGTTCACATTTGGCTCAGGTCGCCACGGGCAACTCGGACATAACTCCATCAGGGACGAGCTACGACCACGACTTGTGGCAGAACTCTGGGGCACTAAGGTTACGCAGGTGGCATGTGGCAGGTACACAAATAATGCCGGTATTATTATAGTATTTGTTATAAGCATCTTATCTTGTCTTATGTTATCCCCCCACAGGCAGCACACGTTGGTGATGACAGAGGCTCAGAGGCTGTTCTCTTTTGGTTCTGGAGATCATGGACAGCTCGGACGCGGCAACAGTCATACGGCTGTCCCTTTGCCTGTCCGTCTGCCGCCAGGTATCCCACTCTAAAGTCGAAGCAGAATTAAATTGTGTTTAAATCTGGGAGGCCTAAATTTCAAACCACACACAAATACGTAATAAAAACATTGAACTAGTTACTCGCGCTCAATTGGGTCAATCACTAGTTTTCACATACATGTATTTTTAGGCCTCAGTCACTTCTTTAGTCCAGCTTTTTCAAACAGAAAAGTGGTAAAGAGAGGACCACCCTCACTCAGCCAATCAGATCTCAGCCCAAAGCATAAAATTGTGACTCACAGCGGCCTTTCTTACATTTATACAATGTAAAAAGCCTCTAATACTTTTGTGTGATTAAGTTTTAGTGTCATTTGACTTCCTGTTTGGACGACTGACATGTATTATTGAAAGATTAGGTACCCCAGCTTTAAATGTAGCACGCTTGTTGAAATGTCTGTTGATATTACAGAGCATTGTGATGGAGTCCAAATTGCCAAGATCTTTGCCGGAGCCAACTGTTCTTTTGCCACATGTCCAGAGGTGAGCAATGAGGAGAATCCATGCTAAATACCAGTTAAAAAATAACAATAAAAACATTTGCAGGATGTAGATACTGTGACTGACATAGTCCCCTGGGATGGACAGCCCAGTCTGGAAGATCTGATTCTCAATTGGACGTCAGGCTCCACACAATGGAAACAGACTAAACTGTATTAATACTTTAAATATTATATTCTTATGTTATATATTTTCTCTTTGACTCAATGATTATGTTGAATTTAGCAAAGAAATCCACAAGACATTCTCCTCTTTGTCACGTTTGAACAGAAGCTTTCTTGAACATAGGTAATATTTGCTTACTATAGACTAAATCATTGTTTTATGGTGACATTTATTTTTTTGTGGTGTATCAGAAAAGAAAAGCACTTCCAAACATCAACAAATTATTGTGGCTTGGACCTCCCTGCTGCTGAAAGATCTTTCGCTCGTCTGCTCGACAATGGCGCTGTTTTGAAGCAGGTAATGTACATACATACATACACACATGCACACATTAATAACATACAAGCATATATACAGACACATGCATACAGACCAACAGGCAACTTACATAATAGTTAAGGCTCATTCAGAACATGCATATAATTCTGGCTAGGATTAGAAACAGATACTGTTAAAGAAAGTAGCAAAATTGAAAAAAAAAATGAAAAGAAAAAAGAGGACACAGTGTGAGATTTTCTGAGCAATTTTAACGTTTCTCAGAACTAGTACAAAACGTTGTGGTACAATGTACTATATATAGTACATTTTTAGATTATAGTTGGCATCTTGTATCATGTCTATTTCTCAGTATTTTCAATGGGTCATAATGAGCAGTATGTGAGAGGAAACATTAATTCCTAAGATAAGAAAGCCTAATATTGCATGCATGTTTGTATGTTGCCAGGTGGAGGCTTCTGTCCTGGAAGGCCTCCTCTCTCTGAACCAGGCCCCAGTGGGAGTGGAGGGTCTAAGGGTCTATCTGCTCCTCACTGAGCTGCTGGTGGTGGTCCTCAAACACCACCAAGACTCAGTGTTGCCAAAGACAGTGGCTGGTGTCATTTGCCAGCTTCCTCCCGAGAGCCTGAAAGTCTTAAGTACTACCGATCTCATTATACATGTTATTTGTTGAAAAAAACTTACATTAAGTAAATTAAATGTTGCTTCTGCAGGAGACTGGCACGACTCGCTGCCATTTGGTACCAGAAAAAGACACATTGAGATGTGGATAAATGCTTTGTCTCAAATGCTACAACAACACTTAGATATTAGTGGTCCCTTGAAGCCCTCAAACCTGGTGCAGATCCTTGAAGACATGTACAACGTTGGTGTTTTCAATATTCACTTTTGTATTTAGTGTTATGCACCATCACTAAATGTATCATGGGTTATGTGAATCTCATTTACAGATAAACACTACAAAGACAGGTGATGAAAAACTTCCAGAAAGAATATTTTATTTGAGGCTGAGTGACACCTTCCTTCAAGAGGACGTGATTCAGTGGCGGTCCACAAAAGCAAGAACGGTACTGACAAATATATCTGAAACTATATTTAATTTTACCTTTTGGTTTACAGATATTACTACAGTGGGGCAAAAAAGTATTTAGTCAGCCACCGATTGTGCAAGTTCTCCCACTTAAAATAATCACAGAGGTCTGTAATTTTCATCATAGGTACACTTCAACTGCGAGAGACAGAATGTGAAAAAAAAAATCCAGGAATTCACATTGTAGGATTTTTAAAGAATTTATTTGTAAATGATGGTGGAAAATAAGTATTTGGTCACTTCAAACAAGGAAGATCTCTGGCTCTCACAGACCTGTAACTTCTTCTTTAAGAAGCTCTTCTGTCCTCCACCTGTTACCTGTATCAATGGCACCTGTTTGAACTCGTTATCTGTATAAAAGACACCTGTCCACAGCCTCAAACAGTCAGACTCCAAACTCCACTATGGCCATTACCAAAGAGCTGTCGAAGGACACCAGGAAAGGAATTGTAGACCTGCACCAAACTGGGAAAAGTGAATCTACAATAGGCAAGCAGCTTGGTGTGAACAAATCAACTGTGGGAGCAAAGAAAATGGAAGACATACAAGACCACTGATAATCTCCCTCGATCTGGGGCTCCACGCAAGATCTTATCCCGTGGGGTCAAAATGATCATAAGAACGGTGATCAAAAATCCCAGAACCACACGGGGGACCTGGTGAATGACCTGCAGAGAGCTGGGACCAAAGTAACAAAGGTTACCATCAGTAACACACTACGACGACAGGGAATCCAATCCTGCAGTGCCAGACGTGTCCCCCTGCTGAAGCCAGTGCATGTCCAGGCCCGTCTGAAGTTTGCCAGAGAGCACATGGATGATACAGCAGAGGATTGGGAGAATGTCATGTGGTCAGATGAAACCAAAGTAGAACTGTTTGGTATAAATAAACTCAACTCGTCGTGTTTAGATACTGAGTTGCATCCCAAGAACACCATACCTACTGTGAAGCATGGGGGTGGAAACGTCATGCTTTGGGGCTGTTTTTCTGCTAAGGGGACAGGACGACTGATCCGTGTTAAGGAAAGAATGAATGGGGCCTCCTTCCATCAGTGAGAGCTTTGAAAATGAAACGTGGCTGGGTCTTCCAGCATGACAATGATCCCAAACACACCGCCCGGGCAACGAAGGAGTGGCTCCGTAAGAAGCATTTGAAAGTCCTGGAGTGGCCTAACCAGTCTCCAGACCTCAACCCCATTGAAAATCTGTGGAGGGAGTTGAAAGTCCATGTTCACTTCTCTGGAGAAGATCTGCATGGAGGAATGGGCCAAAATACCAGCTACTGTGTGTGCAAACCTGGTAAAGACCTACAGTAATCGTTTGACCTCTGTTATTGCCAACAAAGGTTATATTACAAAGTATTGAGTTGAATTTTTATTATTGACCAAATACTTATTTTCCACCATAATTTACAAATAAATTCTTTAAAAATCCTACAATGTGAATTCACATTCTGTCTCTCACAGTTGAAGTGTACCTATGATGAAAATTACAGACCTCTGTCATTATTTTAAGTGGGAGAACTTGCACAATCGGTGGCTGACTAAATACTTTTTTGCCCCACTGTATATTAAAGGAATTTTGTAAAAACCCTATATTCCTGCAGTACCGATGTGGAAAGCCATTTGTCCTGTGTGACTACACGTTCCTGATGGATCTTCCTTCTAAGAAAAAAGTCTTCGACTTGGATTGCACATGGACTCAGGTAGTTTAATTAGGATTCATTTTTAACTCATTAAGTGTAAGAATGGACTATATTTACTGTTACAGGCAGAAAACCAGCAACACCAGAGCTATTTGAACTGGTTTTTTGGATTGTTTACTTCACCGCAGCCTGATTTATTCCATCTCAGATTGAAGAGAGAGTCTCTTGTAGAAGACACGTTCCAACAGTTGGCAGTTTGTTCTAAAGCAGAGTTGAGAAAGCCTCTCATAGTAAGATTTTCATATTGACAACAGCCTACATGTGTGCAGTGACACTGTTGCCAAAACTAACTGGTGTTTTGTTTTTCCAGGTGCATTTTGATGGAGACTCTAAAAACTCACTCGTTTACACAAGAGATCTTTTTCACCATCTTTTTCTGCAGCTTGTTTCTGTTGACTCTGAATTGCTTGTGTTAAATGAATCCCAAACATTGGTTTGGTTTCCCTCTCAAGTAAGTGTTGTACAGCAAATAGAAAATGACACATGTGATTAATGATTCATTTATTTCATAATTTTTTTGTAGCAGTTATCAAAGAAGAAGAAACAACAGTTCTTCCTTCTTGGGAAGCTTTGTGGTTTGGCTTTATACAACCAGTGCATCATCCAGCTGCCCTTCCCTCTGGCTTTGTTCAAGAAGCTGCTGCGTCTAGAGCCGTGTCTGGAGGATCTCACTGAGCTCAGCCCAAGTATCGGACAGTATGTTCAACTATTATTAATGACTTCTGTTCTTGAACTTCCATCCTCAACATTCAAATCCAACTCCAACCATCATTAGTATTTCAAAGCCTCTCAGAACAAGCCCCACTGGAGATTTTCCATGTGCTGTACATCCATCCTCTTCAGCCTTCCTTCCCCTCATGATTTTCCATTTTTGTTTTCCAGAAGCTTACAGTACGTTCTGAACTACGAACATGATGTTGAAGAGGACTTGCATATGTATTTTACAGTAAATATTGCTACTATTTTGTACATTTAAGCCTTCAGCAGTTATAGACAACAATCATTACAGATAAACTGGGATAAGACTGAGGTTGAACTTGATCCTTCAAATCCTGGGAAGCCAGTGACAAATGGCAATAGGTGAGTTCACATATTTATTATTAGGATATTTAATGTTCTTTTAACAACTTCAGTCTATTCTGAATCATGCTCACTTCCTTGTCATTACATGTTTGTTAATAGGTCACACAAAGAGTCCCACACAAAGGATCAAACGTTGTTTACGTTTAGATGAAAAACTCCAAAATGATCTATAAATGCTGTTTTGTTTTCCAGACAGGAGTTTGTGGATGCGTATGTGCAGCACGTCTTCACCACATCAGTGCAGAGGGCATTTGAGGAGTTCAGACGTGGCTTCTTCCAGGTGTGCGAGGAGTCCACGGTGCAGCTCTTCAGGCCGGAGGAGCTGAGGGGCGTCATGGTGGGCTCCCAAAACTATGACTGGGCAATCTTCAAACAGGTATTGCTCTGTCATTTGAAGCTGGGGTACTTACTGTAAAACAAAAGGGGGAACTACATATTTAAACCAGCTAAATATTTTTAGTGCATGCCAGGTTAAAAGCAAACCCAATGTGTTAAAAAAAAAAAAAAAAAAGGACCCCAGTGTTGGGTCAAAAAGGGACCAACCCAGTGCAAGTTGGATTATCGTTCTTTTTACTACTCTACTGGTTTGACTTAACAGAAAAAAATTGTCGATAGTTCTTCATAAAAAGGCAGTGATTTTGAAAATATAGTAATTTTCGAGGAACAGTTTTGAACACATTTTTAGATTTAAAAACAAAATGGCACCTTATGAACATCAGAAATAATTAAAACGTAGAAATGTATGTGTTCATCTCTCTGGAGTGAAGTATTCCATAGTAAAATAAGAAAAAACAGAGACATTATTTTAGAGGGAAATGTAACACTTTTCACTATTTCTCTTTATTTAGGGCGCTGTTTGTGACACCCCTTTTTACGAAGATCATCCCACCATTCTGATGTTTTGGGAAGTTTTTGAAGAACTAGATGAGGAACAAAAGAAGGATTTCTTGTGTGAGTATTGGTAAAGTTGCATGTGTTATAGCATCACCATAATTGTATAAGCCACTACTTTTTTTCAATGTCTTTGAACTCTGTTTTGGATTAGGTCAATGTATTATACGTAGTGATAGAGTTGGTCAGAGCAGAATGTATTAATATTTTGATAATATTTATCCAACTTTAGTAGCTATAGGATGCGCATTGATGTCAATGTAAACATGCTAATGTTATTCTTATTGAGTTATGCTTTACAATACTGAAAACAACTGTAACAAATGATTCAAAATTAGACATATTACTAATCCGTGTGTTGTGTTTTAGGGTTTCTGACTGGATACAGACGAGCTCCAGTCTTTGGACTGGGTCAGATTAAAATGAGAATCAGGGAGAAATTTGTCATTGACCGCTGCACTGATAAGCACTTTCCTGAGTCCCTCACGTGTCACTCCATCCTCGATCTGCCTCTGTACTCCTCTAAAGAGATCATGAAAGACAGAGTGACTGAAGCCATCCAGTCCGAGGCCGGGTTCAGAGTGTGATCTAATGTATATTGAGCAATAATAATGTAATGTATTGTAAAGATGTAATGTGTACATTTTGTAATAGTAAAACGAGTGCAGTAAGTTACCACTAGAGGGAGCCACACGTGTGTTTCTTTTTAGCGCTGTATGAATGACACAAATAACTGCAAAGATGAGATCATCCTCGATGCAGGTCATCTCAACAAAAGACCAACACCAAGTCAAATACTTTATCTTCCGTGGTTTTCGACAGAAATTAGCATAATGATTCATGAGTCACTCAATGGACGCATATGCACGAACAATAAGCATTATGTAAATTACAAATCAGCCATTCCCATGCATAATATAAAATATTAACAATCTCAAGTGCATTGGAACCATGGATCTATAGTGATACACATAACTATACAGTATAGTCCGTCATTAACCCACAATGCTAGGAACGTTCTATGCATAGACTGTCCTTTCTACAGTTTCATAACAGTTTGTCTGTTGTTAGAAAAGGCGTGACATGTTCTTTTGTGTGCCTCTGAATCAAATAAAGTCTAAATTGAACCATGGAAAAAGCATCAGGCGCATTCTTCCCCTTCGTTCTTTATAAACAAGCAGCTGATCAGTTATATAATTGTTGGACTTCGGAAGCCTTTTCTTCTGCCTCTGTTCAGTGCGTGCTGGGCCAGTCGGAATGTGATGACGTAAAGGGTGCGCGAGGGCGCGCGCGCTGTGCGTCCTGTGCTCGTGCACGGCGCTCTGACTTGAGTCTCGGTAGAACTGCTGTCACACTGTCCAACAAGGCTGAACACCACGGAACACACGGAACACATGAGGGACGTGCAGCTCACATGGAGCACACGGACCGGACAACACCACAGCCCTGCGGAACCACGACGCAGCTCCAGGGTCGTTCTGCCATGGTTAGTGTGGAGGACTGAGGGTGAGTGTGGAGGACTGAGGGTGAGTGTGGAGGACTGAGGGTGAGTGTGAGGACTGAGGGTGAGTGTGGAGGACTGAGGGTGAGTGTGGAGGACTGAGGGTGAGTGTGAGGACTGAGGGTGAGTGTGGAGGACTGAGGGTGAGTGTGAGGACTGAGGGTGAGTGTGGAGGACTGAGGGTGAGTGTGGAGGACTGAGGGTGAGTGTGGAGGACTGAGGGTGAGTGTGGAGGACTGAGGGTGAGTGTGAGGACTGAGGGTGAGTGTGAGGACTGAGGGTGAGTGTGAGGACTGAGGGTGAGTGTGGGGACTGTCCTGAGGTCCGCAGCGTCCTCCGCATGTGGCGCTGTTAGCGCCGCTGTTGTTGTGTGTTGTGAGGATGATGGAAGTGAACCTGCGCATAGGACAACTCTGGACTGCAGCAGTGTTTCCTCACCGCCTCAACTTCTAGCGGCGAGATCTCAGTATTCCTCCTCCATGTGTGACAGAGAGGCCCAGCTCATGGAACCAGTGCATGTAGAACCGCCTCATTAGAGGTCCTGAAACTGTATAGGTCCAGTTTCGACAGAGACAGTGGAGGAAATACTTTTATGATGTATTGTAAGTGTAAACAATGTAGTGATCAAATATACAAAATACTGTGTTTGTTAAGTATAGTAACAATGACACACTGCCTTTTGCAGATACAGCAGATTGTTTCAGGGCTCACTTATTGTTGTTGACAAAAGCTGGACATAAATATGTGATGATGTGATGATTGAAGATACAGTGTCAGTGACATCATCAAGCCCCCTTTGACCCTTTTAGTCAAACTAATGAAGACCCACTCACGTGCGCACTTTCTAGTACATTATGGTGTCCTGTTACTGCATTGATCCATGTCCCATTTGTGCTGGGTGGGTGTTATTTGAGATATGGGCCAAGCAGCATCTTCAAATATGGACGAGAGAGGAATAGTTTTACTGCAGCAGGTTCATCTGTAAACATCAAATCAGACGGATACATACACAATAATAGATGTGATGAAAGTCCATGTTTGTTTATTTTGGATGTGCCCATAACTGCAGCTGACTGTATCTAAAGCTGTTTTCCTTTTGGGGCCAAACAATACTCCGACTCATATCTGTTTGTGTTGTCTCTTTTGCTCTCAGGCTTCTTTGTTGTGAAGAACCTTGACACGATCACCTTCCTGTATTTGTCTCTCGCTGGGCTGACCTGATGTCAAGCACTCCCAAAATGGACTCCCCTGAAGGCATCATCTCTGTGGAGGAGGGAAGCTTTAGTCCTAAAACTGTCCCAGGACGCTCGGACCTCAGCGGGCTCTACCTCCTGGGCCGGACGTTGGGCAGGGGTCACTTTGCTGTGGTCAAACTGGCGCGTCATGTCAACACGGGTCAACTGGTGGCTGTCAAGATTATTAATAAGACCAAGCTTGACATCATGGCCACAAGTCATCTCCTTCAGGAAGTGAGGTAAATGCAACGTTTTACTTAAAGAGGACAGATGTGCAGCTTGTAGTCATTATTCATTATGTTTTGTGGAATTTGTTGAGTCATTAGAGCCCAAAATAGAACAGAAGCTGCTGTCTGAATATGCTGCCGTGTTCAAAAGTGCCTTGGTCTTTTAACAGATCAAGATGGTTATATTTTTACTTTTAGTGTCATGTTTTTGTTCGCAGGACAGAAAAATTGTTTAATTTTACCATTGTACATTAGCTCAAGGTTGGTGGTTTGAACCCCACTCAAGACATGAACATGAATGTTATAAGTGAAGCACAAATGAATTATGTGATGTCTGCTGAGTTTTAAGTGCAAGACACGGCCATTTTTTTTTGCATAATAATAATAGTTGCTCCAAAAGTAAAAGTAAAATGTTTATAAACAAATCGCTGATCAGGCCACTGTCTCCACCTTAGAAAACGTGCTATCTTTTGCATACTTGTAATAAAAAGCCCTCCAAGTCACTATTTGCAGCTTTGGAGTGAGGGCTCATTGTTTGTTCCACTCTTTTTCACTTCTGTCAGAAAAAGCTGTTCTTAAGATGTGACAGAGGCCATAAAATGCATGAATGTGAAAACTAGTGGTGGATCCAAACTGTTTTGACAGTCAAGAACTATATGCTTTTTATTAGCCAAGGCAAGTTTATTTACCTAAGTTATGTACCCCAGCTTTAACCTGCATGACCCTCAGTCTCTGCCTGCACTGGATTGAAATACACTTTTTGCTTCGACCAATCCCTTTTCAAACCATGCACAGGTTTTCTTGTTTACTCTGTTATCATTTTTTCTGTGAATAATTCTTGTATATACAGTAAGTGTATCTCGTGAATGTTTGAAATAAATAAACAAAACATCAGATAACATGATAAACTGAATATTCCGAACACCGCTGATAACTCATTGTCACATGTTGTCTGCAGGTGCATGCGGAGGGTGCAGCATCCCAACGTGGTCCGTCTGTACGAGGTCATCGACACGCCCAGCACCCTGTACCTGGTGATGGAGCTGGCCGAGGGTGGAGACCTGTACGACTACATCCAGCGGCATGACCGAGGCGTGGCCGAAGGCACCGCCAAACGCCACTTCGCTCAGATCGTCCGCGCCGTGTCCTACTGCCATCAGCTCCACGTGGTGCACCGCGACCTCAAACCCGAGAACGTGGTGTTCTTCCCGCAGCAGGGCGCCGTCAAACTCACTGACTTCGGCTTCAGCAACTGGTTCCAGCCCGGGACCATGTTGGCCACGAGCTGCGGGTCGCTGGCTTACTCCGCACCAGAGATCCTGCTGGGAGAGGAGTACGATGCTCCTGCTGTCGGTGAGTGCACAGAAAAGCTAATATTCTATTGCGATATTTCAATTCTATTACATTTTTTTCTGGTATATCCCTAAATCACAACAGTAGTGATCTCGGAGGACTTTACAAAGCTTTTCAATTCGCTAACACAGATCAGAGAATCAAATCCTTCAAACACAAGAAATGCAATGATAAAAAACACATAGAGCCATTGGTCCATAAACGGTAGATGAACAATGACCATAAATATTGATAAAGGTCCATAAATGTCGTTGAATGTGGAGTGTCCTGGATAATGCATAATGCTGCACTATATTATGGCTCCTCGATTCACTGAAATAGACTGCTTAGATTTGACATAATTTTCTTTGTATTAGTATTAGTATGTATATATGCATGTGTAAATGTATATTATCATTCAAAAGTTAATTTATTTCTGTAATTCAACTTTAAAATGTGAAACGACTGCCAGTGACATATGCCAAGCCTTTGTGTGCATTTTGATTGTTTGAAGAAGGATGATGAGTTCGTTAAAGCCCAACTTGGTATTTTAATTGAGAACTTGCAAGTTTTTAAAAATACATGACCTTATCTTCATAAATGGCAAACTCGCAAAATCGCTGTGTTTATGTGAGAAATCAAAATAATAATATTAAATCGTGCAGCCCGAGTGCACTATATACGATTCTTTCTTATCTCGCCCCTTTGCCTTAAATGTTCCACAGTAGAGCGTTAAAACAATCTACTGTTTATTTATTCAGTTACATAACGGTTTCAGACTCTCCTTCAGACTAATTGTGGAGTGTGAGCGCTGCAGACGCATTGAGAACAAAGTGATTACAAAATGACAACATCACAAGGACAGGACTCGAACAAGGCCAAACTTCAGAAAAAAAAGTTACTGCAATTGTAAGAAGCCAAATCTTGTATTTCACCTTATCTTTAAAAAACTTGTAGAATTGTCTGTCTTTAATCGTTCAACAGCATCTTTGTCAACTCTTAAATGAAAATTACAAGCATTTATGTGGAAAAACAGGAGATTAGTTTTCATGGTTCCTGTATTTATGTTGATTTTCAAGCCAGGTCAAACTTTATACTTTAATAATATCATTTTTTGTGTGACTTTATATGTACATTTTTTCATTTTCAGAGCTTTTGCGAATCCCCTTTTTAGTCGTCTAAAATCGGAGAATGTCTTCAGTCAATGAAGAATGTATTTACAGTTACGGCGTTATATTGTTATGTATTTTATCAATCACTGAGGCTTTACTATCATGTTTGCTTATTTTTATTCTAAAGAGGTTCATATAATGCCAGAGAATAAATGGGCTTTGAGCAAATTTAATTTCATCTCCAGTTGCCTATAATGGATATTCTGATGACAAGAGCCTTTTTTTGACCTACTTTTCAGTGACCATATCTTTCCATACTTTTTTATATCCCTTCCTCAAACCGGATTATCCACGGTTTTGTCCCGGCCCTTTTCCTCTTTCAAAACCAACTTTAAACACATTCCTTTAGTACACCCCAGTTATCCCTTGCCCTCGCTGCTTCATCTCCATTATTTCTCCTCTGCTGACGTCGCGCAGCTGCATTTGTTGCCTGTGTTGTTTGCTCGCAGGATTAGTGCGTAGTAGTGAATGTGGGTCAGTCTCTGCAGTCGGGCCGCCGTGAGCCAACTGGGCACGTTTGCGTTTTGAGCCCAACACTGCATCTCCTCACTGGACTCTCTGCATCGCCAGCACTTTGCTTATGTGTGTGTGTTTGTGTTATAATGTGTGTGTGTTTGTGTTATTGTGAGTGTGCACAGAGAGACAGAGATGGATAACGGTAGAACTGAATCCTATGCATCAGTTTTAGCCATTGTTGAGGTTGTGCTGAGCTGGGACAGAGGGAGAGGCTGCATCTGCGATATTCCCATTTGTATAATCGTATCCAAGTATTATTGAGCTTGTTACATGTTTATAACGAAGTATTTCTATGTCTAATTGATGTAATCCATAGGTGCTCAAAGTGAATCTCTGCATAGAATCTATAGAATTCTTGAATAATTAACTGCATTATTTAACAAAAATAAGAATACATTATTATAGAACATTTTAATACCATATTACCATAAGGTTTTATTATAGTTCAGAACAAGCAAATCATTTGAAAACTGCACTGTTTCTTTCATAATCAATACTTTAAAAAATATCAATACTAGTTTTAGTATAGATCAATATCTAATTCTTGATACACTGCAGCGTAAGATGAGGGGTTTGTCATCGTATCTCACTACATTTTTGACAGAGACCCCAATTATTTAAATGGACTTATGCAATTTGCAATAGATAACACTACAGTGGATTAAGCTTGTTTTGACACTTATTTCTTGTTATTTCAAAATGACATTCAGATGTGGGGGTCACAAGATGATTTCATAACTTGTGGGTGAAGATTGTGAGAACCTGGCCATAAACTGTTGTAATGTATTGGAAATAAAAAATACCATGATGCATTTCAAAAGAACAGTTCTCTGCAGTTGTTATGTGTCGATGAAGTCTAGTAACCATGGTAACTTTTGATGCTTTTGACTTGGCTGGTGGCGATCGTTAGTTTGTTCTTTTGACTGTTTATGTCCTGAGGCTCAATGTCTGACCAGAATTTCTAACAGATCTGACATATTTAGTTTGGATTTAGTTTTTCATCTTTCTTTGGGTGCATTTTTGTTCCTTTGAGTTGGTCAAGAGTTTTTATTACTCTGTTTGTGACTCTCTTGTAAACATTTCCAGTTCACAGAGGCCACATGAATGCATCATAAATCTCCTTGTTTATAAATCTGAGATCAGTCTCTGTGCCGCTTCTCAATTAGGAGACCGTTGGTTTACTGTGTGTTAAAAATAGAGAACAGACTCTCATTCCTTCATCTCCATCATGACTTATGAGCTCCTCCACTTCCTCTTTTCATGTTCCTCTTTTTTAAAGTGTCCATTTAAGTCCCACGGAGTGTCCTCTGGAGACCGCACACTTTTCTCCTGCAGTGACTCACGCTGTAGATCCCAACTATAGTATTAAGATGACATCACCAAAGTGTCACAATAAAGCATCTGAGGGAGCTGCACATTCAGGGATATAGCGTAGATTATAATATTGCTTCAATCGATTTGATGTAATAAGAGCTATGTCTGGTGTTGGACCAGATTGTTCCAAATAGTTACTTTCAGCTTTTGAATTTACATGACACATTTAGATCAGAACTGAAAAATCTGTTGGAAATATCTAAAGAATAAATTCTGTAACAAAATGACTAATCCATCCAGGAGCAGCATCTCTACTCAAAGTTCCTTTGTGTGAGTGTGACCTTGCCTTCTCCTTAAGGCACAATGTGCACAATCTCTGCTCCTTCTTGAGAAACTTATAAAACTAAGCCACGACCTCAGGATGTGTTTTTTTTATTTTTTTATTTAAAAGTGTTGGAACAGCCCTGCAGCCTGTGTGAGGTTACCTCTGCTGACTTTGAACACTTGGTCTTTAATTGCATCTTTTATTTTTGTCTCTTAGAAGAACTATTCTTTCCATTTTCCTTGCAGCCCTGTTCTATGCGCATTTGTTTGATGACAGTCATATGATTGGGAAAAGCTCCACAGGCGTCTCGATAAGAATAAATATACAGGCGCTGAGTTACATAATCCATGCTGACCACTGCTGCTACTTTTCTGCTCCAAATATTAATGAAGTGTCAGAAACTGAGAAAAGGGCCAGTTTACTGTTATAACTGGACATGACTATTGTGTCTGTTTATTCTCTCTGCATTGACTTTTACATGTGCTAACACTCACAGCAGATGGGTGGAGTCCACACATGGTGAAGTTCTGCTTTTGCCTAGGCGTATGCCGCTGATAAGCATTCACATCAGTGTTAAAAATAACATGTGCGGAGGTTAAGATTAAGTCAGTATCTCGTAGTGTAATGTTGATTTGTATTACATCTTCAAGTCCTATGTGTAAAATCCTTTCCCACATCTCACTCTATTCGTTCCAGAAGATAATTCTAGAGATACAATAGTGCTACATTCAGAAACAGAAACACCTTGAAGGCCTGTACACTTTGGCATAGGTCAAAATCAAAAAAGAAAAACATATTTCCAGAAAAATACAACAAACAAAACACATTGTGGTAAATGACCAGCAGCTGAAGAAAGATGTATCAAAAGTGAGTTCAGAGCAGCAGAGCATGTGGTTGTGTGTGTGTGTACTTAGACTTGTGATGTCAACAAGATCCTAATGCATGCTGGGAAAGTGTGATATTCCCCAGAGTAGAGGGAAAAGTACGCTCCCAGCTTGTCCTCTAGTTGCATATAACTTCTGCGGACGTGGTGCAGAAGCTTCTGGCCCAGACCGCTGCTGTGATGTGGGACAAACTTGTATATGTATCACTAGAGCAGAGGAACGCAGAGGGGAAAGTAAAGATTAACATTCCATCAGTAGAAGAAGATAAAATACTTGACAAAGTACAGGAAAAGGAGCATTTGTGGTGAGATTTCTGGAACAGACTGGATTTATGTCTCGAGTTTTACGGCTATAATTGTTTTAGGTGTTACTGCTTTATCGCTTAACACTTTTTACTCAACACGACAAAAATATTTTGGTCTAACAATATGGGAAGCGTTTATATGACTTTTTTATTGTTACATCAGAGCAGCCACAGAGAGGACGGCTTGTCTTTAGCTATAAGGTTTCATTCTGAGAAACGCAACACATACAACACACTCCCTGTTATGGCTACAGCGCTGTCTTCAAGCGGAACATGGCATGTCCTGGTCCGACTGCTCTGTGTGCGTTTGTGTGTGCGTTTGACAAGGGAAGGAAGGGAGAGACCTTTTAAAGAACATTGTGTCAAACCCAGGTCTGTGTACACCGGACATCCCTCTTTTTCACACATGGACATTCCTAAACATGGAGAGATTTGACCTGGTCTCATGTGCTGTGGTCGGTAAAGAAAAGATTAATGATTTGAATCTGTAATGTCAAGAAGAAAGCTTTAGAAAGGACTGTCCAAGTTTCATAAAAAGGCACTAAGCTTATTTCAAACCATCTGTACTAAATTGCAACTGCAGCTACATCAGTGAATATCCTCATCTCCTCAAGTCCATCAATGTAAAATAACTCTGATCTTTTTTTATTCTAGTGCCTTATCTTTCCAGTGTGTCCTATTTAAAGTCGCGCTGATAACGTGTTCTGTTCTGTGTTCTGGCAGATATCTGGTCTCTGGGGGTGATCTTGTACATGTTGGTGTGTGGAGTCCCTCCGTTCCACGAAACCAACGACAGCGAGACTCTGGTGATGATCCTGGACTGTCGCTACAGGGTCCCGGACCACGTCTCGGTCCACTGCAGACAGTAAGAACACACACAAACACACACAGACATTCTCACACCCACGCACACGCACGCCCGCACATACACACACACGCACACGTTTATTATGTAACTCAATGTATACAATAGAAACACCAGGCTGCTCCACTTCTTTCCATACTTGGTCTAAGGTTGTATCAGTTCATGAACAACTGAACATACTCTAATGATTCCCATTTAAGTATTCTTTCGAAGATTTTGTGAAGCTACGGATGCTACAGTACATAAATTTAACGTTCCTATTCAGAGCCAGTTAAAACGCTCGATAACATCTACTTTTGAATATTTCCCATACCATATTTCATTGAGAAATTGATGTCTATCTTTGAATAACTTAATAAATCAAAATGAGAAGTTTTTTAAGTGCCGTCTCTGCATGTGATTATTATGCATGTTGCCATATGTTTACGCCCCTACAGGGTTTTATGTAACTATCACTCTCGTTCTATTCTGTTCTGCTTTTGTAACTACATTAAAACAGATCCATGTGATAAAGCGTACATATTATATCATATTCCTCTCATAATTATGTGGGTAATCAAGTTTAAATGTAATTTTACCTCCGCTCAACCCTCAGGATCGCCGCAATGTTGTGATGAAAACCCGTGACTTGACCTTCTGCATGACAGGACTATTCTAGAGACGGCACAATGTAAAATACTCTCAAATCAGACGTTGAAATGATTCCGAAACAGAAACAGGGACCATGAGGTTGGCTTTGTCCCGTGGCTGGGTCTGTCGTTTATCGTCCTGCACTCTCCAGAGATTTAATGCAGTGGACGTGGGGTTGAGGGGGTGGGTGACTGGGTCTGCTGACCGGAAAATTCTCTCATTAGTCTGCGTTTCACTGGATAATTTGTATGTCCTACTTATTTTAGAGGCGCGCGCTGCAATGTCAGGTCGCTCCATACTGTTTACTCGCTCAGACTGTTTTTGATTCCGCCGTTATGGTTATGACGCGTGCAGAAACACTTGTGTGCACCAACAATTCAGGACAAGCACTTGTGAGTTTTTACACGTCACATCGACTTCTAACACTTCTTATCCAAACCGTAGTGCAGCTGAGTCAATGTTAACTCCATTTGGTGAAGTTGCGCGTAACTGCGAGGAAGCCCCTGTTCAAGTTTCAAGATGATCCGTGGTGTTTTTATATTTATTTTTAGCCACTTGAATGGGAACGTGGGAAATGGCTGAAAGCATGTTTTGTCATAAATTTTTTCTCATTTGACATGTTTTTAGTGGTAGGGGAAGGAAAACCAGAAAACCTGGGGGAAACCTGCAGAAAGAGAAAATGCATATCTTACATATTTATTTCATACAGTAATGCCAATAATGAGTTATGATAAAGAATGATTATTAGATGATTATTTACAGTACAATATGTTTATATTATTATGTTATTATTGTTATTATATACAAACTCATTTTGGTCGGGACAAATATAAAGTAATAGCTAGTCAGGGTGGTCTTTTTAGTAAACTCAGAAAAAAATACATTTATTTGTTTACATTATAACATCTACTTTATATATAACATGAGTTTGGTTATTATTTGTGGGTATTCATTATGTTCTGTTAGTTTGTTTGGATTTAACCAATACTGGACCAAAGCTGAAGAAGTATGTCGACTTGTAGACTGACATGCCAATATATATGTATATTTTTCACATTTTATCCAACTATATCTATGGGTTAAAATTTTTAGAATGAAAAAATAAAATGGCTGTTTTCATGACAAAATGAATTATTATAGCTATAAAATGAGGTATAACATGCCATGGTAGTCATATTAACAGGTTCCCATCAATGCTGCTTGTGAATCATGATAATTGAAAATCAGTTCAGGGGTCACTAAAACTGGCCCTTGTGTGTTATGTGCTCAAACATGCTTAAATCCATGTGTTTGCATGTTTTTCTTCTTGGTCCGACAGTGAAAGCATGGTATGATGATGATAATGGGGCTATTATTAGAGAACATTATGGTTCAGTGTGGTACAATAGGTGCTGGTGGGACTATTGTCAGACTCATGAATGGATCTTTATGCTCTGGTTGTACCTATACGCTGCTCTCTGAAGCAGTGGATTCTGTGGTCTTCCTCGTTCCACATGAGATAAGGCAGCTTCATGTTCTGTAATCTCACACTTTTATTGCCAGAATCTTATTTCATAAATCCATTTTAGTTTTATTGTTTTCCTAAATTACTCACTCTGTTGTTTTGTCTCATTTTGAATTAAGACGGAATCATGACTCTTGAAACTTCGTCAATTGGTCCTAACATTTTGATCAGCAGTTTTTCACTGAAATTATGTGTTTACTTACACTTTAGTCTGTTTTATAATTTCAGGAATGACTTTGACAAAAAAATAATGATATATTTTTCTTTGAAGCTTAATTTCCCAGATGCTGCAGAAGGATCCCAGCAGACGTGCAACGCTGGAGGAAATCGAGGCTCATGATTGGCTAAAGGGGCTGGACGATGCTCTGCTGACCCCTGAAGCCCCTCCCTCCTGGCTGACCGGCGCGCTGTCACTCAACTCTCCTCGCCTGGTTCCAGAGAGCGGGGACCTTCTCGCTGCAAAAGCCTCCAATCACCCGCCTTTACCTGGACCATGGCAGCCCAGGCTGAGGACCACCCCAGACCCAGACCCCCCAGTGCCTCAGAGCATCCCAGCTCTGCAGCAGATCTGTGAGGAAGAGGAGGAGGAGGATGAGGAGGAAAAAGAAGAAGAGGAGGAGGAGGAGGAGGAGTGCACAAAGGAACATGTCCAGGGACCACAAACTGATGAGAAACTTATTGTTGAAGAGGAGACAGACACTGGACCAATGCTGGAGGAGGCCGAGGCTGTGGACACGGACGCTGTGATTTCTGAGCAGCCCGCGAGTCTCAATGATACGAGTGCTTCTAGTTCAGCGTCTGTTCAAGAGAGCGATTCAAGTCTGCAGTGTGATGAGCCCAATAATAACAGCAGCAAAGCTCCTGTCCCCTCAGATCCTTCTCTCTCAGTCTGTTTGGACTCCAAAGACACACACACAGAGGACTGCAGAAAAGATCTCTCCGCTGACCGGCCACAGTCCCTCAGTCCAGACATTGCCCCTCGGGCAGAGACTGCCAAACGTCATAGCTTAAAACTGCGTGAAAGAATTTTCCAATTTCCTCTTTGTGAGAAAGCGATGGCTTTTAATATCCCCAATCAAAACAAGTCCAAGATTCTGCCGTTGGCTCAGTACAACTGCTGCAGAGTGCTGTAGATACTGAAGGTGCACCATAAACATACACTTTTGGGTCCATTCAGACCCAGAGATGGGAAAACAAACTTTTAGAGGAAACTCATGATTTCCTGCTGTGTACAGAAGCTCCACATGTCGGTTCACTTAAGCTTAGCATTATAAAGAAAAGATTTACAAAATGCTTTTGTTGAAGTATTTTAGAGAACTGCAGTATACTACAGTCCTTTGTGTTCATGAGGTGCCTATTTGTGTTTGTTTGCACCCGTCTTGTCCCAAGTCTGACTTTAGAGTTGTAAAATGCTGCAAGTCACACTGCTCCAGCGTTAGCACTAGATGCGTTTTAATGCATTGTAAATATTTAATGTTGATAACCAGGTTCAACAACAGCAGCACCTGAAAACCTTTGCACAACTTGCTCCATGTTGTGGATAAATCTCTTAAATAAGCTCCTATTTGTAAAGACTGAGACTGTTACACGATGTAGAAAAGTATTAGTCCTGTGTCGATTCACAATGGTCCTCATCGAACCTTTTTGGACCTGGTGTTCTAATCCGTGTGTTAAGATCGTATAATCGTTGACTTGCAGGATGCAGGCCTTTCATTCTGCTGATAACTACTTGTGTAATGTTTATGTTGGATTATTTTTTATTTCCTTTTGACAAAAGTCATATTTCTGAATATGAAAGTGATTGCATGTTGTTGATACTGTTATTTATGGCCATATACCTCTGTGTGCTCTGGGTTTTCAGGGTTGTGCTCCTTTGTATTTTTGAAGTAATTCACAGAATATTAATTTGCACAAATGTGACTGTATCACTGAATATACCAAACAGAAGATTTGTTCCCCTTCATTTTTTACATTCACTGTATATTTTGTCTTTTTAGAGAGTCTGAGCAAAACAGAAGCCAAAGTTTGCTTTGGTCGAACTGCAAGTCCATAGAATTAGATTTGGAGCTTGTGACCTGTGACCGGTTGATCACTCTCAATAGATGTCATGTGATAAATAATCTAAAGTTTATAATCCCATAAATGCTCCTGAGCAACTGCATCTCCCTCTGCCGATGGACATAAGGCTCCTCTGGGCCTTGGACCTATTTTTTCCTCAATTTTCATTTATTTATTAAAAGAAATATTCCAAAATGACCACTTTATGGTGCTTGGTTGCTCATGTTTCTCATATTGTTGGAAAATACAATAAACAAAAGTTCAGTCTTAATGACTCTATTAAAAACAACACATGCATGGCTGCCATTTACTGATGAGTTGAACCACTTAGGCAAAAACAAGGATCCCTATGTATTTACTTGATTGTCAGAAAAGGTGGTTTGGTGCCCCCTGCTGAACAGAATCAGCCGAGTAAGATAATTACTATTTTTCCACTTTGACTTACTATTCACTATTTTTGTCTGTGGACCTCACATTTATATTATACTGCTGCCTTTCCTGAAAGCTTAAACACCTCATTAACATTTGTATAATGAAAATAATATGAAACTGCTGTAGTTTAGCTTTTTTTTTCTCCTATACTATCAAAGCTGCATTTTTTCTGAAATGGTCTCAGATAATAAACGCAGAAAATACAAAACAGAAACGCACACAAGATAAAAAAAATAAAATGGAATAATCATGACATATTAAATTAAAACAAGTAGACAAATAGGCCAGAACAGAAAAGCATTAGCCTCAGTTCTGGCCTCCACATTCAGCATTGAGAATAAAAGTAATTTTGGCTTTGTCTGCAGACACACCACTGCAAATGCTAATTCTGGCTGTGAAATTCCACTCCAATTCCTTTATCGCACCACAAGATGTCAGTGAAGGCAACACTCCAACTTTTCCCTAATATTTAAGTCAACTCTGTGGAGAAAAAGAAATGTGTTTATCCAGGTCTTTATAAATGAACTGCTGAATATGTGTTAATAGTGCAATAAGTGCAATAAAGCATCTTAGTGTTCATCTTCAAGCCTTCAATGTGATTTCACAAACATGACTTGTTTTTAAGCAGGTGAAAGCCATAAGCACTTGTTTGTATACTCCTGAACACTCGTATCTGGAGGCACCGCGGTTTGCAACACTTGATTTGGCCGTAAAGCGGTTTAAGATGGTCCCAGGATCGTTTTCTGTAATGAGAAGAATAAATATGTAAGGCAGAAAACACAAACGGGTCGTGTGAAGTGCTGACCTGCTGTCGGAGGGCCTGCATCGATTTAAACTCTATATGAAGCCTCTTTTTCTTGATCCAGCCGGGTTCATCTGGGATTAGCACAGACAGCACCAACTTCACAAGAATCAAGACATGCTGAAAAGAGGAACAACGGTTTAATATTAACTAAGGTTTTTTTTTCTTATTCAACTCATTTATACTGAGCCAATAGAAATCACAATGGACTAACTCAGGGCTGTAAGAAACTGACGGTAACTTACACCTTTTGCCGTATTTAGTTTGAGTTAAAGGTATATAGCAGGATTATCTACTTCCTGGTGGATCATCAAGACTATTGGTCCTCCTAAATGTCAATCATTCTGGTGATATGTGCTCATCAAATAAGACCAGAGAGTTTTTTCAAAAAGTGGAGAGTGGGCGGTTCTTTCCTAAAATTTCCTAAAATCACACAGCACAAGATAAGTGGACAAAAACTCTATTATGGTATAGTTATAGATTTTAGTTTATTTTAGTATAAAGAAGAAAGTATACAATTTCTAACGTAGCATGATAAAGAAAGTTGAGTTGACTGTATAATATAGGACAACGGAACCAAAAGGCAAGACAAGAATTTGTACTTATTTTGTCACTACTTACTTCTTGCTTCAATAACTAATATATACACAGGCTTCATGCAGCTCCGTACCTCCATCGCCACCGCCAGCAGCAGGACGTTCGAGCAGCTGAACTCTCCGTCCAAACACAGCGCCTGGATTTGTGGCGACAGCATCAGGAGCCAACAGTTTGTCACCACGGAAACAAAACTCAGCACCTCGAAGGCGATCTACGACACAGAAGCCATCAGTGAAACAAAAACTAAGGATCCATTTAGGGGCTTAACGTTAGAGTGTGAGTCCTGTGCTAAGAGCTGACCTGCCACACGCCCATGTTGGCCACGGGGGCAGAGAAAGGTTTGCAGAAGAGTTTGCAGACTTTGTAAGCGTCCAATCGTATCTCTGTGAGGTTGTTGATGAGCAGCAGCACAGCGGTGAGGGGGAAGACGCAGGAGAAAAGACTCAAGTACCCAAACTGCACCAGGAGCTCGATGTATTCTGCAAACAAGCCCTGCAAAAAACACAGACAGACCTTATAGAGCAAGTCACTTTTTAGTTTCAGGAATAATACATGATGTTTATATTCTAAAATCAGACCACAAAGTCTACAGTCTACATCTTATAAGAAAGCCCTGTGACTATTTGACATTTCGGGCTGAGAGCCGGCTGAAAAAGCTGATGAGTAAAATTTAATTACATAGTATTTTTTAGTTTTTAAGTGAGCTACCCCAGCTTTAACACATGGCCCAGTCGTTATCATTTATACTAAATGTCTTTTGCCGAATGTATTTTAATATTCATGTAATATTAATTTTGAAATAACTTTTTGAAAAGCTTCAAATTTGAGGGATCTGAAAAGTACCAAAGGGGCATCAGTTTATTTATTGAAAGTATTAAAATGTCTTAATCAATGAGTATTAAGAGAATCGTTCAAACACAGGAAATGCAATAATAACACATGGGAGTCATTGGTCCAAAAGGAGCAGGAGAACCAATGTCCTTAGATCCTCCTGCATAGGCAAGGAACAACTAAAAAATAAACTCTATAACGTCTTTCTGAAAAGATAATTGAAATGCATTTGACTTCAGGCTTTCTATATTTTACATGTAAAAGTATCCGAGATTTCAGATTCCACAGTGTTAGACTGTATTTTACAAACGAAATAGCATCATGGCTCGGTGACATAAGCAGACTGACAAATGAGTTTGTGAGTGATTTGGGTTTGAACATAAAACATAAAAAATCACAAACTTACTGGAAACACCGGCAGAGTTCCCTGATTCCTGAATTTATCTTCTTGAGGATCGTCTTCACTCTCCGCTCGATTGGGAGCGCTGATAAACCTGTCCACCAGGAACGGCACCACCACCTCCGTGAACTGGTTTATGATCTGCGTCACTATCAGCAACGAGGCTAAACGCTGCAAAAACACATTATCCTCCATCACTTATCAAGCGTTTGTCTTCAAAGCATTTAAGGAGAGAACCAAAGTTAACTCTACCTTTCGTAGCAAAGGCACATCTTGTTTGAAGAAGGCGATATGGAAGAGCACAGCAAAGCAGTTGAAAAAGGTGAACTGTTAAACAAGATAATATGTCAAGGGAATTACCTCAGCACATGAGCAGGTGAGGGCTGTCGTTAAAGCTGGGGTACCTAAGTTTTCAACCTCAATACAATTATGTACCATGGTATACATCTGACTACTGTAGTGCCTTGCTCTCATCCATAACTATCCATAGTTTTCACATACATTTTTTCGGCCTCTGTTGCAGGGTTAGGGTTAGGTCGTCAAGTTGGTATAAAAAGTATAAAAGTAAAGTTAACAGGTCTTCTCAATGCAAGGAAGACGGAACAATGTGGTCTGATTTTGTACATGATTCTTTCTGTTGAAGCTTTAGCCATCCGTAAACTCCGGTCAGCTATTTTTATTATTATTATTATTATGTACATCTGGGTCTGATCTTAGTGGTTGCGGTTTCTTCGGTTGAATCCCCTCCAGCCATTCAATGAAGGGGGAGGAGGCGGGTGTTGTAGGTAGGTGTCTGTGACGTCAAGAGTTTGCATCAAATTATCTGGTTTTAGTTTGACAATGCCGGCGAATGCCACAGTAAAGAAAGCTCTTCAATCCGTTGTGGTTCGGCTCCAAATATCAAGAAATTGAAGCCGTAGAAAGAGGAATGTTTATCAAGTTTCAATGCTGGCAAAGATGTTGTGGCTCTACTCCCCACGGGCTCTGCTAGTGGCAAAGGAGAAGGATAAAGCTAGGCTAAATGCTAAACGCCTCACTCACTTGTGTGCATTACATACATACCAGATCAAATCGTTTCAATCTGCAGTTAACCCCTCCCACCAGTTAACAGCTCAATTGAGCAATTCAAGACCTTAGTCCGAAATTAAATAAGTACAATGGTATGGTAAGACCAGGCTATGTCTGTTGTGACAAAAACAAAAGAAGTTCTGTACTGTTCTGTACTGTTCAGCTTTAAAAAACAGTTAGTTTCACCAACCACTAAGACTTTTCCGGTGAGGTGATTTTCGAATGCGGACTCTTCTCTGTGGTTCTCTGTGGACGAAAACTTAAGTTAAATCAAACAAAGAAGGCGCATTTGGATGTGTTGTTGTTTCTCTCACCATATTCAGTTAAAACATTTGCCACGGTCCTGTAAACGGTGGCCAGTACGTTGGTGTAGACGATGTGAAGGATAGAGGGCAGGTAGATCAGGGTCTGAGTCCACAGAGAGTCCCAGTCCTCATGCAGCCTCTTCACCTGCACCTCCCCCCAATAGAACACCATCATGCCCACCATCACCAGCGCTGAACACATGCCGCAAAAAGTTATAAGTCTATTATTATGTTGTTGTTTAATGTTAAAAGCATTGCATTGTGGTAAAAATATGGAAATACTCCATACTTGTTTCACCACATATATTCTACTGAAGATATTATTTCACCTTATAAAAGATAGAAATACAAAGTAAATAGTCTCATTATTAGTTTTAACAGCCTAGCACAGAAGTTTTAATACTGTAATTTCCCGACTATATCCGCTACTTTTTTCTAGTACTTTGACCCCTGCGCCCCTAAACCCTTACCCTATACAGCAATGTGGCTTGTATGTGTATTTTTAATGTGGTAGAGTCGTCAAGCAGAGTTTATGGACTCATTTTGACACTATAGTGCAGGGGTCTCCAACCTGTAGCTTGGGAGCCACCAGTAGCTCGCCACCTCCTTCCAGGTAGCTCACCAAAGTAGTAGTTGGTTGTTTTCTGTGGCCAATATGTACACCAGATCTCAGCTCACATGTTTTCAGAGATTACATATACGTTTTACAACAAGAAAGAAAATAACCAAAAGGTGTCCATTAAGGACCTTGTGCGAAACAATGCCTGACCGAAGGATTTAGAAATGAACAAATCAAATAATATACCTAATATTTCAGATTGTATTATTCATTATCATTATTTGCTATTGTAAATGCACTTACTTTGTGCACTCGTAATACATTTATGCGATGGTAAATAATAACTGTTTTCAATATCAGGCTTGTCCACACCAATATACAGAATCACCAATTCTTTTCCCTGCGCCGTTTGAAGGAATAGCTCTCTGCCTTTATCGTCCCGGGAAAGTGAAAAAGGTTGGAGACTGCTATAAAGTCATAGAAGCTAACGGTTTAGCAGTTAAATGCCTCGTCATTAAATCATGTGGTGCCTATCTGCGTTATTACATTACAAAATGAAAATCTGCGGCTTATTTTCAAGTGTGGTCTATCTGTGGACAAAATTTACTTTCTTTTCCAATGTAGATGCGGCTTTATATACATGTGTGCATAATAGTCCAGAAAGTAAAGTACGTGATGTTAACTCAAGTGAAAGTGCGTTACCAAGAAAGACTGCAACCACCGGCACCGACACCAGCGCCATGCGGAGGTCCCTCTGCCACTCCGGGAACAGAGGCTCCACCCGGCCGGTCACCGGGTTGACGCCCAGGTCGCCGTGGAAACCTGGTCGGGGCTCGGCGAAGCGCTCTGTGAGGTGCAGCGTCCCCCAGCGGTACGACAGAGAGGCGCTGCGGCGTTTCCACAGCTCCAGGACCACCGTGGACCAGAGCATGCTAAAGAGCGCCTGGATCATGTGACCGCTGATGCCCAGGCTCGAGTGGTCCTCCTCCGCCGCCACGGACCCCGAGACGGACTCCACCATCTCCTTCTGCACCTCGCCTGGAAGCAGAAACAGCACATTTTAGTTACTTTTATTAGCAAGAGATTTTATTTTATCAATCAATGAACTTTAACTTGTAGAGCTCCTTTCCTACACAAGGCAACACAAAGCGGATTTATTTTAGTATATTATTGTTCATTTACCCTGTGTTGTGTGCTACTTATTTCTTCTTTACTGTAACTGGTGATGCAACACTGAAATTTCCCCACTGTGGGACAAATAAAGGATCTCTTCATCTTAAACTATTTATCTATACATTTATTTATCTTTATTTATAAAAGGAGGGGTCATTAGAGTTCCAGATTTACTTTTGCATGGGAGTTGTGTTTCATCGCAAACAAAACCCACAAAGTCCAATAAAACACAAGTTGTGACTAATTGCGCAAATCTTTGGAAAATAATGACATTTTTGAGATTCAAAATGTTGGATAGCCTTCTTTCCAGTTCTTGTAATAGTTCTGTTTCAGGAAAAGCAAATGTGATCTTGTGTTCAGAGCCTGAGTTCTAAATGATTCTAACCAAATAAATACATACATTTAATTATATAAGATAAATGATTTTATTCGGGTTTAATCAATAAAGTTTTGTTAAATATAAATCTAAAAAGCTACAAAAATACATTAAGAGAAACCACTATTTTGAGATTTTGACTTCATGTACAGTTATGGCTGCTATAGTCTGCTTATTTATAATTTAGGGGTTTTTTTGTGCCATATTATTGTTATTTACATAGTACTTTATTACGCTTGTCACGTTTCACAAGGAGGAAGTATGCCCCGAGTCTGAAGAACCAGGACTGAACCCGGACTCAACCAGAAGCAACTAGAAGCAGGGGACTGGAGTCAAAAAATAACCCTTTTATACAGAACAAATCAACAGCAGAATGCACAGATCCAGTCAATTTTACCCACGCCCTTTAAGAATAAAAAACAAGCCGGTCGAGGATGCTTACTGAGGGCTATCGCATCTTTCACCAAAGGCTCCAGTTTATCCAGGGCCGGGCCTGCGTGCTTGGTACAATAATGCAACTTGTAAATGGAATAATTTAAAACAATTAACAAACCTGAGAAGTAAGTTATAGTCAATCCGATGACAGCGGGTGGCAGCAGAGACCATGTGTAGAAATCGAGGAAGCTGAAGTAGAAGGCCAGAGAACTCCCAAAGTAGGAATGGACCGAATCTGTGAATGGTGCAAGAGGATTAAAACAGACTGAGAATAAACACTGACTCATCCACTATAATGAAATGACTGAGCCTCACCGAGAGGCTGGACCAGCTGGTTACCCGCATACCAGGCCCGGCTCAGCTCTTTCAGCTGCTCCTGGTCGTGAAGGGCAACAGTGTCCACAATCACCCCAGCTGAGGTGAGCTTCTGCCCTGAAACAAACCAAACACCACAACACTGGACTAAGACCTCATGACGCAATGGTATCACACACACACAGCAAAACAGATTACAAATGAATGGCCAAAAGTACAACCAATAAAATATTAGTATGAGGCTTTTTATACCAATAATGTATATCGAAAAATACATATAAATAATATTGAACTGCATTGTACTGAGACATTGTACTGAGACAAACCACACTTTTAAACATAGCAAATGCAAGACTGAAATTTCCCGACTGTGGGGCAAAAAAAGGATCTCTTAAACTGAATCTGTTCATTTATTTATTTTCATATATAAAAGTACATGAGAGTTAGTGTTCTAAAATTACCACCAAATAAAGAATAAATGTAATTTCCACAACATTTGGTGGGACTGTTCTATTCAATTCCATGTATTTTTGTAGAGGCCTAAATCACAACAGCAGTCGTCTTTGGGGACTTGACAACGTTTTCAATTCGCCAACGACAGATCAGAGAATCAAACAGTTCGAACACAGGAAATGCAATAACGACAAGCACATGAGAGCCATTGGTGCATAGGGAGTACGGTGGCCGATGTCCATACATGTTAATAAATGTGCATACATCTCCCTAAATGTTGCTAAATGCTCCGGGTCATCATCGTCCTTAGATCCTCTGAATCGGCAAGGAACTAAAAATAAATGAATTTTATTAAAAACAGAGGGAAATGAATGTGAGAAGCCTTTGGGGGGGGGGCATATTGCAAGAGAGATCCCACAGACAGACTATAGATCCAGGACTGAGGGTGTAGAACCAGGACTGAGGCTGTAGAACCAGGACTGAGGCTGTAGAACCAGGACTGAGGCTGTAGAACCAGGACTGAGGCTTTAAAACCAGGACTGAGGCTGTAGTACCAGGACTGAGGGTGTAGAACCAGGACTGAGGGTGTAGAACCAGGACTGAGGCTGTACAGTAGAACCAGGACTAAGGCTGTAGAACAAGGACTGAGGCTGTAGAACAAGGACTGAGGCTGTAGAACCAGGACTAAGGCTGTAGAACCAGGACTAAGGCTGTAGAACAAGGACTGAGGCTGTAGAACCAGGACTAAGGCTGTAGAACCAGGACTAAGGCTGTAGAACAAGGACTGAGGCTGTAGAACCAGGACTGAGGCTGTAGTACCAGGACTGAGGCTGCAGTACCAGGACTGAGGCTGTAGAACAAGGACTAAGGCTGTAGTACCAGGACTGAGGCTGTAGTACCAGGACTGAGGCTGTAGAACAATGACTGAGGCTGTAGTACCAGGACTGAGGCTGTAGAACAAGGACTGAGGCTGTAGAACCAGGACTGAGGCTGTAGTACCAGGACTGAGGCTGTAGAACAATGACTGAGGCTGTAGAACCAGGACTGAGGCTGTAGAACAAGGACTGAGGCTGTAGAACCAGGACTGAGGCTGTAGTACCAGGACTGAGGCTGTAGTACCAGGACTGAGGCTGTAGAACCAGGACTGAGGCTGTAGAACCAGGACTGAGGCTGTAGAACCAGGACTGAGGCTGTAGAACCAGGACTGAGGCTGTAGAACCAGGACTGAGGCTTACATATGTTGTCTCGTGGTTGTATCGAGCAGCCGACGTCCAGACCAGGAACCCTTATGTCCCTCTGAGCCCGCACTCCGTCCAGCTCATACTTCACGATGTACTGCCGCTCCGCCAGGGTCAGAAACACCTCCACGTTGTCTAAGGGTTAAGCAAATTTTATCAAATACTGTTACTCAACCTTTCCTGCAATTATGTAAATATTTTGACTTGGAAAACCTAGCACTAAGGCGCCTGTATGTAAATTATTACACAAAGTGATCACATTCAAAGCAGCCCTGACGCACCGGAGTCTTTAAAGTTGTCTCTGTCGTCATAGGAGAAGGCCTCCATGTTGCCGTTCTTGTAGGTTTTACACAGACCCAGCTCTTCAGTGGCCCGGAGCAGAGTGCAGCGCGGGGCAGACAGCACCATGATGTCCCCACTGGCCTCCTCTCCAGGGTGGGCCAGTAATCCTGCTCCTAAAACACGGGGGGGCGGGGGGTAGATTTAAGAATGATACACAACTGACATAACAGAAAAATAGAATTTATATTTATTTGTGTCAATTCATTCTAGGCAAGAAAATGCAAGTTTATTTGTATAGCACAGTTGACACAGGCTACTCAAAGTGTGGCCAAACATTTCAAACAAATAAACGGCATCTCCATGGAGACGAGAACAGAACAGACCTTCCTTTTTTTTTTTTTTTTAAAGTAAGTATTTTCTTTAAATGATAAACTAATTCTAAACTGTTATAGCATGAAGTGAAATGTAGCAGTGATAATATAATATTGCTCTCCTCATGTGCCTCTTATGAAAGAGCTTTGCTCCTAACCTAATTTGGATGAAAAATCTTCTGGATGATTCATCATTGATGAGGTCAGAACAACACATGTGGGCAACAAGAGCTGTGATAAATGTTTATGAGCCTCAGCAAACAAGGGTGAAGCCTTTTTTATAGCTGTAGGTGCAACTACATGATCATAGTACTATGATCACTTGCAAACTGAGAGATAACAAGGATATATTATACAACAAATATAAAATAGGTTGCCTGGTAACCTTATGGAATATTTAAGCTCTTCTAAGTCGGTTTAAGTTGGATCTCAGGATAAATGGCCACTACACTCACCTCCATCTGTCTGCGGTGTTCCGATGAGTCTGAGCAGCCACCTCTTGGTCTCGGGTCGGACCCCCGGCCCCAGTTTGACCAGAACCAGTGGGTCGACCCGTGGGGACATGCAGCAGGCACAGGTCACTCTGGTCCATCCTGGTCCTGAAGTGGAGGCTGCCAGTTTACTCAAGCCCTTTGGGGTGACCGTGCTTCTGCCTGCATCTTCCAGCGCATCTGCCGAACTCATGCTGAGACTGGAAACATAGTAGAGAGTTATTTAACAGTTCAATATATAACAACAAATATTATACCAGTAATTATAGTGTCTGATTGGTTTCCTATAGCATTTTTCTTTTTATACTCAAAGACACTTTATATGGCATTATTCATTTACATACACAGCGATGGTAAACTACCACTGCAACCACAGACTGACAGAAGACTGAGACACCGATGTAGGTGTCTTGCCTCAGGACCTATTGACAAAGCCACAGCTGTCCCACCTGTTGTTCCCATGTATGTTCACACTTGTATGACCGTCACCTTTCAAATATGTAGGGTTAAAATTCATGCATTTCTGTGGTTAGATTTATGCTCATGGGGAATCTTGAAAGACACATTTTAAGCATTTTTACTGACAATAATGATGGATTACCACATTATCATCTCTATCATCAATTGTTGCCTTATCATCCTGAGAAAAGACAGAAAATACTCAAGTACTGTCCAGTTGTTTAATTTTCCTTACAGGTCTGGCAGTTACAACTACACTAATAGCGCTTGCGATGATTATACCTTATCAGTTGTATTGAATTATGTGGTGAGGTTAAGGAAACACTGGTTAAAGTGACAGCAGCACACAACTTCCTGTGTTATAGATACATTACAACTTTGTCTTTGCATCATCCCAGCAGGACACTTCAGTGCACACTTTAGCCTAATTACCAAAGCTGTGCATGTTGCCTCTTGCTGAAATGTCTGTAGGAGAGACACAAAAATGCAAAGAAAGCGACATTTTGGAAGGGCACCTGGTAGAATGTTAATGATGAGGTTTCTTCTACTGTCCTGGCATAGCCCTCCCAGCCTGGTCACTTCTGCCATAAAGGACTCAGAGAAGAGCCATCCCCGGTCACTCCATGGTTCTCCTGACAGCCGCAGTGAGAGTGCGTTGTTGTGTAGGGCAGGAATGTAGATGAACTTCCCCAGACTGCAGGGTGTGGACTGAAGGCCTGTTTGGTTTACTTTGTGGCTCCTCCCTCCTGCTCTGTGCCTCACGAAGAGCAGACGGCAGCCCTGGGTCCTACTGATCCACCCGCCTCTGCTGCCCTGGCTTTACAGTGGCCAAACGCACGCTCAATCCTGCCGGACAGCAAGACAAACTACAGGATATAGGCTTTTCCTTGTATGTTAGATTGTTCTTGGAATACTGCATAAATGATTAATAAAAGGAAATCATAAAATACCATAATGAATGAATATATATTTTAATAAATAGTCTGATGGACACCTTGAATGACAGAAAATAATTTATTTTCTATGCATAAATAAGTTAATTCATTTTACTTTTAAAATAAACTATGTTAACTAATCTAAATCTAATTGAATCTAAACTAGACAAATTAAACCCCTTTTCGAAATAATGCAACTCAAAGTTTTTATTATCCAATTAATGTTGTTGGATTCTCCACACACTTGTTTTGGTATCGGTCTGTTGTTCAATGGAATGTATTAAATTAGTTTATTGGTTGAAGGGATTTGAACACATATATTGAATTTGTGGGGTCTTGAAAGTTACGTACCCCAAGCTTTAAATATTTGACTTTAAAGGTGTAGGAGGATTTTCCCAAATCTTAGGAAAGAACCGCCCTCTCCACTCTTTCTCTGGACTTATTTGACGAGCAGGTATCACCAGAATGATTGACAATTGGGAGGACCAATAGTCTTGATGATCCACCCGGAAGAAGAAAATCCTCCTATACCTTTGTTGTAATTTATAATTTATACATTATTTTATACATTATTTATAATTTAGTTACATCTGAGTTGGGTTAAGGGGGCAGTTGCTGGGTAACGTTTAATAGTTTAAATGTAATATATATAAAAAAAGTTTTATCAAATCTAATAATAAAAAAAGATTATCATAGCTAACATCAGTACATTCTAGATTTCGCCATTTTTTGTATTAATGCGTAGTTGAGCCTTATATACACTGTCTAACATAACTCGAGGATTTATGTTACAAGTACATGATCTGTACTACTGCAACAATACTAATACCGCAACCCCATCATACTCATTCATGATGAATAAACACTTCAATGTTTTTTATGTCTAATGTGCACTAAACAAAGGGCCTCAGTCGCAATGAAATGGATGATGGATCGATATTCACTCACGTTATTCACGTCACGTAACGGGTATGGGGTGCCGTTTGTAAAAATTCTGTTAAAATTTTTTAGCTGAACATTTTTCTACATTTAGCTCACTTTCCTCACATTTAGCACATTTTCCTCACATTTAAGACATATCTATATCTAAATATTATATCTATATCTAAATGTTAAATGTTATATCTAAATATTATATCTATATCTAAATGTTAAATCTAAATGTTAAATCTAAATGTTAAATCTAAATGTTAAATCTAAATGTTATATCTATATCTAAATGTTATATCTATATCTAAATATTATATCTATATCTAAATGTTAAATGTTATATCTAAATATTATATCTATATCTAAATGTTAAATCTAAATGTTAAATCTAAATGTTAAATCTAAATGTTAAATCTAAATGTTAAATCTAAATGTTAAATCTAAATGTTAAATCTAAATGTGTCGCCAAGTGTAAAGCTAAATATATAGAAACCACGCCCACTGCAGTGGCTTCAAATCCAGTGGGCCCGCCTTCCGTGCCGTGTGGAAAAGCGCCACTACAGGATTACACAGGAATCTCACGGGACTCCACGTGGCTTAGTTTACAGTGAATACACTCTGGCTCCAGCAAATAAGCAAGAATCTTCACAAAAATGCTAATTTTGTGCCGTGGCCAAGGACGATGGCGCCGGAGACCCAACATGCCTTGAGCCGTGACGTCGGTCCACGTGTATTCCTATGTTCAAAACACGCGGCACCGCCCCCACTCACCACACGGCACGGAAGGCGGGCCCACTGGATTTGAAGCCACTGCAGTGGGCGTGGTTTCTATATATTTAGCTTTACACTTGGCGACACATTTAGATTTAACATTTAGATTTAACATTTAGATTTAACATTTAGATTTAACATTTAGATATAGATTTAACATTTAGATATAGATATAACATTTAGATATAGATATAATATTTAGATATAACATTTAACATTTAGATATAGATATAATATTTAGATATAGATATAACATTTAGATATAGATATAACATTTAGATATAGATATAACATTTAGATTTAACATTTAGATTTAACATTTAGATTTAACATTTAGATATAGATATCATATTTAGATATAACATTTAACATTTAGATATAGATATAATATTTAGATATAGATATAACATTTAGATATAGATATAACATTTAGATATAGATATAACATTTAGATATAACATTTAGATTTAACATTTAGATTTAACATTTAGATATAGATATATCTAAATATTATATCTATATCTAAATGTTATAACATTTAACATTTAGATATAGATATAATATTTAGATATAGAAATGTCTTAAATGTGAGGAAAATGTGCTAAATGTGAGGAAAGTGAGCTAAATGTAGAAAAATGTTCAGCTAAAAAATTTTAACAGAATTTTTACAAACGGCACCCCATACACGTCAGCCGTAAATGAGAAGCCGTCCGTTTTCTCGTCCTTCTCTTTTCTTCTTTTGGACAATTGCACATTATTTCAAAAATCTACGTATTTTTACGACACGTGGGGCCGAGCCATAGACTGTATTGGCCGGGCTGAACTCATGTGGAAAATACAGATAATTGTGTAGTAGTTTGGTATTACCACTAGGTGTCACTGTAGTTGATATAGAGTTGCATAAAGTTAAGTAGTTACAATGATTTTAAATACAGCATAGAAGCAAGACTCTGAAGCCAAGCAGGATAAGGCCTGGTTAGTACTGTGATGGGAGACCTCTGGGGACACCAGAAAAAGCTAAGGTTTGGACTGCAGTGAAATACAAGAAATGACTCGATGAAGCGATATACACATAGACCTTTATTTACAAACACAATAGAATTTGCATAGAAGTGTAAAATTCAAAAATAAAAGTTATAGATAATATTAGAGTAAACACATTTAAACAGGAGGCTGTCATTATTGCTGCATCGTGGAACAAAGAGAAACACATGTCAGAATTTAAGTTCAGGAGCTGTGAATAAATTAATATAAATAAGACTTATTTATAGTTTGTACTTTATTACAACAGCTGGAATCCTTTGGCTTTGCTTTGCAGCCCCCACAATCATAATTATCACACGGATAATCATACATTCTATTAAAACTAGAAAATTTTTGTACTTTGCGACAGTGCATTTTTTGTAAATATAGCGGAATCTTCTTTCATTTCATTTGACACCTGCGGTTCCTAATATACTGTTGCAATAAAGAGTATGACACAATTCACAGCTACGTTTGCAAAAGCCCTGATGCTTCATTGACTTTGTTTTGCAGCAGCTACAAGATTTTTATCCAGTGAACAATATTAGAAAACACATAATGAAAATGTATTCTGTGTGTCTATTTTATACAAAGTATAATATGTACAACATATTTGATTTTGCTAGAAAAAATATAATTATTTTCTAAATGTTTTCTACATCTCTGGTTTTCCTATCTATAAGTATAACGTTTTGTTCTTTAGTTGTCAGTGTTTCTGAGGATCAGCCAGTTACAGTCACAACTCCTGCTGTTCAGTCAGAAGGTTCAACAATCGTCATACTGAGGGCGTCTCTGGAGCCGGGGAGTCAGACTGTACTACAGTCTATACTACAGTCTGTACTACAGTCTGTACTACAGTCTGTACTACAGTCTGTACTACAGTCTGTACTACAGTCTGTACTACAGTCTATACTACAGTCTGTACTAGTACAGACTGTAGTATAGACTGTAGTACAGACTGTTCTCTGCACGCGTGGTGTGGATGTTGGTGATGAGACGCCCCCAGCAGGAGCTGTGAAGTAACGGCCTCATATCTCGCCACCAGTGGTTGTTCTCTCCGCCGCATCATTGACAAAACACTGGTCCCTCTAACAACGTAAAGCTGGAGTAATTATCAAAGTTTCTCCTGTACAGCACATAATACAAACATTCTATACATATTAACTTTTTATATTTTTTTTCATCAGCAGATGGTCAAAAATAAATCACCACAGCGGTTCAGCAAATCCGCATACTACAGTATTTTATGTTTATTCTTTTAAATTAATAAGTTAAATCTCTTATCAGCAATTATAAAGGCTGTGTACATCCTGTTCACGACTGTTGATAGAGTCCACTGCAGCAGCAGCATAGAAAGCTTAAAGGAGACAGTTATTGGACAGAGGTCTAGATCTGGACACAGATTTCCTGAGTTTGATCACCTGATCATGACACATGCATTTGGTCTTTTTTTCTTTTATAAACTCTTTCTCTCTCCTCTCACACATTATCCCTCTTATACAGGAACTCACCCACTTCTCCTGGTTTTGTTAGGGCAGTATTTGAGGGAGCTTTATTATTGTTTTTTACACCTGCCCACTCCTCGTCCCTCACGTTGGCAGCAGGATGATTAGTATTCACGCCCACGTGACAGAGCATAAGAACATGTTTGCTGCAGACAGGACGCACAGAGAGGTCGGGGGTCTCTCTGTCGCATTAGTTATGAAGCTGTGGCTGAAGGGAAGATCCAGGGTCTGATAATAAGTCTTATAGCTCTCCAGCGGAGCTTGTGTTAGAACTTCTCGTCTGGGATGAGTGTCTTAAAGGGGTGGTCCCAAAATGTGGTGGTGATTCCAAAACCTGTCAGGAAAAAAATAAGGGGTCAAATATAAAGTACACTGTTGTTTAGAATTAAGCCTAATTCTTTTAGATTCTTAGAACTACCTAGATATATTTTAGTTATTTGATTTGAATCTATTCATACTCAAATCAAAAAATACTTCAACTGACAGTATCAGCTAAATTATAGTTGCATATGTACGTCTCTATCTGATGAAGGCCTGGACGCTCACCTGATTTTTGGTGCTCAAAATGGTGTTTGACATGATAGGCTTTGAGGCTGTACAAATATGAGCCTTTCTTTGGTGATCCGTAGTGCAGATAGTAGTGGATCATGTCATAGACCACGTAGCCACACAGGCCTCCTACAAACACCGACATGCCGATGATCTCCGGAAGCGTACTCCTCAGCATCAGGTAAAAGGATCCCACCACAAAGGAGGCCAGTCCAGGGGGAAACACCAGCCTGGAGCCATCAAACGGAGACTGCAGCAAAACAAATATTTAAAAGGTGATGTTAGCCACTTGAAATAAAATAAAATAAAATAAAATACAGTTTATTTTATTTTATAGGAAAACACAGTGGTCCCTGGTTTATTGCGGGGGTTACGTTCTGAAAATAATGTGTAATAAGCCAAAACTGAAAAGTGGCAGGTTTTTTAGGCAGTAAAACCCCTCACAAACAATTTAAGACAGTTCACACCGACACAAAGGGAAGAAGTACCTTGTGATGCTGCCCGTGCAGAAGGAAATGTATGGTGATGAGGTAATAGTTATGGGCTGGTGGCTTCATGTGAAAGAGAAAGCGGTGGATGCAGTATTCGATGAAGGACCAGAGGAACCAGCCCATCATGAAGAGGGCTGGGAACACGGATGTATGCACTGGAATGGACATGTCTGGGGGGAGGTGGAAAGCTCCAGTTACACACAGTTTTAGAGATGATTTATTATATAACGTCCATTAAAGCTGGAGTGCCTGATTTTTCTATTGTTTCATATTTACATGTTGTTTGTACCAACGGGATGAGACTAGTTTAAGTAACACTTTGTGAACGAATGAGATCACAACATGCTGTCTTTATTGTATGTGAAAACAGTTTATCTTGTACATACTGAGAGCTGATTGGCTGAGTGAGGAGTGTTACTTTCACTGAAAAAACGTACATGTATATGAAAACTAGAGACCAAAACGAGCAAAGTATTAGGAAGATTGATTGAGGTTTCCATTATTATTTTTATTATTATTATCATTTTATTTTTTTACCATGTTCATTAGTTGTGGTTTCATTGTTAGGTACTCCAGCTTTAACATACCATTTATTGCTATGTATAAGGCATGGGCATGTAAGTAGAAAGTAAGTAAGTAGTTTGTAATCCATGTAATGTAGTGCTATTCACAGAACAAGGTCACACAAAGCGTTTTACAATGTAGGGGTTTAAAACAGAAATCAAACGTCTATTCGTCATATGTATCTACTTTTGAAAATACAAATTTACAGCATAACATCTGGAGCGTGTAGCTACAGGAAGTATGAGCGCATGGAAAAAGGCGCTTTGGGTAGAATGGAATATAGGCAAATGAGAGAAAAGCAGAAGAAAATAAATGAATGCGGTACACCGTTTCTCACCTGTGGTCACCTCTATCCTGCTTTTGCCTTTTGCCAGGACTGTGTAGCAATACCAACTTAGATAAATGATGACAGGAATCCACACAATGGGGACCCAGTACCTGCGGAGAAGAAAAACGTAAATGTAGCTTCTGTATAAGAGGCAAATTTACCAAAGACTAAGACAGTGCAAGTCCGGGCAGCACTGCAGTTATCACTCTGCAACAAATATTCCAAAAGCTTCAATTTAGCAAAAAATAGATTGATTTTAGTGTCATTTGATTAAACTTAATGTGTCTTTTTCTCTACGTTTAGTTGCATGTAGTTCTCAGAATACACAACACAATGTTCCCTATTGTGTTGTGTGCTGCTCATTCCTACTGTTCTGTAACGTGTGATGCAACACTGACATTTCCCTGCTCTGGGACAAATAAAGGATCTCTCAAACTTATTCTCAAATCTTCACAACAAAACAATAAACTAACAAACATAAAAACTTAATTCAAGCATTTCTTTGCAAGTGTTTTATGGTTTTTTTCCAATGTATTCTTACAGAAAGAGACGTTTGATTTATACACACCTACTTTTAAAACGCAGGGTCAATGTTAATCAGAATCAGAATCAGAATCATTTTATTGCCAACGTAAGTAACGGGAGGTCACAGACTTGGAAATTGCTTTGGCTCAGTGCAACAGTCAAAAAGAGATAATAAAAATAAGAATAAAAAACACTTCTAAAGAATAAATTTAAATTTAAAATAGAGTTACAGTTACTATTTACAATATACAAGTGCACATGGTGCACACAATGTAAGGTGACAGCAGTACAGTGAAGTAAAGTGACGTATGATGGGCAGTAAAGTGACTTTATAAAGGGCGGGGGGACAGGTTAAGAAGTGTTCAAGAGTCCAACAGCAGAGGGGAAGAAACTGTTCTTGTGGCGGGAGGTTCTAGTCCTGATGGACCGTAGCCTCCTGCCTGAGGGGAGTGGTTGGAATAGTCCATGTGCAGAAAACCGTTCAGCCCTAGTGCACGTGTCTTTGACCAGTTACATATCCAGTGTAGTCTGCACCTTGTACCGTCGTCAACACCCCCATAAAGATGCATATCTCGAATCATTAGTTATGAGGCTGTCTCACCATGACGTTTTGGTGCTGGCCTCCATGAAGGGGTTTCCAAACAGCCGGATCGGTCGGTCGACGGGCTGATGGACCCACGCATCATATTTCTCCCTCAGATGTCCCACCTGCCACGCCAGAGGCTTCCTCCAGTCCACCAAATCCTAAAACACAACCATAGACTTAAACAACAGCACAGAATGTCCAGCAGGGGCAGCCAAACTCACACCACCGCCTCATAAACTGCAACTTCACCGTAGCAACGTGATAGTCACTTTACATTTCAGTGTATGATGATGATGTGAGAATGATAGACATGCTTCAGAGGCCTTTTGTGGTTAAAACATGGCATGAATAAAACAAATCCAACAGTAGATGTTTTGGAGGACAAAGAAATTGGTTGGTATAGGGGTCAATAGTGTAGCGGGATGACCAATGTCTGTCAATAAAAAAAAGTCTCATCTGTTATAACACCTAATTTCCACCTAATTTCCACCTAAATGACAAGTGGAAATGTACTTTAAGCACAGATTCAAACTATTCACTTATTGTGCTGACACATCGATAACTTCAACTCATTAATAACATAACTTCTGCATAAGCTGGATTAATAATTACAAGGGTGTTGACGAGATGAACTGAGCTTCATTGTTGGACACGACCATGCCAAACATTCCTCAGTGAAAGACAGCACACACACACACACAGCGCACACACACACGCACACAAATAATACACACAACACACACAACCCATACAAGTCACACAACTCAGACAAGACTGGCTACTTACAAGAATGATGAGAATTTTTACAATCTGCTAAGCCAGACTCACCTGCAGCCTTATTGGTCACAAAATCTACATCACCAACTCTAAATTCTCTTTTGTCTGTTTTATAAAAGTACAACTACATTTTTATATTTAGTCTGATAAAACGTTATGAAAGGTGTTGGCAGTGTGACAAGTCATATGGATGTGATGTCTAATCTCAACTGAACAATCACATTGTATTAGTGCTGCAGGACCTCCACCAAGGGGCTCATGTTTTCACCAGGGTTTGTCTGTCTGTTAGCAAGACAACTCAACAAAATATGGCTTTCTACAAAATGGGCTATTCTAATTGTCTTTTGGTTTGAACTGAAATTTGGTGTGTAGATGGGATGTGATGGCTCAACTTAAAATGTGTGGTCTCCCTAAACTTGGGCCTTGGTCTTGGGCCTGTGTGTATGCCTGCACTCTGTCGGCACTATGTTTTGTATAATTAGTAAATGGGATCCATGCCAACGAGAACAAACCAATGCCTTTACTCATTTTGGACACTAGGCAACACTGAAGCAACCAGACGGACTGGTCGTATCCATCAGTACATTGTGCTGAGCAGGACCGGTGTGTGTGTGCGTGCGTCAAATTATAGAATCACATGCAGCAACCGAGTCAATGTTGTGTTGTTCAGTGGAAGACAGAACTATTCACAAGCATTGAGAAAGCTCGAGAGGCATTTCTATTGTCTCTGAAGGCTCTTGTGTACAAACTGCTGGGTTAATAGTGTTTAACGAGCCTATAATAGGTTTTGTTGGATAGTCTAGCAATAAAATATACCACAGGTTATTATTTTATGTTTTGTAAATTGAAACAGCTTTGTAATAGAAATGCTGTATCAGGTGTACAGACTTTCTCTATAAAACTACAGAAGTGAGAGTTCCTTCGTAATGGCATTTTTGCAGAAAACTGAAACTATTGAAAGAAAAATCTGGGAAATCCTTGAAATATTGTCTTAACATGTGTTCAACTGCTCCAGGGAACTTTCTACTTCTATACAGCGGCCAGGCTTCCTACAAAAGGTTTAAACTAGGGTTGGGCAATATATCGAATTCAGAGATCTCATTGGCTTTTGAAAAAAACTAATTTGTGAAAAATGTGAAAATCGTGAAATTGAGAAATCGAATGAAGGATATTTTGAGAGTTCCAGCAGCACATGAATTATACTTGCACAGTCTGTACAAAACTTTTATAATACGTATTGGGAGAAACAAATGTAAAAAATAGTTTTGAAACTTAAATATTGAGTGGAAAGATAAAAAAAAAAATGTAAGGACAAAGTCTGCCTTTGGTGAATAAAATGGAAATCGATTTAAATCGAAATCGTCCAAAGCAGGAAATAAAATCGAGATTTTTTTGCCATATCACCCAGCCGTAAGGATCACCCTCCCTGTACAGGGAGGATTCAGTTATTTTTCATTTAACAGCATCAGTATTAGAATTCACTTGTGTCAATATAGTCAAGCTATATCTCTTTTGAAAGCTTATTCCCACCTCTAAACGCGTATTATGTTCAAATAAACATTAAATATAACCAAAATAGAATAAGTAGTCTAACTGTATATATATTTAAAATATATATTGTCCTTTCTTACCTTGTCATGCTAATATTCTGGGGCAAATCATGTCTAATCCACACATGTGTGCATTCGTTTTGTTCTTTAGGGTCTAGAGAATAATTATATCCAGTTGTTTTTTCTTCAAAGTCATCCTTATAGTAGATATCCACTTGCAACAACATATTTGAGCATTGAAAGTTGCACAAACAAAAACAAAACCTGTTCTTTGCGCACTGTATGAAGAGGACATTTTACTGTTTAGCTAGCGTCACTGGGTATGTTCGTCTTCCCCTAAGCCTCCCCTTCAAAACAAGCCCATTCCCGGACTTTTCAGTGCTATGGTTTGGAAGGTAGAGTAAGTTGAGTAAAACAAGCGCACCTAGCTTTAGCGCTCCATTCACATAGATATCTGTGCGTCACGACAGCATTGTCTTGACTACCATTGGCCGATTTGGATGTCAATCAAATCATCTTGTAGCCAATAATCTCAGGTTTCAGGCGATGTGTCGGACTTCTAGCTTCCTCCCACTGTTCCCGTCATATTTGAATGCGTAAAGAGGAAGACGGAACCTTTTTCACGGAGAACACGCGCTATAACTATATAAATAATAGCTTTTCTGCAAACCTTTCAATAACTGGAACAAATTCTATTTATAGCAAGAGTAATAGCCAAAAAATTATATAAATGGATTTTTGATGTAAAAACATTGATAATTTGCATGTAAAACACTTTGGCACAGTTGGCACAAAAATGGACCACTTGTGCCGAATGTGCCCATTAGTTACAAAAAAGCCCCCAGCATCAAAATAGTTCCACCTAAAGGTCTAAAATTTCATATAGGTGTTTCCAACACCACAAACATCTGATCTGGTGAGTTTGAACATCATACCATAAAGTATGTCTTCAGGAGAACCTTTTGAAATTGCCTTTTATTTTTTTTGACAAAAAAAACTAACTTTGACTCATGTTTGATAAGCTGTAGTGCAGACTGTGTCCTTCCTAACAAACTAACATACATTTTCAGAAACTAAAAGGTTTTACCTTTCAAAGGAGGCCTCATAACACAAAATCAGACACAAGATGTCCACACAATAAGCATTTCCATTTGGGTATCATAATTCGAGAAGGAGCAGGCGAAATTAGGTGATCCTTAAAGGGTTAAATCATTCAGAATTTGTTTTTTATAAATTCATGCTTTTCTTTGTACACGCCCTCTTTTTCTTTATCCCATCTCAGGACTCCACCTTTTGCCTCTTTCACCTCAAATTGCTTGTTTATAGTTTTGTCATGAAGATTTGAGATTAAGAGAGATTTTTTATTCGTCCACATTACCACAGCGGGGAAATGTCAGTATTGCATCGCAAGTTACAGAACATTAGTCATTTCTACTGTTCTGTAACTGTAACTTGCCAATAGAAGTTAAAACAAGTCCCTCCCAGTGAGAACTAAATGCAACTGTGCTCAAGAAAAGGCTAAAGACACATTAATTTGAATCAAATTACACTAAACTTGGATGAGCAAATACTGTTAGGACTTGGCTCAAATGCTACTATGCACATTTTTGTGTGTGACTTTTTCTGTGAACTTGTGTGATTGGTCTTATCTGGCCGCAGTGGTGTGGGAGAGTGGTGTGGGAGAGTGGTTTGGGAGAAGCAGGTGAATGACCGGTGAAGCAGTGATCCGGTCACATGTGGCTTACATTGTCCAGGTCCACCGGGCTGCACAGGTTGAACATGGAGTCTTCTCCCTCTGAGCTCTTCTTACTGAGGCCGTCTTCTGAGTGACTGTGGCCGTTCCTCCGTTCCCTTAAAGTCTGAGGAAACAACGCAAAACAGAAATAAGTTATGGGTTATTTGTACTAATTTTACTTGAAAGTTCACACGCCCAGCCATTCATATATATTGTGCTGTGTGTTCCTCGTTCCTACTGTACTGTAACTGGTAATGCAACACTGACATTTCTCCACTGAGGGACAAATAAAAGGATCTCAATCTAAATCTTGTAGGACTTTGTTTTTTCCTCACTGTTTTTTCCATTATGTTTGTTGGGAGTGGTTGTGAGAAACCATATATTGTCAATTAAAAGAACGGGAGGTTTTTTGCCAAGAAGAATGGACAGATCTATTGTCAGAAATGATATAGAACCTCATCCACTACTACCACTAAAAGACTCCAAGCTTTTATAGATGTCAAATACTGAGCAACTACTGTTAGGACTTGGCTCAAATGCTACTATGCACATTTTTGTGTGTGACTTTTTCTGTGAACTTGTGTGATTGGTCTTATCAATCACACAAGTGCTATCCACTCAGCCACCGTGGGCGGCACGGTGGCTGAGTGGATAGCACTCTCGCCTCTCAGCAAGAAGGTCCTGGGTTCAAATCCCGGTCGGACCAGGGCCTTTCTGAGTGGAGTTTGCATGTTCTCCCCGTGTCTGCGTAGGTTTCCTCCGGGTACTCCGGTTTCCCCTACCACTAAAAATATGTCCAATAGTTCTGGCATGCGCCTCCTGTACTGGCGACCCCGCTCCCATCTCTGTAAACCGCTTTGAGACTCAGATCTGCAGTGAAAAGGCGGTATATAAATAAAAACTTACTACTAAAGGAGAAACTCGCTTTGGAACTGGGGGATAAAACTGATTATTTGGGTAATTTCTGGAGCTATTATAATGTGAAAAAGCACAACTATTTGTCAATCAATGGCTTCACATCCATTGACAATGAGCAAAAAAAGCATTCTTAAAAGTCAAACCAGATTCTCTTTACTAGCTTAAGGTTCTTTTAAGATATGATAAAATGTAGTTTAACCAATCGCTAACGTGAGCTGTGAGCCATTTTAGAACAAAAAAAACATTTTAAAATCATTAATAGATAAATGAAAGAGTCAAAGATGGCGATCGAAGGCTCCTAGAATAAATCTCCAAGGAGTTTTACGCTGATGATTAATGACTTGTTAGGAAAGGACTGGCAAATATCGTTGAATAGAGCTTTACTCAATGAAATATGTATTTGTACATTTCTGTTGCACTTGAACTTTGTACTTTCACAAGTCGTATATCACCGTCACAAATACAGCAGCTGACTGGGTTAACGTTTATAGTCACGTCTGAAAGTGCATCGCTTTGAAGTAGTTTCACATTGCTCACAATTGTTACAAACACGAGATCTTTTATTGTTCTCTTCAACCAACAAAGAATGCACAACGGGGAAAAAATAAATAAACTAAGTGATAGAAGAAACATGTGGTTTATATAGAACAGAATCCAGGATCATCCTTGTAATACAGATTGTACTACAGTTTTCTAATCATTTAATTTCAAATAGTAGTTCTCTGATCAATGCGGGTCTGAATGTCGTTAGTTAAACGGTACAACTCAGCAGAAGACGGCATTAAGTGAAATATTGAGCATGTTTCAGTCTTACACAGCGTGAGCCTCAGAAGTCTAAATCAATGAAAATACATATGCAATAAAGGAACAATAACACCATTAACCCGGTCGGTAAGGTCTAAGGTTGGGTAATGAAACAAATCGACATTTAAATGAAAGAAAAGCTCTTTGAAAACCTGAAAAGGAAAGAATCTATATCCTCAATAATCGCTCAAGTAATCTCTGATTGATTACCTTTCTTACAGACACAGTAAATAGGAGACCATGTCATTGTAATTCATGCTTCAAATTCAAAACCAGAAACACGTAATGGCTGTGACTGACTTGTCAGGGTTTTTATTAAGGCTCAATTATATAGTCGCATTGGACACGCCAAAACAAGCACGAGGACCTGCCCTGGTCAACCTGCGATTGGTCTTTCAGAGTGTTTTCTGTGGAGAGAAAGAGGTGAAGAGTAGGAGGCTCATAGAGTAACAGTAGATAATAAATTAACACTAAATATCCACATTAGGGCTGGGATAAACGATTATTTTTTAAACGATTAATCTAGCGATTATTTTTTCGATGCATCGATTAATCTAACAATTATTTTTTTCTCTTCGATTCGATTCGATTCTCGATTATCTCCCCATTAATTGACTAATATTGATGTATAAATGTTGATTTAAATATTTTAATGAAAAAAAAATGAATTCCTTCACAAAAAATATGTATTGCTTGCTCTTAAAATTCAAAAATAAGACATTCTTAGAGGTAGCATAAAACCTTAAAGCCTTGAAAACACAGCTTACTGAAAAAAGTGCATCTTATCATTCTTGAAACAAACATTTGATGCTTAGCATTCAATAAAAATATGAAAAAGTTCAGCCAAATACTTGTGTAGAGCAACTAAAAGAAAACTGTAACCAATGTAAACTTGAAGGCTTTAAGCTAAACAAAGAGTGCTTTTCCAGCAAAAACAGTGGGAGCCATCAGCCTGTCATGGCGTCCTTCCTGAACCAACAGAGTTTAACATTTAAGTTGAAGACACATAGGCCTATATTACTGAAGTCCATTAATTAAAGTGCATCTCTTAAATTCTTCATTCATATAAAAATAACAGTCAAAACTCTGCCACTCACCTTTTTCTTAAACTCAAAATTCAAAAATAAAATTCAAGTAAGAGTGTACAAGAGAAAAACAATGCATTGTGTAGCAAATAAAAAGGTCAACCAGTCATCCTTTCTTTTAGAGTTACTGAAAGAATACAGTAGAAGTCATCTCAGAGGACTTAAAACAACATTGAAGTCACCAACACAGATCAGAGAATCAATCAACAGTTAAACACATTAAGGATATTGAACACATGTTGAAAAATGTCCATATAGGGCGGGCATGACAGTGAATAATACATGTAGGGGCTATTACGGGCGCCAATATTCCGTTTGATACAAAGAAAGACAGACTAGTGTATAAGAGTGTAGAGTGGCCACAGGACGCGTCATCAGCCTACGTCAGCAGCCGCGGACTGCTATGAAAACATTAGCTTTGTGGTTTCACAGGCGCAGTTGACTGCTTAAACTAAACTTTGCACGTGTCTGAATTCGTTCGTATTTTAACTTTTAAAGAAATTCACGGTCCGCCATCTTGGTTTGCTTCGGCTGCCGTGAGACGCGCATGCGCAGGTTTGCATTACATGATAAACAGCTGAGGCAGTGCATCTCTTCAAGGCAGTGTATCTCGGCGTTACACCGGCTTGCACTTCTCTAACACGGCACTTGCATTGCTACCGCTCGCCGCCATCTTTGTTTTGTGTGTGACGCACCGACGCGCATATTATACATAGTTCCCACAGACCAATGAATGTCACATGACCTCCTCGGAGACGCCATCTTTGATGGCACGCTGCTGTGTTTGTGCATTCCATTAAACAGAAGAATGAGAATAAATGTAGATATTCAAACGCAAATTGGAAAAAAAGGGCAACTTTTGAGCAAATAATTGTATATTAATACAATGGCACCACAGTTTAACGTGCTACGGACATGTTTTACATATTTGATCAAATTATGCAGCAAAAATTAACAAGCAATGCAAACATTTCTCAAAAACTTTAGATTTAATACCAGTTGGAGCTCCATTTAATTATTTTAATTATATTAACAATTAATTTAATTAATGCTAATGCCACACGGACACTCTGGATTGCTGTTATTGTTTATTTCCGCGTTTTTGACCGTATGTTTTGGTGAATGGTGGGCAACTGATTTTTCCAGGCGTAAAGAGCAGTTTATTTTATGACACAGATCTTTTTACAGAAGCAATGCTGTTTGTGAACATTGTTTTAGCCCACCATAGAACTATTATTATCTATTTAATACATTTACGTTGCCCTCGAGAGCCTCGGACGCGACACCGATCCTCCTCATGATAAAGTAATCTAAATAATGAAACTCTCAAGTTACCAGATATCAGCATACACAAGTTAGTACTGAGTAAATTACGTCTGTCAACACATTATAAGATACGATACGCACCTGACACAAAGTGCTCCGAGCATATTCTTGCGTGTTTTGAGGGAGTTTCTTGCCTGTTTATCTTCGCAAGCCATAACCTCCGTGGTTGTTCTGACAAAAGCTTAGTCTTCTCATATTCATGAAGTCTAATGATGGGTATACTGTAAAATCCAAGTTTAACGGAACCTCCGGCACGATTTGAACATCCATTGACCCAGCAGGAGATGACCATTTTCAACTTTATCACGACATTAACACGTTTCAGCTTCTCTTTCTATTGTTTTGCCCACAGCATGCCAAGACAAATGGCGCCGGGTCGGCAAATCCCCGTATGTAGTGACGTCATGTGGGAACTATGTATACGTCGGTGTATTTTTTGCGTCGACGTCACAGATTACGTCGACGCGTTGTCCCAGCCCTAATCCACATACAGGAATGTTTGAATTATAGGAGAATAAATCAGAAATCTGATTCATAAATAACAGTATTGGGAGTAATGTATTACAAAAGTAATGTAATTGCTGTAATATATTACTTTAAGTAACTTGCCCAACACTGATAATTAAGTCACAGAACAGCCCAAAGATGTGACCAGCTCAGATCGTCACGCTGAAGAGGTGCATGTGACTTAGAGTTGTGATTGATATGTTTGTATTTAACTGTTCTCTATGTAAAGCAACATTCATCTGATTTGTCATTTGCATATATGTAAATAAAAAACAAGTACATTTTTTGATACATCACTATCACAAGTCTTTACAGGACCACACACAGATTCTTCTTGACTATTGTCAGCAATGTTACCTACAGTTACACTTAAGCCTTTACCATTTCCTTATTCTGCAAAGCAAAGACAGCTCGTGTGTTAACCACACTAGTGATGGGCCAAACGAGTCGAGGCCTCGGCGGGCGTCACTGTAACTAAAGCCTT